ACCAACCCCCAAAAGCCCAATTAATCCACCCCAAAACAACCGAGAATCCATGAATTCATGTTTAAGCGTTTGCAAAACGCGAATGTTGTTTTAGCGTTTTCGAAACGTGAAGATTGATTTTTTTTTGTCAATTAATGTCATTTATTTTTCTTTCCTTTTTTTCCGGATCAATATATTAAAAAATTAATCAACAAATTTAGCATATCTAAAACACGAAATTTTTAATGGTGTTTATGTTTTTATGCGTTTTGAAAATGCAAAATTACGTATTTGCGTTTTCAAAACGCTAATATTTTGTCTCAATTTATTCCATTTTTTTCCTTCATTGTTTTTTCGGAACAATATTTTAAAAAATTAATTAATTACTTTAGCGTTTGTGAAACCTGATATTTTAATGTTGAATATGTGTTTTCGCGTTTTCAAAGCGCGAGAAGATTCGAAATATCCACTTCCTAAACCCTAGAAACATTTTCTCCCACGGTTTTGGGTTTGAGACACCCTAAAGCCAAGCACCCTAAATCCTTGATAGCAGGGAATCCGGCATTAACATTATTTTCCAGCCGTGTTTTGTAAGTAAAGCCTGATTAAACTTCTTTGTCGCCTTTAAGTCCAAATCACCATGAATTGTGATTTGGGCTTATTTGTATATATAGAATTTTCTCGTATACATCTTGTATATATGGATTTTTTAGCACATGACTTCAGATAGCAAGTATTTGTTTCCTTTTATGAAAATAGTCTACTTTCAAAATTATTAATTATTTTGTTTTTCAGGTGTTATTTATAATTTATAATGTGAACTAACTATGATATAAAAATGAAGGGAGAAAAATGATATGCAAATTGACGGAATGGACAACGTCACTGAAAGGAAGTAACAACGCGTTAAAGGTTGTAGTTGATAACAGCTACTTGTGCACATTTCTAAGGTGTAGTTGAGTGAAAATTTCATGATATAATAAACTTTAGTGGTCGACAAGGAAAATCGGCCTTCATGCTATCGTAATGATTTATTTTCCAAGTAATCATGAATAGCGTACTTAACTAATTCCCTCTTTCGAAATAACACACCCCAAAAAAAAAGAAGGAAGAGGTAAATCGGCGTGCGTGAAATATAAGTGTGTATGATAGTACATAATCTGTCTCAAAAGAAAAGTTTGGTTTGTTAGACTATTTAATGCCAGACAAAAATCATTTTTTATTGAGATCGATTGAATTTTAGTTTGATAATCATAGCCCAAAGTCATTGCAGGGAAAATCTAAAAAATTAAGAATACCAAAAATTTCCATGAATTTTCAGATTTTTTTTTTTTGTTGAATTGATTCTTTTCGTAATTTGATGAAAAGTAATTACCTAAAATAATCAATTTTCTATAATGTTTTGTTGTCAATATTAGTATATAAATTAGAACGTCGGTAAATTAATAATCGATAAATTAATGACTTTTACTAATTAATAATTTTCTCCGGTCCCAACTGGGGACTAGTAAAAAAAGTGACAAAAATCGATAAAATAATAAGATAATAATATTTTAAAAAATTCCTTATATATCAATAGGTCCCAACAATACTGTAAATTAATAAATACCTTAAATACCAAAAAAAAAAATACTAATATCTAGGAAAATTTAGTAAAATATGAGTTTATTGATTCTTGTTTTTTCTTGAAATTCAAGTCCAATGAAATTTCATCCTTGATTTGTCTCATTACCCTTGAGAGCTCTGGTGTTTTATTCTCAAATTGCAATAAGAAAATCGGAAAAGTTATTGCTGATTTGAATGCTTCTTTTCGTGGGACTGGTGCGAAAGACACTGAATAATCATCACCTTCATTCTCAAATGAATTATCTTTAAGGACACTAGCCACAATATTCTCAAATGATTTGACCTTTGTAGACCTTCGTCTTATTAGGTTTGAGTTACATTCCTTATTTGTTTAGGATTGTAAAACAACGATAGAAAATTACATATTATAGTATTATAGTAGGGTTTATAAAGAAACAAATTTTTAAATAATTTATTAATTTATTGATAAATTACTAATTTATTAATTTATCGATTATTTAATAATTCGTTAAATTAATAAAATTTAATGGTCTCAACACTATTAATTTATAAAAGTTCTACTGTATGTTGATTACACTTTGTCCCCCCTTCTTTTTTTTCTTTAAAAAGAAAAGAATTACTTTACTAGCACCAACTTCACGATGATAACGACTTAATTATATAAATCAGTGATATAAACCCGAAAAAGAAAGCGTTACAGCGAAGAATTAATTTAAGGGAATTGATAAATTGAGAGCTATATTTTTATATTGAGAGCAAAATTTTATGAATTATCTACAAGACCCTTACTTAGAATTTCTAGAGATAATAATCAGATTTATTTTACCTTAATTGCTCCCTTCTTTTTTTCGGCCATTCCTTTTTCCTTATTTTTCCCTTCTTTTTCCGGCCATTGCTCAAATCGTGGCGCTATTATGCTCACTTTTTTTTAGCATAATCATTTCTCAAACAAAAGAGATTTTTCCTTAATTCTTTTTTGGCGCTCAAACAAAAAAAATTTTAATTTCTTCAAAAATATATATCTCTTAAGTTGAATTTATGTTCTTTGAATCATAACGATATGCACCGATTTTTACTGTCATCGTCCTTTGTGTTGAGAATTGTGAGGTAAATTTTCTATTAGTTCTCACTTAATACTTTTAATATTGCTTTTGTGTTTAAGTTCGTATACTTATTTTTGTTAAAAAGACCGAAGATTCAAAATTCAAATTAATTGATGATAATTGAATTTTAGAGCTGCATAATTCTTATTAATATTGTTAAAATCTTGCTGATATTGAAAGTTTATTGTCTAATGATCAATTTAGAGGTCATAGAGATAAAAAAAAAAAAATTTAAAGAATAAGGATTAAGGATGTAGAGGTTCTTTTCATTTCTGCATACCAAAAAATATAAAATTAGAGGAAAAATTGAAGTTAACTTGTCTTTTTTTAGAAATAAAATTTCCATTACGAAATAAAGTTAACGTGTCTGAATAAAGAAAAGAATGGAAAAATTAAGGGGTCGTACACTAATTTCTTTAATATCTTAAGTATGAGTAATATAAAGTAATTGATAAAATTTTGCTCTCAATATAGAAAAACAGCTCCCAATATATCAATTCCCTTAGTTTAATACAAACTAAAGCCTAAAAGGCGACTACACAACTACAATTTGAAGGTACATATCTTTGGTAAGATTGTGGCGAATCTAATATATAAGACAAACAATTCCACTCACGTACGGTTGAAAGAAATTAATACTTTCACCGTAAAGTTTAATATCTCAGCTCGATTAGCTTGAGCCTTTGAGACGCACTAGCCAATCCCTCTATTCAATCTTTATTCAAATGCCGTATGCAGCTTAGAAAGCGTATCCGGTTTATTACTTCAAATTAATCTCCTCAAATCAAATCAAATCAAATCTACATTTAAGCAAACTTTAAGGAGTACTTAACTTTTTTGCGGTAGATTATTAAAAGAGATTAGTCATTATTACTGAAGGTAAATAGTTCATACTATTACAGAAAAACAAGAAAGAAGAAAAATGCAAACTCGAACACGAACGAGAGAGGTGAGTGATCGATGGGGCCGGGTTCTACAACACCGGGTTAATTTAAGAACTCAATTCAAGATAATTTGATGTATTTTGAAGATAACTTGGGACTAGGTGTAGTGATGTAAAATTAATGTAGGTGTCGAGGTGTTAATTTTGATTTATTTTGTGTCGCAAGGCAACTTTGCTAGTTTTTGTTAAAACCCAAAAAGGAAAAAAAAAAAAAAACTCTTTAACGAAAGTGATTATTTCCACCCAACGAAAAAGGGAGGAAAATGGAAGTTGAGTGCTATGATAAATTATTAGGTCTCTCTGAAAAAGACAGTAATTTTTTTTTTCTATGCTAAAAAATAATCTAACATTAGCCGAAAAGCGCTTAACAGTAACCCCTAACAAAACAAGTAGTATTATTCATCATTGAGCACTATTTTTCTTAGTGCGCTGCTCATCCACTAGAATACCCCCTTGTTTTTTCGTTAAGTAAATGATTACATTCCACTATATTGTGTTTCCCCAATCAGTTTAATTGATCAAAATAGCAAAACAATGACTGCATGCTTTCTACACCATCATCATTGATTATAGCTAGCTAGGTTAATTAACTCACATTTGCTGGGCCTCCTATCATTCCCCTTAACCCAGGCCAATGGATTCCGCATACCACAACCTGCAGCGATGTATCTTCCTAATCTTCTTTCCATCACCCCCTCCTTTGGTAACCCCTAATGCGATATTTTCACGGAGATCGATCTTCCAAGAATCTTGTCACTGAGCTTGTTGGATAACACGATCTACACCTTTAAATATTTTTAAAAATTATTTATTAAAGAGGTGTTTGTTTGAACGTGTTTGATAATAAAGAGGAGCAACTCTTAACGATTATGCGGTGGTTCAGTTGTATTACAAAATATAAGCGTTAAAATATTAGTTAAGAAATTATTTCTTTACTGTTATACGATTTAAGCATTTTTGTTTTAACATTCAGAACTAATTACTATTTCTTCGATCCCGAAAGATTGTCAAAATCTAATGTGAATAATTATTTCGTTTAAAAACCATAATTTTTATTAAACAGACTCATTTCCAAATAGTTGAAAATGTTATTTATTTATTTCAATTGTAGTAATAAGAGATCAATATGATATATTACAAAATTGAACCTGTATACTGAATTTAGATTGCTCAGTAAATTTTTAGATTGGATTTTTGTGACATTCAAGAAAGAGAAGTAGTCATGTTCATTAGAGGAGGAGGAAAAGTGCTCTTTAAATATCTACACGAAATGAAAAAAAAAAAAAAGGAAAAGAGAAAAAGTGGAGCCCATAGATGTAGATGAAAATTAAAAAGTAATCTTAGTAAGTGAAAAATGTACTTACTGTTTGGAAATATCTAAAACCATACGATCAACTTACATCAACCCTTTAGAACTCACTATAAATATACCTCTAAGCTCGATCCTTCGAGGCATAACACTTGGGTGCTTCATTTCCACCTCTGAATTAATCATTTGTACTACTGAAAAATGGCTAGCATTTCTTCTTCTTCCAAAGTCTTGTTCCTTCTAACCCTAATCCTTTCAGTCTCATTTTCAAGGTGCCAGCTTGGGGATTTGGGCGGTCTTGTGGGCGGAGTCGTGGGCGCGGTGGGGAACATAGCGGACGGCGTCGGAAAGGCCGTCGGAGACATAGTTGGAGGAGTTGTGAAGGGCGTCAGCGGCGCGGTTGGTGCCGTTGGCGGAGGTGGCAACGGATCGCCGAGAAAGATGGCACGATCTACTACAGCTGCGCCGGCAAGTATTCCGACTAATAACATTGATGCCACCAACAAGCCTTGACCAAAAAGAAAAATGTCACGTATGTAATTGGTTAATGTTCCCTACGAATATTGTCCATGTTTGATTAGTTTCTTACCGCGTGCTCGTGCTATAAGTCTCGTAAGAGTTAATATTTCCGGTTTCTAAAACTATCTTAGTTATGTAAACGGGATCGTTATTTTAAGATTGACGGATGGGATAGTTACTTAGCCCGCCAAATCAAGTGTAAAATAGTATCTACGTACTGTTGTGTTTCCTCTTGGTTTTCTAATGTTCGTGAACTATATATATTCCGTACTTTTTCTCATCTTCCAAAATAGTTCTCTCATCAATCAATATTATATTATTATAGTATAATGCTCCTCAAGATCAAATATCAAAGCATGAGTAAAAAGCGTAATTGAGTATTGCTATTATGTTCCTATTGAGATTAATTAAAGAAATCATGGGTTAGTAGAAATCCCGAAAAGCCAAAAAGTATAAAGAGAGCCCCAAATTAGCTAGTAAAATAGTTTGATTGTATTTTGCGCACTTTTATTTTCTTTTTCTCAGGATGCGTCCTGTCAAAATCTACCAATTAGTGAGGTTTTCTTGGTCTAACTGGCGGCGGCTTTTTGTACGTATTAGTGATCAACTTTTATCCAGCAATGAAATGAGTGTATATCGTAGAGATTGTAACGGAAAGAGAAAAGACAAAGTCTACGCCACGCAAGACGATATCTAAGTTGTCAAAGGCCTCTCCAACTTGTAAATTCTCGCTTGTTTGAAATGGAATTTAGTGGGCGTACGTATAAGATGTCAAAATATTTTAGAAAGATCTTACTGAAATTGTTTCAATTTTCTAGACATGTTTAATTTTCCACTTAACTTCTGAAATGTGTAGCTGCGATTGCATCTTTATATTGTGGATCGGTGTTTTTGCTTTAAGTGCCTGAGTACCTCATTTCCATCAAAGATTTCACTTTCTTTTTTAGCTGCGTCTCATAGTTAATTAGTTCCTTCAGAGATCCATTGGGTTTGAATGAACTTGCACTTTTTGGCGTCTCTACGGTCCTAAATACTTAGAACTATAACTCAATATAATATGCCTGAGGTTTTACGTACGGATTTTTGGGGGATTCAATGATAATCTTGAGTTTTGTGATATGTTGATGATTACACGGTATATACACAGAATACAAACAGAATCAGGGAATCCCTGAACCTGCAATTTTAGAAGTACAACTCTCCGGAACCTTTGTTAAAGGAGATGAAGAAACGCTGTTGAATGTAAAAAAAAAAAAAAAAATCAAGCCGAAGTCCAATCTCGCAAAACAAACAAACTTCAAGATCCTCCACCTGCTCCTTTCCTTGGCTGACAATTTGTTTTCCACCTTGGTGGAAATGTAAACTTGAATAGGACCTTAATTTGATGCTTTTAAGTTCTTTTTATGGTTCCTCCCTTTTTTGTCAGGATTCAAATTAACTACGAATGCAACCAACCAACCAAGATTAAGTCACCAATTGCAGTCTTTCAATCAGAACATAATAAGATGATCATCAATCTACATGAACTTCAATTCTTCAGTTCAATGGAAAACCAAATAATTTTGCTGAAAAACAGAAATCAGAATGTGAACATCCGAAATTTACTAACGCCCAAAAAGAACAAATAACTGCATCCATCTCTTACCAAGCATTGTTTACACCAAACACAGTGCCCTGTTCTTCTTCTTCATCACTTATGTAATTCAATTGAGATAGTGAAATGCTGACCGGAATCGTTCAAATACATTTATCAAAAAGAAAAGTCCACGTTAGCTTTTGATATATGTACTAGAATTAGTACAAATCTCAAAAATCAATTCGAACTATTTTTTTCTGAGACGGAGGGACTACATAATACTAAAAGGAACAAAAACTTATGGTGTAAGCTATTCAATAGTTTTTAGTTCCCCATTTTCTTCATCAACCTCGAAGTTTAGAAGCACAATCCCACGTGGTGGTTGGACTTGCAAATGACAAAATGATTAATTTCTTAGATACCTTGTAATGGAGATGAATGTAGCATCCAAGAAGGCTTTTTCGATTGAAAATTAAGTATCAAACTATCTTTTACAGGGAAACTAACTGAAGATTTACCACTTCAAAAAAAAAAAAAAAAACTGAAAATCTACTTGTTTACGTAGTAGTCCTCACCTTTCTGGAAATGCAATTCACTTACCTAGAACCACTGATGCTTCAATTGATTCAAATGTTTGTCCCCTTTGTCACATGAACAACTTCTGAAATGAAAACAACTGCTACAGAAGTGATGGCGATATAAAAAACACTCCTTTCATGTTTACAGAGAAAGATAACCATAAAAGAAAACATCATTAATTACAGTTAATAGTCTACTAAGCAGTTTGTGGAATGACATTGAGTGTATTAATACCTTTGCCATGATTGCTATAATAATACTGCCCAATCCAGAAGCCAAATGCACCATAGTATGAGTTCGTTGATGAAAAAGCGGGGGGAAAAATTTGTTCCCCAAGTTTCTCTGTGCATTTGATCAGTGGAAAATGATCATTTCATTGCTGATCATTGAAACCATTTTGATTGGTGGCTACAGCAACTACTTTTACTCTTTTCAGGTTCTGCAACAAATCAAATGGATGTATTTCTACCGAACAAAGATGAAGATTATTGATCTCTTAATATGAGACTAATGAAGGACAAAGAAGTAGTACTAGAAAGAAAGAAAGAAGGTTACTTCTAGCGACTTGAAGTGATTAGGGATTGCGTTAGGACATACCAATTTAGCCCCTTTTATAACTCCATGTGTATTCGGATCTTGAGGTTCACATTTCCAAAATCCAACTGCGTTTCTTGAATATGCTTTAGTGAATCTGTAGCATTGTTGCAGCGAGATACCTCAATCATTTGCATAGTTGGAATCTCGGCTAAACACGAAGGCAATTCCTTCAAGTTCAGGCAACTTTTCAGCACTAGTTTCTCAAGACAAGGAAAATTATCATCCGAGTCATCCGTCCACCTGACTAAATCCAAGAAATCTAATTTCAGAAATCTAAGCTTGGGGAAAGTCCCCTCTCCCATGTACCAATTTTCCCCGATGAATGATTTGTACTGTAATTTGAGTACCTCAAGCTTAGGTAGTCTATCAATCATTGAAATTTTACTCCATGGCAGGTAAAGCCTCTGCAGGGTTAGCTTCCTCAAGTTGTGGGGAAACTGATAGTGATCATTACGGATTTCCAGCGGAAACCCAACACCAAGAATGCACAGTGATTCAAGTTTACTCAAGAAATCTAGTGCTATAATCTCGAAGACTCCCTCTGAGAACCTGAGTTCACATTTGAATCTGCGGATATTGGGAAACCTTCGGATTACTACTTCCTTCGTTGCTTGGCGACTGAATAAACCTACAATTGAGAAACTTTGTAAATTCTCTAGAATCGAGATATCTTCCGGATGATCATCGGCTGGCAATTCCCAATATGAATTGACTATATGCAAGTGCATTATATTTTTCATTTTCCACACTGTATTAGGCAGCAAAACTCTGCTGTAGTAATGCTGTCCATAGAAAGTCAATGTCTCCAGAGTCGAAAGATTGGCAATTGACGGCGGGACAATGAATTCTTCGCCTTCAATTGTCAAGGTTAAGTACTTCAAGGGACCAAATTGCTGCATTATACTTGGAAAGAAATGGAATCGACACATTCGGCTTAAGTCCAAAACTCTTAGAAGTTTGGACCGGGAAAACTTGTACAGAATATTGTACCAAGGTCGCGCATCCATTGTTTCGTGTTCAACAACAATGAACAAAGTGCGTAGAGAAGGAAAAACCAGCATTGACTCTGCAAAATCCTCCACTCTTTTGGAGTAAGCATGAAACCGATATAACACATTATGCTCCATGGAAGTACCAAGTTCACTACCATGTAAGCGATGCAGAAAGTGATCATCCATGCTTTTGGCCAAGCAAAACTCGTGTATTAAGTCGTGAAGTATGCAAAATTTCACTTTGCCTTCGGCCCCTCTCTCAGCGATCATAACTAAATTCCTCTGTATCAAGTCCATCATGTAACCCTCTGCAACATCCTCTATGCTCGCTTTCGGAGTTTTCTTCACGAACCCTTCTGCAATCCATAGCCATGACAATTCCTGAACACGTATACGTTGATCTTCTTTATGTGTTGCAAAGTAGAGAAAACATGGTTTCAAATAGTCTGGTAAATGATTGTAGCTCAACTCTAGAGTCTCTTTGCACTTATCTAGTGTAGTTGCTAAGCTATTCTTTAGACTTTCTTCAACTTCTTCCCACCTACTTGTCTCCATACTTGAAAGAAGGCCAGCAACAATCACAATCATCAACGGCAATCCCTTACAGCGTTGTGAGATCGCCTTCCCATGAGCACGTAGTTGCAAAGGATGGTTTTCTTCAAAACGTATCTTGATTTGGAATAACTCCCAACTCTCATCATCAGTGAGTGAACGAAGACAGTAGGGTTGACTCTGTTGTTTGATTTGAGCGACATTCTCATTTCGACTGGTTAAGAGAATTCTGCTGCCCTTCATATCATCAGGAAATGAAATTTTTAGGCTTTCCCATGCTTCACTATCCCAAACATCATCCAAAACTATGAGATACGTTTTTCCCTTCAAACATCGACGAATTGCATCAGCCAAATCATATTCATTCATTTCTGAAGGCCGCCAGAAAAACCCTTGTCAAGGCTGATTAAAACCTCAAGCAACAAACTCCTTTTATCGTATACTTGAGAAACTGTACACCATGAACAAACATGAAAGTAATGAAAGATGGAGGGATCACAATACACTTTCTTGACTAAAGTTGTTTTGCCCAACCCAGCCATACCAACAATGGAAACTACATCCAATTGTTTTGTTCCTCTTCGGAGCCTATCAATTATGTTTTGCACCTCATCATCCATGCCCACTACAGGCTCATTGAAACCTGGAATCTTTTCAGCTAATGGGATGTTCATGTGAGTTTTCGCAAAGTTATGATTTTCGGTGATCTCCCCCACACTGCGAGAAACTTCTAATGCCTCAATCTTAATAATTTCCATATGTTCCATGATAGTATTAAATGTGCCACACAAGCTTTGAATAGTTCCTCCAACCACAAGAGAATCGATGACAAACTCAGTTTCATAGGCGGCCACAGCAACGCGACTGCAGAGAGCTTGAACCTTCCCATTTTGAGCGCGTAGCCGCATGAATTTGACAAGCAAAGATCTTACAAAAGCTAGATCATCCTGTATAGTTACTAACATATTCTTTTCTGAAGCAACCACTGAATCCGGCTCATAAAGATTGTGTGACTCCATTTTTTCCAGGACAGAATCAATAAACCCCAACAAGTTGGTTTGTGGAAAGCAGGATACTAGCTTCAGCGGATATGTTGGTGCCTCTTGTTCTGTCTCCTTCTTGAAAAGGTTAATTTTTTTCTCAACCTCGAAAAATAGATGCTGCAGCGGTGTGTCCAAGCGGTTGTCATCTTTTTTCACAAATAGATAGCAAACTATGATTGCTGCCTCACATATCAAGACTGTGATACTGTTCTGCATATTCTCATCATATAGCTCCTCAGACTTATCCTGGTGTTCTCTCAAAACGGCTCTCAACAATCTGAGCCCCTCATAGAGTGTATACATTTGATTGTGAAAGATGTCCACGTAACCAGTACCACGGAATGACAGCTCCAAAAGAAGAAAGATGAGAGAATCAACCATTTCAAGTATAAGTGAACGGCTTTCCGGAGTGGCCTGGTTGGTTGACACAGATAATTTTGAAGCTTCTTTTAGGACTCCAACATAAATCCCGCAAACATGGTACTCAGAAGGCTTTATTCTTTCAACAATTTTGTCAACTTCATCCGTTTTAGGCCAAAAATCAGACAAAAGAATGCAGCCCGCAGCATCAACAACCAAACCTTTCAATGTGAATCGACACGTCTTCCATCTGCCTTTGCTCAAGTCCTCGAAATATGGCGAAGCGAATGAAGGTTTTCAAGATTCCGAAACTTTTTAGTAGCTTTTCATCTCGCACATACCACAAACTCTGAATAAGCGTGTCCAGCATACCAAGGAGTTCGCGCGCTTGTGTTGGGGAAGAAGACTTGTTTTGTAGCAGCGAGTAATCATCACAGAGACTCTGTTGCAAGTCCTTCAGTCCTGGCAAAATGGATTCCTCGATTTCCTTGAGGAATTGGCTAACTCGCCGGCAAAAATGATCTTTCTTCTCATCATCAAAGTTCACTTGATCAACATTAGCGTCGTTCCTCAATGTGAGACAAAGAATATGAATTTCCAAAGAATGTCTGTAAACAGTCTCCTCCAAAGTATGCAATGTAGATTCGGATCGAAAACCTTCACCCGACTTCCTTCCGAGAGCATGAAATATCTTCATAAGATTCAAAAGGCAACCCAGACGACGGTCCTCAAAACGAACTCCAGCAGGAAGTTGAAGCCTTATTAAATGAAGATCATCCAAGGCACTTTGAGTACAGCTTTCCATGACAATATTTGTCAGGAGCTGGAAGCTGTCAAATGGTGCATATACATTTTACATAATCAACTTAAAAATGTTCTTGAGAGAGCGAAATATGCATCTTTTGCCCTGAACAATTCTCTCTCCATAGTTAACCATGTGAAACAGTATTAAAAGTAACTCATCATGAAACGGGTACAATATTGAACAAAATGCAAGGTATGGAAATCAGTATATAGTACCTCTTGTTGATGAAGAATTTGTTCTTTCAAAGAAAAACTTGTTGAGGAGATCTACAAGCCTTTAATTTGCAGCATTTCTCCACCCAGATTCCAGATGGTAAACGAATTTCTCTTCTCTTTAGCTTATCTAGGAGTTGAAGAGTGGAAAGGAAAAACAGTTGAGTGATTGAAGAAAAGAAGAGTGAGAGCTCTCGGGGAATGAGAGATTAAATTTTGATTTAATTCTGACCACAATAAGGTTAAGAACTGATCTAGTGTTTGATTTTTTTTTTGCTAATACATCTCACAGGTAGAGGCAAATGTTTCACTTTTATAGTTCATTTCTTCTTTATTTTTTTAATTAAAAAAAGGAAGCAAAATTCTAGTACGGCTTTGGTGTTTGTCACTCTGAAATGTTATAATTTTTGGTACATAGCGTTTCCTCCTCTTTCATTGTACTAAAAAAATCGTGAAGGTAATTTCATGACTTAAATTGAAAATTGAAACGAGATTGTCTATTGTTGTAGCATATCATCAAGATAACGCCAGTGATACCTAAAACAAATTAACGTAAGTGGGACAATAAATGATGTACAACCTTAGTACCAAAAACAATAGTTCACTTTGAGTTTTGTTATTTGTACTGAAAGTAAAAAAATTTGAGAAACTCAATGTAGTCTATTCTCTTGGAACAAAGGGGTCTTTTGTATTTTTATTTTTTCCTTTTTTTTTAACCTAACCCTCCATTCCCTGTCTGCTTCAAACTTTCATAAGCAAGATAATTATGAATTATCCCTGATCAAACCTGATACGTGTTTTTTATTTTATAAAGGATAAAATGAAGAAAAAGCTGTACCCGAAGAAAAAAGATGGATGAAGGAAAGCGGAAAATTTTTGGTACTGGAAGCTATTCAACCTCCAAATAATTTAGAAACACAAACTCTCTTTGGGACTTACAAATGACAAAAAATGATAATTTTCTGAAACCTTAATTGTAAAGGAGATGAATGCTGCTGAATAAATGTATGCACCATGTAGTTGCGAAGGCATTCTTCATGAAGCGCATGAAACCTGAAGATCACTTCCTAGTTTGACTTCACCCTTCTGGAAATACAATCCACTTCAACAGACGACCAAAACGCTTTAAAATTTTTGAATTGTTTCACTTTGTTTTGGAAACCAGCACGGCCATAGCAAAGATCTGAGGAAGGAAAAGATCATCTCAACATAATGAAGAAGATAAAAATGGGAAGGAGGTTACTTCTAGTTGATTTGATTTGGAAACTAAAGACACTGCATCTGAACTTACCAAAATCCTTAGTCCTCCTCATCTGGATCTTCCTGTATTTCGATCTCCAGTTCGTCATTTCCAAAATCCTTCTGCGTTTCTTGAATTTGCATTATTGACTCTTTGACATTCTTGTTGCAGTCAATTGCCACAATCATTCGAAGAGTTGGGATTTCGGCTAAACACGAAGGTAATCCCTCCAAGTCCCACATACGTTTCAACACTAATTTCTCGAGACAAGGGAAGTTATCATCCGAGTCTGTCCACCTGACTAAATGCAAGAAATTTACCTTCAGAAACCTAAGGCTGGGGAATGTCCCCTCTCCCATGTTCCAATATTCCCCAATGAATGATAGGAAGCCTAATTTGAGAACCTCAAGATTTGGTAGCCTATCAATTGCTGAAATTTTACTCCATGGAATGCTAAGGCCCCCAAGGGTTAGCTTCTTCAAGTTCTGGGGGAACTGAAAGTAATCATTACATATTTCCCTGGAATACGAACCATAGATGCTGAGAGACTCAAGATGACTCAAGAAATCCAGTGCTATAAACTCGCAGACTCCCTCAGAGAGATGGAGTTTGCATTTCAATCTGTGGATATTTGGAAACCTTCCAAGAACTTCTTTCGTTGCTTGGCGACTGGATAGTTCGACAGTGGAGAAACTCTTTAAATTCTCTAAAATCGAGAGACCTTCAGGATCATCATCCTTTGATGGCAATCTCCATTTTGATCCAACAACATACAGATGCCTTAAATGTTTCATTTTCCACAAAGTATTTGGCAGCAAAACTCTGCAGAGGCCAATATATCCATAAAAAATAAGTGTATCTAAATACGAGAGATTGGCAATTGAAGACGGGACTATGAATTCGCGGGCAGCTTGCTCATCCCGGATTGACAGTGTCAAGTACTTCAAGTGACCAAGATGTTGAATTACACTTGGAAAAGCATGGAAGTGACGCATGCCCCTCAAGCTCAAAACTCTTAACAGTTTGGACCGCGAAAACTTGTACATAATTCCATACCAATAATGTTCATGCCAATTTCCTTCATCAACTTCAACGAACAAAGTGCGCAGGTAAGGAAAAACCACCCTTGGCTCAGCAAAATCATGCACCGTTCTACAGGAAATATGCAACCGATATGACTTGTTAGGCTCAGTGCAAGTACCAAGCTCACCAACCCGTAAGCGTTGGAGAAAGTGATCTCCGATGCTTTGTTCTATGCAAAACTCGTGTAACAAGTCATGAAGCATGCAATAATTCACCTTGCCTTCCGACCCTCTCTTAGCAATCATAACTAAATTTTTCTGTATTAGCTCTGTCAAGTAACCCTCTGCAACATCTTCTATGCACTCTTCGGGAACTTTTCTTACGAATCCTTCTGCAATCCATAACCATAACAATTCACGAACACGTATGTGCTGATCCTCTTTAAATACTCCAAAGTATAGAAAACATGGCTTCAAATAATCTGGTAAATGATGATAGCTCAACTCTAGAGTCTCCTTGCATAAGTCCATTGTAGGTGCACTACTTTTCTTTAGACTTCGTTCCACTTCTTCCCACCTACTAGGTTCCATCCTTGAAAGAAGGCCCGAAACAATTAAAATCATAAGTGGCAAACCTTTACAACATTGTGCGATGGCCTTTGCACGCACATGAAATTCTGAAGGATAACCTTCAATAGAATACAATTTCATCTGAAATAATTCCAAACTCTCATCATTGGTTAGCATACGAAGATGATGAGGCTGGCTTTGTGATTTTAATTGCAGAGCTACACTCTCATTCCGACTAGTTAGGAGAATTCGACTTCCCTTTGCATCATCAGGAAATGAAATTTGTAGACTATACCATGCTTCGATATCCCAGACATCATCCAAAACTAAAAGATACATTTTTCCCTTCAAATGTCTACGAATTGCATCAGCCAAATCATATTCACTCATATTTGAATACCTTTCAGCAAAGCCATTGTCAAGACCCATTAAAATTTCGAGCAACAAACTTCTTTTATTGTATACTTGAGAAATGGTACTCCATGCACGAACATGAAAGTGATGTGCGATGGAGGGATCACGATAAACTTTCTTTGCTAAAGTGGTTTTGCCTAACCCAGGCATCCCAACAATGGAAACAACATCCAAATGTTTCGTCCCTCTTCTCAGCCGATCAATTATCTTTTGCACCTCATCATCCAAGCCCACCACAGGCTCATTGAATCCTGGAATTATACCAGGTATATCCTTATGAGGTTTAGCAATATTCTGCGCTTTGGTGATCTTTCCCACTCTGTGAGAAACTTCTGATGCCTCGGTCTTAACAAGCTTGATTTGTTCTATAATGGTATTAAGCATCCCAACAAAGCTTTGGATACCTCCTCCAACAATAAGGGAATCAATGACAAACTCTGTTTCATAAGCTACCATAGCAATGCGACTCCAGAGATCTTGAAGCTTCTCATTTTGATCGTGTCGCCCCATGAAACTCACAAGAGAATTTCTTAAAAACGAGAGATCACCATGGATAGTTTCCAACTTATTCTTTTCTAAAGCAGCTACTGAGTCAGGCTCATAAAGATTTAGTGACTCCATTTTTGCCAGGACAAAATCAACAAAGCCCAACAGGTTGGTTTGAGGAAAGCAGGATTCTGACCTGAGTACTGGAGCTCTTGGTGCCTCTAATGTCTCCTTTAGAATCTTATACTTTTCCTCAACATCAAAAAAAAGTTGCTGCAGCCGTTCAACCACCTGGCTGACATATTTTCTTACACACAGATAGCAAACTGCCATTGCTGATTCACATATCAAGACTCCAATAAGGTCTTTCATTTTCTCAAATCGCTCGTCGAGCTGATCATGATGTACTCTCAGAGTGGTTGTTAAGAATCTGAGTGCCTCATAGAGTGTATGCATTTGTTGGTCAAACATGTAAATGTGATTGGTACCACGGAGTAATAGCCCTAAGAGAAGAAAGATGAGAGAATCAACCATGCCTAGTTCAATTCTGTGGCCTCCTGGGGTGGAAACGTTGGATCCCTGTGACGATTTTGAAGCTTCTTCTAGGACTCGAACATAGATCTCGCAAACATGGTATTCCACCGGTTGTATTCTGTCCATAAGTAAATCAGAAAACTTGAAATTTAGGCTCGCGGCATCAACAACCAAACCTTGAACATGAACCAACATTTCTTCCATCTGTCGAAGCTCAAGTCCTCGAAATTCAGCAAAGTGAATGAAGTTTTTCAAGAACTCCAGACTTTTGGATAGGTTTGGAATCAGGTAGCTAGGGATCATCCCATATACCCAATTCTGAATAAGGGAGTCCACCATGCCAAGGAGTTCATCTGTTGAGCTTCCTTCCAATGTTGCACCATCCAGGACTAGAATCTGCTGCAATTTCTCCAATCCTCCAGAAATCGACTCCCTGATGTTTCCAACAATCTTATTAACTTTCTCGCAGAGAGAATCACTTGGGCCATCATCCGATGATGGCGATTGACAAACATTAGCCTCTCTCAATCTGAGAGTAAGAAAATGAATTTCCAAAGAATGCTTGAAGACAGTTTCCTCCATAGTACGCCAGGCAGATTCGTAGCGCGCGCCTTTGGCCCATGTCCTTCCGAACCCATAATATGATCGCACAAGACTCAACTGCCGCTTCAGATCCTCAATCTCTTCCCAATACCAATGAGGAAATATCTGGCTTAGATCATCTAAGGCACTTTGAATGCAGCTGTCCATGGCGATAATGGTATTGCTCTAGAAGACCCTGTCCAGATAATGGTGCCAGTATAACAACATGATCAACTTTTAATGTACATTAACTGGAGAAAGTGAAATGCATATCTGATCAAGTGCTCAATGTTAATATTTAGAAATTTAGAACATAGTATATAGCAGGAGATCCAAATCCCATCTCAACTTTCCAGTGTCAAACCAAATCAAATAACAGTAGTCTCTAATTAAGTACTAGCTTGTTTAGTAGTTGAAAAACTTTGAGAATCTAAGCTTAACTGGAAGCTTCAGCTTTTGTTTATTATGTAATTCATCATAAAAATGATACAAGAAAACAGATTAAAAAAATAAAATGTAAGTATTGGAAGAATATGTATGAATACCTTGTTGATGAAGGATTAGTTTACACTTGCGCAGAACACAAATCTTTCAAACGGAAACTTATTGAGGAGATCTACAAGCCTTCTTAATTTGCAGCAATTCCCCACACAAATTTCTGATAGCCAACTTGCTATTCTTTCTCACTTACTTTTCCCCCCGTTTTTTATTTAACATGTGCCCATTTTTTTGTGGTAGAGCAGAAAAAGTAAACATTAGTGTATGGACGGCCTTTCAAAAGCAATATTCCGCTTGTCTCCAAAAGAAAAAAAAAAAAATATATACATATATATATATATATATATATCAAACTTTTAGCTGTTCACTTAACTTTTCACCTCAGATGTCAAATCAACATGATTCATTTTACTTTCACATTTTAAAAGCAAATCATTTTCAATCACTTTTCAAATGAAAATGGAAACAGATATGTTGCTCATAAAAGTTTATCACGGCTTGTTTTTTAAGTTGGAAGGGTGAACAAAGCAACAAGGTTGAGAGTGAGTAAAGAGGGTGTGAGTTCAGGGGAAATGTGCGAAATTTAATGATGAATCCGATGATGTAGTTATTGTTTGTTGAACAAAAATAAAAGAGCAGAAATTGGAGGGAATGTGGATTCCATTTAGACAAAACTTCTTTCTTTTCCTTTCCTTTTTCCTAAAACGAGAATCTTGTTTGTGTAAATGGAGGCTAAAACATAACACAATTCTCTTACCAAAAATTGATCCATATTCAACCTTGATCTGATGATGTCGTAGATTTGCGTCTAAATGACTTAATTACACGTGCAGATTGATTATGATGTCAACAATAAGAAATGTTCAAATGAAATGGCTAATCAATGGAGTAACAGAGGATTTTGTTTATAGAATTTACAAAATCCTCTCAAATTTTCCTTAAACCTCAAAGAATTTACTAATGACAATATTTGTTATAACCCCGTAGAACCTTTGCTTAGGAGATTATGATTGCTGTTGAAAAAAAAAGATGCACCATCTCAGAAGTCATTCTTCAAATGAAACGCCGATCTCCCCCACAATAAACAAACATAAGATCTTCACTCCTTTTCTTGTCTGACACTATTTGATGTATGTACTAAGTATGGTTGTCACCTTTATGCAAATGCAGTTAACCTGAATAGATCCATCGATGCTCGAATTTCTTCTAATGCCCGTCCCTTCGCCTCAGGAGCACATTTCACAACGAATGGAAAAACCGCGACAGAAATGATGGAGAAAATGAAAATTACCCCTGCAATCATTAGATAGATCTCATACATCCAAAAGGCCGGCACAATATAGGAAATCAATGAAGAGGGTTTACTGAGAGGCATTACCAAGGAATTCTATTCAAATAAACTGTTAAAAAGCGTAGGCGACAATCCAAGAACTAAACCAGTTGTCTAAAGCCAAAAGGCTTGCAGTAGTGCTTTTTATAGGGAACATCTGAGGAGGAAACATTCTTTTTCAGTAGCAAAAGAATGGATGCTATTTGTTAGCATGAACTGTGCGGACGAGAAGGTATTTCAGAAACAACAAAAACACACCCCAATCATATCGAAGGAAAAACTGTAACCTAAAATGCACGCAGTAACCTGTGAACACTCCAATGCCAGTTTAGATTCACAATCAAAACTGTAACCAAAGAGCACACAGATTTGATATACATGTTCTAACCTCTAGAATTTTTAGAATGTTGACCAAGTCTGTCCATATGGAATACTCTCGAAAGAGCAAAAGGAATCTGCGAATGTTATTAAAAGAAAAGAAAAAGTTAACGCTAAGGTTTCGTGTAACAAATTGCAAAATCTTTTCTACAAAATGGATTCAAATTGTAAGAAAAAGAAACCTGGATAGCGGTCATTACAGTAGACGAAAGAGCAGCAGGGGAATCTTGTAGCAGGTCACATTGTCAGGTTACAATCAAATGCAAGCTATGTATTTCAAATACAAAGTTGAAAACTTAATCAGCTAATAATATTCAAAAGAAATCAGTTAAAATTTACAATTTAAAGTTTTCAAAGACAATCTCGGATACATAGTTTGGTGTGTGATAGTAAAGATGATAAATTCAGATGTGCCAAACACATCAGAAATATCGAAAAGCAGGCAGCAATGGTCATTTTTACCTCATAATGATGAAGCCTGCATATCAACCGTTTTCCAGAACCAAGCAGCTAAAAAATTTCCAACCGGAAGAGGAAAGTAAGTTAGTCTCGTATCTAACCATATAAACTTCTTCAATTTTCAACGGAAAAAAAATTATCTTGTTGAAAACCAGATAGCAGAATGTGAACATCCTATTAAAAAAGCCCAAGAAAAGGAAAATGATCAAGTCAATCTCTTAAATTAAATTTTGTTCCAAGCATAGTGCTCTCCCATTCTACTTCACCACTTGTAAAGTTATCAATCTACTATTATGTTTTCAAGTCATCATAGAAACCAATAAGAACCATGCATTTCCACTCTGCAAAAAGCATAGTGATCACCATAAAATATATAGAGATGTAAGCAAGAAAGGGCATATCAATCGAAAATGTTGATTGAGAGGCATTACCTGATGAGAGTCACAAGGCTTCTATGTGTAGAGAAAATCTGAGGAAGTAAGAAATTATTTCAGTTGCGAATCTTTAATAATCTGTTCATTGCAGCACTTTGTGGAATGCCATTGAGTATAAAACAACTGATATGATTTCCCAAGTACATCTGTTCATTGACGAAAGAGTTGAGGAAGAAAAGGGAGTTCAGTAAGTTTGATCAGTGAAACACAGTTCGTTGCAATCATTGAGATTATTTGAGTTTTAAATTGAAGAAACTGAAGAAAATAATCACTCCACCGATCGTCCCGTGTTAATAATGGCAACATTGTTAAACTTTTTCAATTCTAGAGGAGTTGAAACATGCCACCAGATGACGTTAAGCAGAAAGAAAACCATAATCCAGCTACAAGAATACCCAAAATCAAGCAGATGTCTTTCTACATACGTACCGAGCACATTTTTGTTATACGGCAAAAAAATATGGGAGGAGAGGTTACATTTTCTAGCTAACTTGATTAGATTCGGAATCCAAAGATGGAGACAGTAACAATAAAGAAAAGAAAAATAAAATAAAGGAGGACGTACCTATTCAAAAGAAAACCGGAGTATTTGGATGTCCAGATCCACGTTTCCAAAATCCTTCTGTCTTTTTTCAATTGTCTTTATTGAATCAGTGGCAATCTTCTTGCAGTTAATCACCTTAATCATTTGAATGGTTGGAATTTCGGATAAAAAGGAAGGTAATTCCTGCAAGTTCCAGCATCCACCCAACACTAATTTCTTGAGACAAGGAAAATGATCTTCCGAGCAGCTTGTCCACCGGGCCAAATCTAACCATGACAATTCCAGAAATCTAAGGCAGGGGAAGGATGACCCATCTTCTTCCATGTCCCAATTTTCCCCGGTGAAGGATCTGTGCCGTAGTTTGAGAACCTCAAGATTCGGTAGTCTCTCAATCATTGATATTTTACTCCATGGAAGGCCAAGTCCTCCTCCAAGGGTTAGCTTCTTCAAGTTATGGGGAAACTGATAGTGATAATCACAGAATTCTAGGAAAAAGGAAGCAGAGATGCTCAGTGATTCAAGTTGGCTCAAGAAATCTAATGCTACAATCTCAGAGACTCCCTTGCGCAGTTTGAGTTTGCATTTCAATCTGCGGATATTGGGAAACTTGCGGAGAACTTCCTTGGTTGCCTGGCAACTGGATAATTCCACATCCGAGAAACTTAGTAAATTCTCTAAACGGGAGAGATCTTCGGGATCATCATCTGCTGGCAATACCCAACACGATGATTTAGATTTCAAACGCCTTAAGTTTTTCATTTTCCAGACAGTATCAGGCAGCAAAACTCTGGTGACGTGAAAATGTGCAGAGTAAAGAGTGAGTGTCTCCAAAGATGACAGATTCACAATTGACCGCGGGATGATGAATTCAGGACAACTTGGCCCAGCTTCAATTCTCAAGGTCAAGTATTTTAAGTGTCCAAGTTGTAGAATTACACTTGGGAAGAAATGGAAGTGATGCATGCCCCTCAAGTCCAAAACTCTTACAAGTTTGGACCGGCAAAACTTGTACAAGATATGGTACAAGCGTCGTTTATCAAATGGATAATGATAATCAATAACAGTGAACAAAGTGCGTAGATAATGAAAAACCTGCATTGGCTCTGCAAAATCCTCCTCTCTTTTGTAGCTTATTAGCAACCGGTATGACATGTTAGGCTCAGCGAAACTACCAAGTTCGCTGCCACGTAACCGTTTCAGAAAGTGATCTCCGATGCTTTTCTCCGTGCAAAACTGGTGTAACAAGTCATGAAGCATGCAATATTTGACCCTCCCTATGGATCCTCTACCCGCAATCATGACCAAATTTCTCTCTATTAATTCCGTCAAGTAACTCTCGGCAACATCCTCCACACATCCTCCGGCAGCTCGCTCCACAAATCCTTCTGCAACCCATAGCCTCAACAATTCCCGTACACTTATTCGTTGGTCCTCTTTATATGCTCCAAAGTAGAGAAAACACGGTTTCAGATACTCTGGTAAATGGCGATAGCTCATTTCTAGGGTCTCCTTACACTGCTCTAAAGTAGATGAGTTGCTTTTCGTTAGACTTTCTTCAACTTCATCCCACCTACTCGTTTCCATGTTTGAAAGGAATCCAACAACAATCATAATCATCAATGGCAATCCCTTACAACGTTGCACAATTGCCTTCCCACGTGCAACTAGTTCCGGAGGACAACCATTTCGAAAACGTATCTTCGTTTGGAATAATTCCCAGCTCTCCTTCTTGGAAAGCGAACGTAGACTGTGGGGGGATTGACTCTGTGGTTTGATTTGTGAAGTGACATTCTCGTTTCGACTGGTCAGGAGAATTCTACTTCCTTTTATGTCATCAGGAAATGACATTTTTAGACTAATCCACGGTTCGATATCCCAAATATCATCCAGTATTACAAGATATGATTTCCCCTTCAACTGTTTGCGAATTGCATCGGCCAAATCATCGTCACTCTTATTTGATTGGCTGTCAGCAAAGCCACCGTTAAGACCACTCAGAATCTCAAGTAATAAACTTCTTTTGTCGTATTCTTGAGAAACAGTACACCATACACGAACACAAAAGTAATGGACGATGGAGGGATGACGATAAACTTTCTTTGCTAAAGTTGTTTTGCCCAACCCAGGCATACCAACAATAGAAACGATGTCCAGCTGTTTCGTCCCTCTTGTGAGCCGATCAATTATCTTTCGTGCCTCATCATCCAAGCCCACCACTGCCTCATTGAGTTCTGGCATCTTACTAGTTGATGGAAAGCACTTATGAATTCTAGCAGAATTTTTGGCTTTGGTGATCTGTCCCAGACTAGGAGAAACTTCCGAAGCCTCAATCTTAATAAGCTTGATTTGTTCTATGATAAGATTAATCATCCCGACAAAGCTTTGAATTGCGCCTCCAACCACAAGAGAATCAATTACAAACTCTGTTTCATAGGCTACCGCAACTATGCGGCTCCAGAGAGGTTGAACCTTCTGATCATTTTGATCGCGTTGCCCCATGAAATTGACGGCCGAAGATCTTAGAAACGCCAGATCGTCACGGATTGTTACAAATGTAGTCTTCTCTGAAGCGACCACTGAGTCAGCGGCCTCATAAAGATTGAGTGACTCCATTTTTACCAGGACAGAATCAATGAACCTCAACAAGTTGGTTTGCGGAAAGCAGGATGCAGGCTTGAGTGGATATCTTGTTGCCTCTTCTTCTGTCTCCCTGATAAGCTTCAATTTTCTCTCAACCTCAGAAAGCAAATTCTGTAGCGGTTTGATCAAGCGATTGTCATGTATTTTGAGAAATAGATAGCAAGCTATGAGCCCTGCCTCGCACAACAAAACTCCGATAATGTTATGCATTTTCTCATCATATAACTTGGCAAACCTATCTGGAGGGTGCCCTTTCAAAGTGGTTCTCAAGAATGTAAGTCCCTCATAGAGTGTATAGATTTGATGGTCAAACATGCCCGTGTAACGAGTACCCCGAGGTAATAATGCTTCTGAAAGAAGAAAGGTGAGAGAATCAATCATGTCCAACCTAATTGACTCGCTTCCTCGATTGGCATGCTTGGATGACTGCGATTTTGATGCTTCTTCCAAGACTCTAACATATATTCCACAAACACGCAGCTCAACAGGCCTTAATCTTTCTATCATTTTGCCAATTTCTCGTTTTTCAGGTTGACAAAAAGATTTCAAATACAAGGTCGCGGCATCAACAACCAAACGCTGAACGTGAATCGACATGTCCTCGATCTGCCAATTCTGGAGTCCTCGAAAAAGGGCAAAGCGGATCAAGTTCTTCATGAATTCAAAGAATTTAAGTAGGGTTTTACTATCTGTCATGGAATCGGGTAGACATCCCAGACTGTGAATAAGGGAGTCCAGCACATACAGGAGTTCCCCCATTTCTATGGGACAAGAAGAAGACTTCATTTGCAGTGAGCCTTCTTGGAGACTCTGCATCAATTCTTTCATTTCTTCCAAACTTGACTTCATTATCTCCCAAAGATAGATACCAACCAACCCGTGGAGAGGAATTGGTTCCCCATGATGTGAGGACTTCTCATCAGCATTAGCATCTGTCAATGCGAGAGAAAAAATATGAATTGCCAAACAACAACTGTAAACAGTCTCCTCCAAAGTACGAAAACTAGTAGATTCGGATCCAACGCCATCGCCCAACTTCCTTCCAAACGCATAATATGTTTTCATAAGACTCAAGTGGGCTCCCACATGTAGATCGTAGTAAAATTCATACTCAAAGGGGATTTTCAGGCTTATTGAATGAAGATCATCCAATGCACTTTGAAAACATCTCTCCATTGACAATAATTTTCTCAACAGCTGCTGAAAATGGAGCCAATACGATTTGCCTACATTTAACACACTATGTACTCAATTCACGCCAACCAAAAAAAAAAAACAAAAAAAAACCTTAATTTAAAGGGAAAATGCTTGGAAAAAATGTGATGATTGATGAATTCAGTCGAAAAGAAAGACTAGTTAATCGTAGCTCTCTAAAACCGTTAAGAAATTTATTTACTTTATTGTCTTTTTTTAACTTATGATCACACTACATTTCTAGCAAAGGTTGGCCATTAATGAAATAAATCAAGCTCAAACAATTTAAAGTTCACACTAAAATTTGTCAGATATGGAAAAGACTACATCTCATTAGTACCTAGTTGATGAAGAATATATCCGTTTATAGCTAAGCAAAATGCAACTTTTTGAAAGGGAACTTTGTTGAGGCGATCCACAAGCCTTTGCTGCACTTCCCCAAACCCAAATTCCTGATATTCAAGCAGCTTTCCTTTTTTTCTTTGTACATATGAATCTTTTGTCCGGGTTGAAAGCGAAAAAAAACAGTAATACAGCTTGTGTGGTAGTTGCAGAATGAAAAAAGCAATAGGTGAGAGTGAGTGAACAGAAGTAGAGTGAGCTCAGTAGAGTTGGGCTTTGTTTCCACCAGCGCGCATTAGCATCAATTATACACGTATGGACAAATGTGAACATATATATTACTTTCCCGATACTAAAAAATTCATACTCTTTCCGTCCAAAAAAAAAAAAACACGGTTGTTGAACTATAATTATATGTAGGCTATTCACGTAAGACCTAGGTAAGTTTTATTGCTCCTGAAATCTAATAAAATTCTAATACAACATGTTAAATGAAGAGAATCATGGTGTTGGGAATTCTTATAGAAAAACAATGAACAAGGAACTGGAGTCTAAATGGGCATGGTTGCTCTAGCAGACATTGATTCTTGTAGTCATCAAGATGTCAAGGTCAAACAGGAAGATGAGTACTGTGGAAATTATTGTTTTTGGAATTCCTGATTGCCAACAAGCTTTTCTTTCTCACAATCTCACTTACTTTATTCCCCCCTTCCTTTATTATGTACCCATTTTTGTGGTAGGGAAGAAAAAGAAAAAAGTAAACAATATAGTCCGTGTATGGACGGCCTTTCAAAAGGCAAAAAGAAAAAAAAAATGCCAATCAAATCTTTAGCTGTTCATTTACTTTCACCTTAAAGTTCAAATCAACGTAATTCAATCCTCGATGCACCATTCAGGAGTGGTGAAACATTTCACATTTTAAAAGCAAAACGTTTTCGATCACTTTTTGGTGGGGTGTCAAGCCAACAAACAATTTAACTTATTTCCAAACTAATGTAGTACAGGAAAGTAAGGTTGTCTTCTCAGGGAATGGTGAATTTCTCTCTTTTAAATCAAGTAACCAAAAGGGGGGGAGTTTTGAGTTGTTGAAACAAATTGCAAACAATAACTAAAATGATTCAAACAAATAATGAGAAAATATCTAGCTGAGGGTTTTGTATATCCACCTTGATTTAAACAGTTGATCATAGATGCAATGATATTATCATTAACTTATGAGTAGATTAGTTTTCATTGTTGGAACCTCCAAACAATTCAATCTTTCATTTAGTTCAATGATTAAGAAACCTTCATTAATCATATACTAGTCGAAAACTAATCTTGGAACCTCCAAAGATTTAGAAAACTACTACATTAAACACATAGACCCAATCCCAATTCCTATAAAACAAACCTTGTTTTATATTAAACCGGATTACTTGTTCTTATAACATAAATAATTACTTACCAAATAATTAAATTATATTATACCCTATTTAAACAACAAACCTTGTTGTTTTATTGGTTTTAGATTATTAAGAAGCACCGAATGCTATTCATGAATCAACAATAATCATATCAATCATGCCATAGAACAAGCAATTACTCACAAGAAATTCAGAGAGAAACAACATTTAAATCTCACAACTATTCAAACCAAGACTTCAATACCCTTCAACCAGATGAATGAATTTAGCTACTCATCATAGAGGCAATTAAGAAAGCCGCATAAGTAAATATATAACCTACAGAAAAGTGGGCTAATCCAACCAATCTTGCTTGCACAATGGAAAGGGCCGGCTAAGCGGAGCGAAAAGGGTTTTCCATGAGATGGGAAATGAAAACTATTAGCCCCACACGAAGTTTGTGAATAAGCGATTGTCTGATAATGAGCAAGGAAGATCCGTCTTTCTGCTAAACAGGATGTATTGAACTCATAATTCATTAGATACTTTTTATGAATGTCAACTAAGTGTCGTAAGTAAATTGCTCCTGGAATCTTAGAAGTGGTCGGGGCAACAATTCCCTTTTCTTTGTATCACATACATACAAATGGATATGATACAAATGGATATGTTTGAGCAAGAAATCCCCATTTGAATGATTTACAATCTATAGAATTACTCCTAACCTAAAAAACTTGGAAATTCCCCCTTTTTTAAGTTTTAATATAATTGTTGGAATTGGTAAGATTCTTTTAATTGACACAGTACCAAACAAAAGCTAAAAGAAAAAAGAAGACAGGTATGGCTGGCATAATATCTACAATTGGATTCAAAAAAGCATAAGCCTCGGGCAATTTTCCTAAGAAAAAACTATTTGAATAAAGGTTAGAATTAAGACAGATACAAATCAAGCTAAAGATATTAAGCATAACATACATTTTTTGCAGTCAAGCTCCCTTCTGCCTTTGCACTCGAGGGCCAATCTCCGTCCGGCCCGAGGAAACCTTTGCACGCCTCCGTTACCTTTGAGAGTTCACGTTTTCATCATCTTTAGTAAAATCAAGTCCACCACGAACTAAAGCCATATCTGTACGCGAGGAGATCTGAAAGAGCTTATAGGAGGTAATGGAATGGATCGGGAAAGACATTTTTTGGGGCAACACCATATATTATCTATACACTTTTTTACAGAGATCGTTGAAACGGGTTACGTATTCGATCAAATAGAAAATGAAATATTGACATGAGAATTTCTTCTCATATGGCTCCTCGCAATTTCATTTGAATAAAAATTGTAATACAAATACAAAAGAAATTAAATAAAAATTGATTTTACTTTTAACTAGTTTACCGCGAATCTTAGTAGTATTTGATATTCACGATCTTCTTCTCCAGGAACTGGCTCGATGTGGTAGCATCGTCCTTTGTAACGGTGGCAGCATCCACTAATTCGGAACTTAATTTGAAAGCCATATTTCGTCCCGGGCGTTTTCGGGATGCCCAACATGCATTTTTTTGCATTGGACTCTTTCATTAACTGATGAAAATATCAGCTAGTCTGCCAAGATTACTTTTTTTAGGCCAAGCGGTTGATAGCGAGATCTCAAATCAACTTATTGGACCAATTGCCATCTTTGTATTTCTTTCGGAATACTTAGTAAAGGAAATTCATTAGAATAACAAGTCTTGCGAGATGTTATATTTCAATCAACGGGTTGTTACCGGTGTTCGCGCTTATGCGGGCATTTTAGGTTCTTGGGAGCGAAAAAAAAAAATGTCTATTGAAAGAATCTATGAAAGTCATAAAAAAAGACAATTACACTTGAACGAAATGCAAGAAATTTTACGACGTAGCTCTAAGTAACGGATTGGAGAGAGGGCTGCCTACGGACAGGTAGCCCGAACGAGGTAACCACTCTCTCCCGCCCGGACTACCAAAAAGGTAGGGCGGGAGAGAGAGAGAGAGAATATAGGGGAGCGACGCTCAAGAGGAGTGACGCAATGAAAACTGAATCACAAGAAAAATTCATTGAACAATATTACCGATTGATGTCTATGAACTCGGAAGACTCCAAAAATGAAGAAAGTGCCTTTGAAAGCTCCTTAAAAGTGGAAAACTACGTCTATTTTTATTCTACTACCTACTACTCTTTCAAAATGAAAAGAAAAGTCTATTTATATCCAGAATATAGGTCAGCCGCAGCAGCCCTCTCAGAAATCCGCAGCAGAAAATTAACTTTTCCGAGATTTGTATATTGGTCCCTCAAATTTGGCAAAATTACATTTTAACCCCAAAACTTTTTCAATTTTTCATTTTAGTCCCTGTTACGGTTTGGCCAAACAGGAATGCAACTTCAATGCTGGAATTTCTTCTCTAAAGCTCAATTTTGGACTGAGATTCGTGTGCCCACACGAGAATGTGATGTCATTGCTCCTTCTTGTGCTTCCTTGTCAAAATGCTCCACAAATGTGTGTTTATGAAACATTTTGCTCCATCTCATCTCTAAGGACTCCTAGGAACCAAAAACATCAAAATACATAATATAAGTGCACAATCTAATCGAAAATACTATACAAATACCCATAAATAATATGAAACTTCAAGACCTATCACTTTTCAAATGATTTAAAACAAAACTTAAACAAAAATGCCGGTCATAAAAGCTCATGATAGCTTGTTTTCAAGTTGAAGAGCAACAAGGGGGGGAGTGAGTGAAGAGTGTGAGCTCAGGGAAAATGAGCGAAATTTAATGATGAAATCAGTGACTCATTAATTGTGATATTGCAAAGCTAATAATATATTAGCCAAAATATGATGATGTACTTATTGTTTGTTGAACAAAACTTAAACAACATAAATTCCACTTTTCTTTCCTGGAGGGGGATAGAGGGAAAAAAGTCGATTTATACAAAACTTCTTTCTTTCCTTTATTCATTTTTCTTAAACTAACATGTAACAAGACGAAGTCTGGAAATGTATCACCGGTTTAATAGTGGAACGCCGACTAGGGGCCTCGGAAGTCTCCCGAGGGTAGACACTCCGATACTTAAGTCAGAAATAGGGTTATGAGCAAACATGCGTATGAGAATTGGTGCTAGAGATAGCGTACCTCAATTGTGGTGTGATTAACTCTATTTATAGGCATGAAGTTACCTGGAAGAAAACCGAGTCCTATTAGGTTTCTTGTTGCTCAAACCGCCCTAGTAGAGTCGGTTGGACTCTTTACTCGGTTGATGGGCCGGTCCAATATTGGTGATGGATACGGACTCGTCAAGTGCCCCTGTCAAGTGTTAGTTATATGAAATAAATAATACTTGACACAAAATAAATCTAACCTGGACTCGGCCCAAGAGAAACGGATAAGTCTCGGCCCATGCTCCGTCGAGCAGGCCTGATGAAATAGCTCGCGGGTCAAGATCCGCTCCAAGAAGGCAACCCGCTTCAGAATCCCGCCCAAACTATTAAACAGCACGCTGTTAGTGGGCACGTTCCCCAAACAGCGGCCAACAACATCATTACTGCCCCGATTTTCGTTGCAATGGCAGAGACGTGGGGGAACAAGACCGCCTTATATACCCTTGGAGAGGAATTTCAAATTTGACATTCCCTTTACTTCCAAACTTCAAAACATTCAGAAAGAAGGAGACATCTTGCTATTATTATGTCTCTACCTGAGTTTTAGCCGGATTTGCTTATAACGACTGTCGCCAGATCCCACCGAAACATACCGCCCTCGAGTGGACATCAACATCCTGGGGGGATATAACTCAAAAGGAGAGTGCGAACCTTGTCGAACAGTAAGTCCTCAGACCCAAATATCTCAGTTTCATTTTCAGTCTTTTTCTTTTCAAATTTCAGTGTAGACCAGAGTAGATCTAGATTTATTGCTGCAAGTAGGGAATTATGGTTGGAAACCCAGATCTGAAAATCGTCGATGATTTTGCTTCCACCATAGATTCCGATGAGAAGGTAAAAGGTGTAAAAACGAGATATGATTTGCCCCTAGATCTAGAAGCTAGACCCCAGCTAGATATGATTTGCCCCGTGAGGGAAGAATCACCATATATGACCGCTTTATGTATCTAGGGCTAAGATTCCCCCTCTTCCCTCTGTTCGAGGAGATTGTCCAACACTACCAAACCCCTCTTGCTTGTTTTACACCAAACTTGATATCCTTTATTCTCGGGTTCGCAAAAATATGCCAACGAGTAAAGGTGAAGCCCAACTAATTTTGTAGAGGTACTTTTTCCAAGTCGTTTTTCCCTCGACATCATTCCAAGATTGGTATATTGTCAAAACACGCCTCAGGTCTGGTGTCAAGAAGATGGTCCAGGCATACAGTGGTTCACCAGAATGGAAGCCTAAATACTTGTTTGTGAAGGCTTCTCAGATGTATTGCGTTGCATGGTACCATTGAGAAATAGAAGGTCTCGGGACAATAAAGGATGATTGGACCGAGGATGACGAGAGCGTCGAGGAGTTTGACGACGATCTGAAGAAAATCCTGGCGTACCCAAAACTCATTAGATGGAGTGACGTGCAGTATTACATTTCCCCTATTCCTGTCGAGGAGGAAAAATGTACTAATATCTGTGTATTGCTTTTGCTGTTTTTAGGTCATGTTGTCGAGCAACACTAGTTCTCGACTCTATGATGACAAAGATCCGTTTCCTATTGTGAATTTAGATGAAGAAGAGTCAACCACTGTAGCTGTTGGAGCCAAGAAGAAAAGGAAGAGACTCGTGAAGGTCTCTGAGAAGAAGAAAAAGAAGGCAGATGTCGTCGCCTCGAAGTCAACAGCTCAAGGAGAGAATATCGTAGCTCCTGCAATGGAGAAGACCAGTGCTCCCCCTGCAACCGAGAAGGTCACCACTCCCCAAGTGGAGGTAGACCCAAGCAACAAAGCACCTGCCAAGGACAAAGGGAAGGGCCCTATCGAGGAGGAAGCAACCATCTTGCCTTCCCATGTATTCGAGGGATGACCAACTTTGGCAATCCTCCAACCATTGAATGCCCCTTGCTGGAAGAGTTTGCTGCACAGCTAACAGCAACCAACAGCGTGAGGCTGGTAAGTACTTTATATCACTCGAGAATATTCTTGCAAATCTCCTGGAGATGAACTTTATTTCATTCAATGAATTTTACATATGAGTGCAGCCTCGATGGCATCCTTGATGCACTTAAGGAAATTAAAGGAGGCGTTGGTCCAGGCTCGGGCCGAGAGGGACCAAGCGCTTGCCGAGAAGGTTGCTCTCGAGGAGAAGAGTCAGCAGATACAGGCCAAAGAGCAGGAATTAGCCTTTGTGCAGGCTAAGTATAATGAGTTGGATGAGAAGCTAAAGGCTTTTGCGAATATGCATATCTTGAGGGAGGACCTCCACAAATGGTGTGCCGCTTTCTGGTTGAGGATGCTATGTACAGTGGGATGGCAGCAGATATCGAGGAGGTTAATATGGCTGCCAGAAAATATGGAGCCCATAAAGTGGCTGTTGCAGGCCTCAAGAGATTTAACAGGGACATGCCCATTAAGGCCAAGTGGTTCAAACAATTTCTGAAGGAGAGCCCGAAGAAGACCATGCACGAGGCTCTGATAAAGGTTCTTAATAAGCTCAGTAGCGAGCAGCTACCCCTATGGGAATCTTTATGCGAAGCTCTTGTCAAGATGGGTGCTTCTGAAGATACCACCATGTTTCTTGGTGATCCTGCAACAGTCTTGTCCAAGGGCCCAAGCGAGGAGGAGCCAATTCCTGAGGTGTTGGACGAGTATATCGGCATCGAGCTCGAGGAAGAAGATGATGAGGCCTCAAAGGAGGATGTGGATGATACTGGCAACTCAGGAGTGCAGAAGAACGCCGGAGAGACATCTCAAAGTCATCACAAGGATGGTTCTACTGGGCAAGATGTTGTATGAACTCTTCCCTCTGTAATAGCTGCTAGGAATTTGAACAATCACTTTTGTAAATAATTCAAGTTTTTATTTGGCTTTTACATAAATGCCATGTTGTCTTGCTTTCCAAGTCTAATTTTGGCAATTTCATTTTTCCTGAAAACAGGATAGCTGGTCTGTTCATCGAATCCATCTCATGATTTTGTCGGAGGAACAATCTAGGGAATATCCTCTATACTCGATGATTAGCAATATATGAGAATTCGTGCAGATATCCAAAGTATCAAGGCAGTAATGAACTTAGAATTAGACATCCTTAATGCTATGTGGGCGCGTAACGTGAAAGTCAACCAGCATTTGATCGAGGAAATAAAAGAACTCCGTGTGGAAATGCAACGGCGAGACTACCAGAAAGATAAAGACTTCAGTGATTCTTTGACTTTCGTGATGGAAATCCATGATGAACTGGTTGCTTTGGAAAAAGAAAACGCCCGGCTAAAACAGGGCCAACAGATTACTGTGTCACCATGGTTTCTCGAGAAGCAGAGGTTCTTGCTCGAGTGCAGCACATGATCTCAATAAGAATGCGTCGGTTTATATCGGTGATGGACATGCTGAAGGAAAGAACTCGCAAAGTCGAGCTCCTGATGGAATACATAAGCGAGCTCCAGAACTTACTGTTGGATCACAACGTCGACTTCCCATCTTTTGAGAACCCCGAAGAGGTGGTAGATCCTAGAACCAAGAGCTCTCGAGAGGAACTCCTTTTAAGGGTTCATACTCAGGATAAGGAGATTATAGATCTCAAGGATAAGCTCAACCAGTACGTAAACCTTCTTAGCCTGCATGGGTTTAAGGGTATTATCCATCTGTCCCCTGACAACCCTAGCATGGAAATCCTTGTAATATCATAGAAAAAACGTGTATGTTTTCCACAACCTCGCACAGCGTGTGAAGGTAGCAAATGTATTATTGCTTTAAGAGACTCGAGTTTGTTTATTTATATAGCGCTTTTTAGCCGGATGATAAGTACAAGGCTTTCTCGAGGGAACTGGGTATGAGTTCCTCGATTTGTTACCGCGATCTGCGGTGGGTACGGGGGGGGATTCCTTGGGTTTTTTCCAAATGTTGAATACACGACTCTGAATGAGGATAACCCTAAAGAGGGAGTCTATCTCGAGCACTAGGGTCAATATAATGTCGACAATGTAAGAAAATATGCAATGACTTTTATTGAATAATTACCCAAGGACCCGGGTTAGCATTACATATGAGAAAGAAAAAGCAGTAAAACAAATAAAGCAAATAGGGCAAATAAGGCAAATAACCCTAACTAGTGTGCAGTAAGTAAAAGCTTAAACATAGAACCTACAGAGGTTCTAAAAATTCCTTCATCGATGGAGAATGGTACTACTATCATCTCTGGCTTGTAGGCGGTAGCTGCCTGATTGAGAGGCTTGGATGACCTTGTACGGTCCTTCCCAATTTGCAGTAAGTTTCCCAGGAGTCTCGGCTCGACTGGCCTCGTTTTTCCTAAGCACAAGATCCTCCACCGTGAGGTCTGTTGCCTTGACTCGCTTATTGTAATGTTTCCTGATGGTCTCCTTGTACTTTGTCTCCCTGATCTTTACAGCATCCTGTCGCTCCTCGAGTAGGTCAAGGTTCAGCATGATATCATCATTATTAGTGATCTCGGCAAAATTGATTGTCCGAGGACTTGCCAAGCCTATTTCGACTATAGAACTGCATCCAAGCCTTAGACCAAACTGTAGGGAGTTTCATCTGTCGAGGAGTGAGCAGTAGTGCGATATGACTATAGGACGTGAGAAAGTTCCTTGCCCCAAGCTCCTTGGCATCGTGTAGTCTGGTCTTGATTCTATGCAAGATGGTTCTATTTAATCAATTTTGCTTGGCCGTTGGCTTGGGGATGAGCTACACTCGAGAATCGGCACTCAATTTGCATTTCCTTGCACCATGATTTGAAGGGGTTACTCTCAAACTGGGTCTCGTTGTCGGAAACAACCACCCTATGTACTCCAAAGGGACAAAAATGTTTTGCCAGAAAAATTCCAACACCTTCCTTCTTGATATTGAGGCCAACGTTTTACCTTCTACCTATTTAGTAAAGTAATCTACTGCTACGATTACTCATCTTACTCCTTCTGCCCCTTTTGGATAAAAAAGGGCCGATGATGTCAGTGCCCTATTGATAGAATCGCCAAGGACTTTGAATGGTGACTATCTCGTGCTACGAATATCGAGTAATAGGAGAAAAACGTTGGCATCTATCGCATTTTTTTACAAACTGGTACGCATCCTTGAAGACCACGGGTCAAAGGTACCCTGGACGCAGTACTTTCTTAGCAAGTGCTCTCGCTCTCATGTATGCTCCACATGACCCCTCGTAGATTTCCTCGAGGACATAAGCTGCTTGTTTCGGTCCATCGCATCATAGCATGGGTAGTAGGTACCCGTGCTTATACAACACACCATCTCTCAAAGTATATTTGGCCGCTTTCAACTGGAGCACTCGAGCATCCGATTTGTTACTCGAGCACTCAAGCATCCGATTGTCCGAGCACTCGAGCGGTTTGACCAACACGAAGCCTAATAGGATTCGGTTATCTCCCAGGTACTTCAGGTACTTCATGCCTATAAATAGGGTTGATCACATTACAATTGACAATAATTAACCCAAAAAGTACCATAACTTCGCCTGCTATATTCGTTCGCCACCATAAGTTCAAAAATAACTTAAGTCCCATCAAAAGTTGAGTTTCTGTCTTCTTTCACTTTTCTGTCCGTTCATCGTCCAAAAAGTAACAGAAGGCTGACTTTCACGTGCCTTTCTAGAAGGGGCAATTTTGTCATTTTGGATCTTAAGTTATTTTTGAACTTATGGTGGCGAACGAATATAGCAGGCAAAGTTATGATACTTTTTGGGTTAATTATTGTTTCTTTTATTAATTTAGATTTGTATATAGTTTCCTTTGTTTTATTAATTTATTATTTTTATTTTTATTTTTATTTTTATTCATTTTTCTTTCTTGTGTCAATATTTTTGTAGGATATTTGAGCTATTATGGAGAATTTTAACTATGGATATGGAGAGACTCCGTATTATGGTTATGATTCTGAATATGGAGACTATCCTACATATCAAGAAGATCCGTACTCTTGGAACAATTTGTTTTCAGATCCTTACTATGGTTGTGATTATCAAGGGTATTCATTTTATGCTGGGTACAATTCTGGTTAGTGCGTATATGAGTCCTAAGATGTTGTCATGTTTGGAGAGAATTGATAAATTGATGGATGACATCGAGAAGAAAAATGCTTCATATTTCTCTCAAGAGGATTGTTACCACTCAAATGCATCGGTATATCAACCACCACCTTCTCAACCCACTCTAAGAGAGTTAGCAGCTCGTCAACCTACTCTGAGAAAGCTAGCAGCCTTACAGTCATCACCTTGTCAACCCACGTTGAGACAGTTAGGATCTTCGTATCAACAGCCACCTGCTCAACCTCAACTTACTGTTAGAGAGGCAGCTCTTCGAGATTTTCAAAGTGAAAAAGGCCAACAACTTATCGAAGAGGTCAATCAATATAGGTTGAGTGTGGGGTTGCCGGAATATGATCCTATAGGAAATTTGCTTAAATTGAATAAGAATGAGAAGATTTCTGAAGATAATTCATTGGTCCAGTCTCCCCATCCACCATCTCAAACTGAGCTTGAATATGAAGAATTAGAAGAGACCAAAGAGATTAACAGACCAGATATTCTAAGTTCTCCTGATTCTTCTAGTATATACATAGTAGTTAAGCATGATTCGCTCATTCTGAGAGTTGGTGACAAAAATGTGGACACATGTGGACACATGTGGTCCTCAAAATCTCTTATACTAGGGACAACCTCACCATAATAGCTCAAATATCCTACAAAAATATTGACACAAGAAAGAAAAGAGAATAAAAATAAAAATAAAAATAAAAATAATAAATTAATAAAACAAAGGAAACTATATACAAATCTAAATTAATAAAAGAAACAATAATTAACCTAAAAAGTACCATAACTTCGCCTGCTATATTCCACCACAAGTTCAAAAATAACTTAAGATCCAAAATGACAAAATTGCCCCTTCTAGAAAGGCACGTGAAAGTCAGCCTTCTGTTACTTTTTGGACGGTGAACGGACGGAAAAGTGAAAGAAGACAGAAACTCAACTTTTGATGGGACTTAAGTTATTTTTGAACTTATGGTGGCGAACGAATATAGCAGGCGAAATTATGGTACTTTTTTGGTTAATTATTGTCAATTGTAATGTGATCAACCCTATTTATAGGCATGAAGTACCTGGGAGATAACCGAGTCCTATTAGGTTTCGTGTTGGTCAAACCGCCCTAGCAGAGTTGGTTGGACCTTTACTCGGTTGATGGGCCGTCCAATATTGGTGATAGATAGGGACTCGTCATAACACATGCGCATTACGTGTAGATTGATCTAAATGAGTTCATTAGACATGTAGATTTATTATTATGTCATAATAACACATGTTCAAATGAAGATGGCTAATCAATGGAGCAGAGCAGAGGATTTTGTTCATAGAAATTTACAAAATCCTCTCAATTTTTCCTCAATCTCAATTCTCAGTGCATAGGAATTAGAAATGACACTATATGCTTAACCCTGTGGAACCTCTGTATAAGAGATGTTGAATGCTGTTGAATAGGAAGATGCACCATCTCAGAAGCCATTCTTCAAATGAAAGCTGAAGAGCCGATCTTCTACAAGAAACAAACTTAAGATCTTCAACCCTGCCGCTCCTATTCTTGGCTGACAATATTATACGTATGTACTTAATATGTTTTTCACCAGTATGGAAATGAAATCCATTTGAATAGATCCATCGATGCTTGAATTTCTTCTACTGTTCGTCCCTTCGTTTCAGGAACACAGTTCACAACGAATGGAACAACTTCGGCAGAAGTGATGGAGAATCTGAAAGGCCAGAACAATATAGTAAAGGCCAGCACAATATAGTAAATCAATGAAGAGGGTTTATTGAGAGGCATTACCTGAGGAATTCAGTTCAAATAAACAGTTAAAAAGCATTGGCGGCAATCCAGGAACTAAACCAGTTGCTTAAAGCCAAAAGGCTTGCAGCAGTGCTTTTTATAGGGAAGATCTGTGGAGGAAACAATGTTTTTCAGTTGCAAGTCCTTAAAGGAGTAGTTCATTGCATCGTTTTCTGGAAAAGCCATCGAAAAGCTTGTATCTGATGTGATTACCCATGTCGTGCTCCCCATTCTGGATGCCAATGCTGAGGAGTACATCAACTCGTGGATTCAAGAAATAAGAGCAACCCTATTAGTTTCTCCATGAGTATGAGCAGTTACATCTACTCTTACAATCAGCGAAAGCCTTCATTTACATCAATACATGGAAGGTGACTGCTTTTTTCAATGAAGTCATCTACGTCAGTACATTCTCAGAATGCCACAAAAGAATGGATGCTATTTGTTAGCATGAACTGTGCGGACAAGAAGGTATTTCAGGAACAACAAAAACACACCCCAATCATATGGAGGGAAAAACTGTAACCTAAAATGTACGCAGTAACCTATGAACACTCCAATGCCAGTTTAGATTCACAATTAAAACTGTAACCAAAGAGCACATAGATTTGATCTATATGTTCTAACCTCTAGAATTGTTAGAATGTTGACCAAGTTTGTCCATATGGAATACTCTCGAAGAAAAGAAAAAAGTTAACGCTAAGGTTTGTTGTTACAAGTCTCAAAATCATTTCTACAAAATGGATTCGAATTGTAAGAAAAAGAAACCTGGCTAGCGGTCACATTGTCAGGTTATAGTCAAATGCAAGCTATGTATTTCAGTAATAAAGTTGAAAAGTGAATCGCCATCCATAACAGCTGAAACCAAATGAATTACCATAGCAAGATCAACCTCCATCTGTACTCCAATTTGTACCAGAAGCCTAATAATATTCAAAAGAAATCAGTAAAATTTACAATTCAAAGTTTTCAAAGACAATCTCGGATACATAGTTTGGTGTGTGATAGTTAAAAATGATAAATTCAGCTGTGCCGAACACATCAGAAATATAGAAAAGAATGCAGCAATGGTCATTTTACCTCATAATAATGAAGCCTGCCAAAACCAAGCCGCCAAAAAATCTTCAACCGGAAGATTAAAGTAAGTTAGTCACGTATCTTACCATATAAACTTCAATTTTCAATGGAAACAAAATTATCTTGTTGAAAACCAGATGCACAATGTGAACATCCTATTAAAAAAACCCAAGAAAAGGAAAATGATCAAGTCTATCTCTTAAAGTAATTAAATTTTGTCCCAAGCATAATGCTCTCCCGTTCTGCTTCACCACTTGTATAGTCATCAATCTACTATTATCTTTTCAAGTCATCATAGAAACCAATAAGAACTATGCATTTCCACTCTGCAAGAAGCATACGGTTTACCACCGAAACGGCACAATATTAATGGTCCAAGTGAAATTAATGACAAGAATGGTGATACGCATAATTCAAAGAATGAAAAACAGGTTCGTGGAAGCCATTCAATTGTTTTTTATTTCTCCGGTTCTTCCTCAGCCTCAGATTTCAGAAGCACAAACACTTATGGAAGTCATGGTGGATATACTTATAAATGAAATAAATGTGTATTGAGTAATTTACTGAAACCACCAGCCGAGAAGACATTCAACTGAAAATAAGGCATGCCACCATACTGCGCAAAATAACAAACTGATGATCTCTGCACTGCTCTTTTTCTTGGCTGAAAATGTAGATATGTGTACCTCTTAGTTTGTCTTCAACTTCTGAAGTGTGATTCACTGACATGGAACCACTGATGCTAGAGTATCTTCTAATGTTTGAACCTTTGTCTCGGTAACAACTTTTGCGACATATAAACATCCGCCACGGGATTCGTGGCCGAGTGTTGGAAACACTCCTGCAATCATTATATCTCAGCATGAAATGATTGCCTTAAAATAAATACAGATGTAGGCAAGACAGGGCATATCAATCAAAGAAGTCGATTGAGAGGCATCACCTAATGATTCCCGAGGTTTCTTTGTATAGAGAAAATCTGATGAAGAGATCATTGCAGTTGCAAATCTTTAACAATTAGTTCATTGCAGCTCTTTGTGGAATGCCATTGAATATAATATAACTGATATGATTTGCCAACTACATCTGTTCATTGAGAAATTAAAGAGAGGGGAAGAAAAGCGAGTTCAGTAAGTTTGATCAGTGAAACACAGTTCGTTGCAATCATTGAGATTATTTGAGTTTAAAATGAAGAAACTGAATAAAATAATCAGTTCATCAATTTGATCTATTACTTCGACCGTCCAATGTTAATAATGGTATCATTCTTAAACTTTGTCGAATCCAGAGGAGTTAAAACATGCCACCAGATGAAATCAAGAAGAAACAAAACCATATTCCAGTGACAAGAATACCCAAAATCAAGCAGATGTCTTTCTACGGAGCAAATTTTCTTAAATCAACAAAATTAAGGAAGAAAATAAGATGGGAGGAGAGGTTATATTTTCTTATTTTCTGGCTAACATTGTTTGGTTGTGAAGCCAAAGTTGGAGAAAGTAAAAATAAAGAAAAGAAAAAACTATGAAGGAAGACGTACCTATGTCATAAAAACCGGTTGGAATCCTGGCGTATTCGGATCTCCAGATCCACATTTCCAAAATCCTTCTGTCTTTCTTCAATTGTTTGTATTGAATCAGTGGCAATCTTCTTGCAGTTGATTACCTTAATCATTTGAAGGGTTGGAATTTCGGCAAAACATGAAGGTAATTCCTTCAATTTGAAGCAGCGTTCCAACACTAATTTCTTGAGACAAGGAAACTGATCATCCGAGCCCGTCCACCTGGCTAAATCATCCAAGTCTGACAATTCCAGGAATCTAAGGTTGGGGAAGGTCCCCTCTTCCATCTCCCAATGGTCCCCGATGAATGATTCCTCCAGTAATTTGAGAACCTCAAGATTGGGTAGTCTATCCATCATTGATATTTTATTCCATGGAAGGCCAAGGCTCTCCAGGGTTAGCTTCTTTAAGTTCTGCGGAAATTTGTAATGATCATCCCGGATTCGCTGGAAAATGCAAGCAGAGATGCTCAATGAGTCAAGTTGACTTGAGAAATCTAGTGCTACAATCTCAGAGACTCCCTTGCGCAGTTCGAGTTTGCATTTCAATCTGCGGATATTGGGAAACCTGCGGAGAACTTCCTTGGTTGCTTGGCAACTGGATAATTCCACATTGGAGAAACTTTGTAAGTTCTCTAAATTGGAGAGATCTTCCGGATCATCATCTGCTGGCAATACCCAACGTGACGATTCCGAATTCAAACCCCTTAAATTTTTCATTTTCCAGAAAGTATTTGGCAGCAAAACTCTACTCATTCCAAAGGGTGCATAAAGAGTAAGTGCCTCCAAAGATGACAGATTCACAATTAACCGTGGGACGATGAATTCAGGGCAAGTTGGCCCAGCTCCAATTCTCAAGGTCAAGTATCTCAAGTGACCAAGTTGCAGAATTACACTTGGAAAGTAGCTAAAGTGACAGATGCTCCTCAACTCCAAAACTCTTACAAGTTTGGACCGGCAAAACTTGTACAAGATATGGTACAAACGTCGTTTATCAAATTCATGACAATCAATAACAATGTACAAAGTGCGTAGATAATGAAAAACCTGCATTGGCTCTGCAAAATCCTCCTCTCTTTTGTAGCTTATTAGCAACCGGTATGACATGTTAGGCTCAGTGAAACTACCAAGTTTGCTACCATGTAACCGATTCAGAAAGTGATCTCCAATGCTTTTTTCCATGCAAAACTGATGTAACAAATCATGGAGCATACAAGATTTGACCTTGCCTGTGGATCCTCTACCAGCAATCATAACCAAATTTCTCTCTATTAATTCCGTCAAGTAACTCTCGGCAACATCCTCCCCACATCCTGCCGCAGCTCTCTCCACAAATCCTTCTGCAATCCATAGCCTCAACAATTTCCCTACCCTTATACGTTGGTCCTCTTTATATGCTCCAAAGTAGAGAAAACACGGTTTCAAATGCTCTGGTAAATGACGATAGCTCAATTCTAGAGTCTCTTTACACTGCTCTAAAGTAGATGAGTTGCTTTTCATTAGACTTCCTTCAACTTCATCCCACCTACTCGTTTCCATGTTTGAAAGAAGGAATCCAACTACAATCACAATCATCAATGGCAATCCCTTACAACGCTGCGCAATTGCCTTCCCACGTGCAAGTAGTTCTGGAGGACAACCTTTTCCAAAACGTATCTTCTTTTGGAATAATTCCCAACTCTCCTTCTTGGAGAGCGAACGTAGACTATGGGGGGATTGGCTCTGTGGTTTCATTTGTGAAGTGACATTCTCATTTCGGCTGGTCACGAGAATTCTACTTCCTTTTATATCGTTAGGAAATGACATTTTAAGACTATTCCAAACTTCAATATCCCAAATATCATCCAATATTATAAGATATGATTTTCCCTTCAAGTGTTTGCGAATTGCATTGGCCAAATCGTCTTCACTCTTATCCGACTCGTTGTCAGCAAAGCCATCGTTAAGACCGCTTAAAATCTCAAGTAATGAACTTTTTTTGTCATGTACTTGAGAAATGGTACACCATGACCTAACATGAAAGTAATTGATGATGGAGGGATCACGATAAACTTTCTTTGCTAAAGTTGTTTTGCCTAACCCAGGCATACCAACAATAGAAACGATGTTCAGTTGTTTCGTCCCTCTCGTGAGGCGATCAATCATCTTTTGCGCCTCATCACCCAAACCCACCACGGCCTCATTGAGTTCTGGCATCTTACTTGCTGTTGTCGTATTCTTTTGAGTTTTATTGTGGACTTTGGTGATCTGTGCCAGACTGGGAGAAACTTCTGATGTCTCAGTCTTGATAATGTTTATCTTTTCTACGATGGTATTAAGCGTCCGAACAAAGCTTTGAATTGCGCCACCAACCATAAGAGAATCAATGACAAATTCTGTTTCATAGGCTACCGCAACAATGCTACTCCAAAGAGCTTGAACCTTCTCATTTTGATCGTGTTGCCCCATGAAATTGACGACCCAAGATCTTAGAAATGCCAGATCCTTACAGATTGTTACAAACTGATTCTTTTCTGAAGCAACCACTGAGGCAGCCTCGTAAAGGAGTGACTCCATTTTTACCAGGACAGAATCAATAAACCCCAACAAGTTGGTTTGCGGAAAGCAGGATGCAGGGTTGAGTGGATATCTTGTTGCCTCTTCTTCTGTCTCCCTGATAAGCTTCATTTTTCTCTCAACCTGAAAAAAGAAATTCTGTAGCGGTTTGACCAAGCGATTGTCATGTATTTTGACAAATAGATAGCAAACTATGAGCCCTGCCTCACATAACAAAACTCCGATAATGTTATGCATTTTCTCATCATATAACTCGGCAAACCTATCTGGGTGCCCTTTCAAAGTGGTTCTCAAGAATGTGAGTCCCTCATAGAGTGTACAGATTTGATGGTCAAACATGTCCGTGTAACGAGTACCGCGGGTTAGTGCCTCTGAAAGAAGAATGGTGAGAGAATCAATCATGTCCAACCAGAATGACTCACTTCCTGGATTATTGTTGGCAAGCTTGGATGACTGCGATTTTGAAGCTTCCTCTAAGATTTGAACATAAATCCTGTAAACATGGTACTCAACAGGTTTTATTCTTTCTATTACTTGTTCTACTTCATCTTTTGCAGGTTGGGTAAAAGACTTCAAATATAAACACACAACATCAATAACCAAGCGCTGAACGTGAGTCGACATGTCTACCATCGTCTGCCTATTTTCAAGTCCTCGACATGATATGGCTAAGCGAATCAAGTTTTTCAAGAACTCCAAGTGCTTTACTAGGGCTTTAGTACTACCTCCAGTCTCGGAGAGCAGATATCCCAGACTGTGAATTAGGGAGTCCAGCACACACAGGAGTTCCCCCATTTCTATGGGACAAGAAGAAGACTTACTTTGCAATGAGCCATCTTTCAGACTCTGCTGCAATTCTTTCATTTCTCGCAAACATGAACTCCGTATCTCCCAAAGATAGATATCAACCAAGCCGAGGAGAGAATTTGGTTCCCCATGGGAGTCCACCTGATCAGCATTAGCATCCGTCAATGTGAGAGTAAAAATATGAACTCCCAAAGAATATTCGTAAACAGTCTCCTCCAGAGTACCAAAAGTAGATTCGGATCGAACGCCATCGCCCCACTTTCTTCCAAACGCATAATATGTTTTCATAAGACTCAACTCCGCTTCCTCATACTCATTCATGAAAAAAATATACCCAGGGAATTTCCGCCTTATTGAACGAAGATCGTCCAGTGCACTTTGAATACAGCTCTCCATGGTCAATATTTTTCTCAACAGCTGCCTAAATGGAGCAAACACACAATTTGCATACAATCATCACACTACGTATTAATTCGCACCCCCAAAAAAAAAAAAAGAAAAAGAAACCTTCATATATAGGGAAAATGCTTTGGAAAAAAATTTTAAAACTGTGATGCATCATGACTGATCAATTCAGTCGAAAAGAAAGACTATATATAGTTAATGCTAGCTTTCTGAAACCGTTAAGAGGTTTTTTTAATTTATTATCATTTTTAGCTTCTGATCACACTAGCTATACACATTTCTACCAAGGGTTGTGGATTAATGAACTTAATCAAGTTAAAACAATTAAAAGTTCACACTAAAATTCGTCAGATATAGATGGAAAAGAATTTATCTAATTATTAGTACCTTGTTGATGAAGGGATCTGTTGACTATAGCTGAGCAAAATGCAACTGTTTGGAAGGCGGATTTTGTTGAGGCGATCTACAAGCCTTTTGCAGCACTTCCCCAAACCCAAATTCGTGATATTCAAGCGGCTTTCCTTCCTTTTTTAGACATATAAATCTTTTGAGCTGGTTGTAAGCGAAGAAAAAACAGTATTACAGCTTGTGTTGTAGTTGTAGGGTGAAAAAAGCAATAGGTGAGGGTGAGTAAAGGGGAAGAAGAGTGTGCTCCGTGGAGTTGGTTTGTTCCCCACCCGCATTAGCATCCATCGTACACGTATGGACTAATGTGAACCAACTTTCCCACGATCCCAAGAACTTCATACTTTTTTCGTCCCAAAAAAATATATTCAAATTATAATATACACAATAAGTATGTTATTAAGGTAAGACCGAAGGTGAAATTTATTGTTTGGAAAATGTAATAAAACTCCTGTGTAGGAGCTTTATCTTTTGTGGGGATCATTTGTAATTTTAGTGGATGGATAGCATGTAGCACATGTAAATTCCTGTGTAGGAGTATTTTGTTGATATTGAGATTGTACTAAAGTTTGGTTCAATGGAAAGAAAAAGCAAATTTCATCCAAAAAATTTAAAAATATATATATATATCTAATAAAATTCTCGTACAACATTTTTAAATTTTGATTATTTTTTAGTGTTTGTTTTTAGGAATTTTTTTATAAAAATATAAAAAATATAACAAAAATATAAAAAGATATAATAAGATAAAATAATTAAATTATTCTGAAAAAACCATTAAAAAAAAACCAACAGAGAGAATCATGGTGCTTGTGAATTCTTCTATAGTAAAACAATCAACAAGAAAGTGGAGCTTAAAACGGGAATGGTTTCTGTTGCAGACAATGTTTCTTTTGGTCATCATGATGTCAAGGTCAAACCGCAGGAAAGATGAGCGTGGGAATTACTGTTTCTGGAATTTCTGGTTGTTAATTGAAGGGAATACCTTTAACAAAAGCCGGAAATTAAAGAAAGTGAATGAAGAGAGGAATCTTTTGATCTATCGAGTTGCAATCTTTGACTTTCTTTACTCTTTGTCTCATTATATACTAGTTACGTACTTCTTCTATCTCAAAATTATTATCTAATTTTAATTTAATTTATACTAAAATTGAAAATGCAAACTAGAAATAATTTTAAAACATAGGGAGTATTATTTAGGGGTAACTGATTACAAAATTTAAATTAAATTTGATTTATCATGAATAATTAATTGAGATAAACTACATACAATTATTGTATGGTTGAACTTTTTATCCATACATATTCTAAACATGATTAAAGTGTTCTTTTTATCTCATGATAAATGTCCAATTTGAATTTACATTTCTAGTATAAATTATACTAAAAGTGAAAATCAAAATTAAATAATCATTTTAGAACAAAGAAAGTAACAAAGACATTGAAAACAAAACATTATACAATAAAAACTCCATTAGTTATTATTGTCTTTAATTAATAAAATCTATTAAATAATAAAATTTTTCGGTCCCAACTCGGGACGAATACAAAAATTAAAAAAAATCAGTAAATTAATAAGATAATAAATTTTGAAAAACAAATTCTGTATAAATATAGGTTCTCTAAAAATCATAAATTAGTAATAAGAAAAAATTATGAAGGTTTAAGAATGTAGCAGGATATTGAACTTTGTCTTTTGTTGAAATTTACATGTGAGAAAAGATCATCTATGATTTTCTCTTCAACCTATAAATAAAAATAATAAGAACATACATACATACGGGAAATAGTGTTGAAGTTGAGTATTTTTTTTACTAATAGAATTGAAAAAAAAAATCTTTAGATTAATTAAATATTAAATTATCGACTAACTATTAATTTTAGTGAATATTGTAGCAACAAAGCTATTAATTTATAGAGTTTTTTTTATGTAATTATACCAGAGAAATTATAATACCAAATATGAGGTAAAAGTTATTTTTTTCCTAATGTGGTACTGGTATCGAGGGGCATAAATTTGATAATATAGTTTTAACTTGATACAAAATGAATAATCACTGTAATATGAAAAAAGAAAAACTTTGGTTCCCATCCCTCTCGTCCTATTTCTAGCAATTCCTTCTAAAACAAAAAGAAAAAAGATAGAAAAAGTGTTCTGGTTTACCATTGGCGAATAAAGATGCAACCCATTGGTATTTTTAAGTCATATCAAGTAATAATTCTGTCCAAAAAAGATAATTCATCTTGAGTTTTGAGATTTATACTAGTTTTAGTACAAATTTGAAAATTATTTTTTGGGACAAAGGAAATAATAATAAACACCTAGCTACACTTTGCAATGTGTACCTAGGAGATGTGTGTATTACAAAATTGGTAAAAGAGAGTAGAGTTGGTAGTCCATATCACACGCACATTAAAACTGCATTAAAACCACCAGATTTTATTCTTTTTTATAGCACACATTTTAAACCTCCAGATCTTATCCTATTACCTTTTTTATTTATTTTATTCTATGAGAAATTTTTTCTTATAACGATGGATTTTATTTTGATAAAATTGACGATGGTTTATTATTGATACTTATGAATGTGGAGAATCAATTGGAGCAAAACATTTCAACTGATTAACAATGAAATTCGGTAAATTAAGCGTTAAATTTGAAACATTTTGATAAATAATGATATTTGTTTGGATGAATAATGGTATATTTATCGATGAATAATGATGATATTGTGGATGAATAATGGTATTTTTATAGTGATAAAGTTATAGATAAATAAATTTAAATTTTGAAATAAAATAACGATATTTACAAAGATGAATAACGAAACAAATTTTGATGAATCATGATCCCATCTTAGATGAATAACAATACTAGAATGAAGAAAGATATAGTTTTGTTAGATGAATAATTGTAACTTAATGAATGAATAAAATATCGTTAGTGAATGAATAATGCGCAACAAAAATAAGTAAATTTGATTAAAAAAATAATGAGAGTATATTTTACAATGAATTAATGTCAGCAACTAATCTAACAAACTAATTATGCATTATGCTAGACAAAAAATGAACAAAAAAATTAGTCATTGTTTTTAACATATAAGGTGTTGAATGATTCGCCGATTCTCGATACTTTTATGTTGATTATTTGATTTCAACAACTCAACCAAAATATTTGATTCCCGATCGATCGAGTTCATTTTGATGAGTATTTCAGCTGGTGATGGGAATTTTTTAGTTCCTGTGGTTTTACTTGTTTCAACCTCCGATTGTTTCCATCTATCCTTACTGATGCATTATGTCAATAAATGACAACATTAATAAACAAATGAATAACATATTCGTATGTAATGAATAACTAAAATTCACTTGATGAATAATCATATGTAAAGAGAGGGAGGAGTAGGTGGAGCAAGGGTGACCTGCTAGCTTCTAGAGCATTCGCTTCACTCCCGACAATGAGGGAAACAATGGGACTTGTTATCGGAATTCCTGTCAAGGCTCGGAACTCTAGTACACGGTTCCAAAGGGCCTTTCTACGCCATGTCTCTTTACTTGAAACAACAATAGCAGCTGCAAAAGAAATAAGATCCCCACCATGTAAATGCTAACAAAGTATATTCAAATCTCTCACATACTCTTTTGAAAGCACTTTTTGTGCAACAACCTAACTGGAAAACCCAATAAAACGATGTATAATGCAGGTAGTGGCACAGTATTTAGCACAAATAACTAATTATCTTATGCAAAATCAATGTGGATAAGGTGGTGCCTTGCAAACTTCTCAACAGACAATGCATTTTGAAATCACAGATTGTAGTAAACAATGGATTGAATCACTCATTCTATGTTATAATTCAAGCTCACCATTGGCAGCAGCAACAATTGGCACTGGAGTAGAAGTTGAAAATATAAAAGAGCGACCTCTCGACTGAATCAACTGCTTCCATTTCTTGCTGTTCAGTTTTTGGAATTAGGGGAAACTTTGTAAGTACTTGGGGGAGGGAGAGCGCACAAGGTGCGGTCGTTTGAAAGTAGAGACCCGTCGTATTATATGCTTGATTAGAACAAATTTGACAATATATTATTGATTAAAACAAATTTGACATCAAAACGTTGTAAAAAATAGACGGGGAAATTACAGTAGCCGAACCTAAGATTGCTCCAAAATTTCCCTTGTTCTAGAAAAAAATATTATCATTCTAATATAAAGTAGTCAGCATCCAGGCTTGAATCTTAATTTCAAATAGCATGAACTCCACACCACGTGAAATGGTTGCCAAAACCATTGAATTTCACTATATCCGTTAACTACATGGGTAAATAGTCCCTGAAACTTTTCCTTGCTCATTTCGTAAGCCGGCGAAAGCACCATCACCAAGCTCTATTCGCATCAACCACAGCAAACACTAAATGAAAAAAGAAATACAAATTTGGCACACTTGCGGAGTTGAGAGTAGCACTTCTGCTTCTTGCGGAGTTGAGATATTACTTGGCACAGTTGATGGTGAAAATTATTCCTGAATTGATGGCTTTCCCACCAACTTTCTTAGCTAAACCAGTCCTAACTCCTAATTACAGAATATCAGCGGGATTGACGGGCGGGATTGAAAGTACTAGCGGCAGTATCAAACCATCTACTTCTTATCTTCTGTTCTGCGACCGTTCCCTTCCAATGCTTGTTCCCTAAGCAGCTTGTTCCTTAAACCAGTCCTAATCTGTATATTGCACATTTTTTGTTAGAACCCCAAACCCTAGTATATAAAGTACTCCTATATCCTTTCCAAAAAAAAAGTACTCCTATATGATATGCAACAGAAACAGTTTGAACTTTTAATCAATCAACACAATTTCACCTCAGTAGACATTCTTATAAATCAAACCTCAATCTTATTGATCAAATATTTTATTTGTATTCAGAACATGAACAAAAGCATGCAATGAAAAGAAAGTAAAAGCAAAACTCTGTACATACGGACTTCAATGCAAAGGTACAGATTGATTACATGAACACATGTATTGTATTCTCAAAGCCCAAATCCTTAAATAAAACTACCGAATAAATGAAAAAGAATGCGTTTCATCAGTCACAGATGAAAGGTGAAAGGTGCAGGCGATTAAATATTCAACAAATTGATAACATTTCACATGGAAATTTTATCGAACACCTGAATCTAAGCAAGTACTATTGGTATGTATGCCGATTACCAAATTGGCTAACTATAAACACTCAAATGACACAGTTGATTTTATTATGCATCAATCTATTTGAATTTCAACAATACTCCACCACTTGCAAACCATCAAAGAAAACAGAAAACTTCGGCCAAAAAGCCCAAACTAACAATTATTTTTTGATGTAACTACACAAATTAGTAATAATCGAAGTCAAGACCCTCGGATCCTGGCTACCTAACATCTCAGAACCCCAAACTAAGATAACTAACTCAAAAAATTCCAAGACCTTAGCTAGCCCTGATCGAAAAGGGAAAAAGAAATACTCAATTCACAAAGGGGAAGAATCAAAATAAATATTAAAAATGCAATCGGCCAGACGAATATATTGAATTTGAAATAGCAGAACCAACAATTTCAGAAACATGGAGAAGGTGGGAACGAACCAGCGCTGGCCGTGAGCCTCTTCCCTTTCCGGCATCCTGTCGCCGTGATTCTGCCTCTTTTTTACAAGCACATGTACTCTATGGCCCATAGCTATTTAGTTCAACAATAACACCCCCATATTCTGGGGAAGAGTTCTCTTTGTTCACTAGAAAGAAGTTTCTGATTCATCGAGAATGAAATTTATAGAACTAATTATTCAGTAAGACAGAGAATATGAATGCAAAAAGGAAACAAATTTTGTTCGATATAAACAAGTTAATGACTTGCAGCACAAAAGGGAATTTAACTCCCAATCACACTACCATCAGCAAAATAAGTGACAATAAGGATGCTTTCAAATATTAATCACCTGCATGCTATAAATCCACCGTGGCAACCAAATGCCTTACGCAGGGTGCCAATGCATATATCAATTTCTTTCTCGCAATTGAACTTCTCAGCTGCACCACCACCAGTTCTCCCACAAACCAACGTGGCATGGGCCTGAATGTTGTAGAGTGGAGACAAAAGAGTATTACTGATTAATTACTTCTGGGCATTCAAACAAAACAAAAGTCTGTAATGTACGAAAACAAAAAAAAGAAAAAAATTCTTTGGATAATCTTTGTAGCTAACAATTTGTTATTATAATTACATAGTAGATATTCCTTTTAAACCATACATCATATTTTCAGTTTTAGTAAACTTACATCATCAATTGCCAACAAAAACCCATGCTTCTTGCGTAGCTGCACAAGCTCAACAATAGGGGCAAAGTCGCCATCCATGCTAAACAAGCTGGTAAGAAGGCGTTAAGAATATCATTTTGCTTGAAACTATTTTATTCAGCAATTGACAAGCAGAGTAAGACATAAGGTTAGAGCACAAATGGTCTAGAAATGAGGAAAAACCAACTTGTTGAAGGAATTTTGTTGCTTTAACAGTTGCCTTTTGCACAACTCAAGATTTAATATTGACAATGGTAGCATCATTCTTATGAGCATTTGTATCCCTCCATAAGACAATAAGATGCACAAACTCATTCTTGGTGTTATATTCATTGTCTCCTTGTTGGTACTCAAGATGATAAAATGAGACTACCAGAGACAAAACAAAAGTAACAACTCCGCATCATTTAACACCACTGCAAAATGGCACAAATATTTATTAACAACATAACTTTTAGTCACTTCAAGAATTCATTGAACAAACTAGATTTACAACAACAACAACAACCCAGTATATTCCCAACTCGGTTGGGGTCTGAGGGGTCAAAATATACGTAGTCCTACCCCTGTATAATAATACAAAGAGGTTGTCTAAGTAGTACGACCCAAGATGTATTGGTACATTGATGTATTGATTTTCAAAAACTTCACCAAATTAAGAAGTGCCGAAATTGAGTTGAGCCATTTTGATCTAATCCATTATTTGCACAAAGCTGAAAGAATTGTCAATGATGACTCTTCCAACTCCATTTACAATGGCACAAACTAGATTTACATTTAAGAAAATATCATTAACCCAACAATTCGTAGCAGTTTCTGCCAAAAATATTTAATTGAATAGTGTTTCATAGCAACATTTCCCCTGCAAACTAAAAAAATTAAATGAATGCACAACAATTAAAAGAATATTTTTATGTTATTCTAGTTAGTAAAGCAGCTTAAAAACTCATAATGTGGTCCTTTACAGTAGGCTGAACAATACAACAACAACAACAACAACAACATACCCAGTATATTCCCAATTCGATTGGAGTCCTGGTGGTCAAGATGTATGCATCCTTACCCTTGTATTTCAATACAAAGTGGCTGTTTAAGTTGTACGACCCGAGATGCATTGGTGCATTGATGTATCGATTTCCGACAACTTCACCAAATTAAGAAGCATCAGAATTTAAATGAGCCATTTTGCTCTAATCCACAATTAGCACAAAGCTGAAAGAATTGTCAATAATGAGTCTTCCAGCTCCATTTGCAATGGATAATAGGCTGAACAATAGCAACATTAAATTTGTTCGCAAGATGGTTACTTTCTACAGCCATTAAATCGACTTGGAGGCCAATTATCATAATCATGGCAACACAAATGACAAATCTAAATGAAAAGATTAAGTATTTGCATAGAATTATGATAAGTTTGCCAGGTATTTTCTGAACTGCAGAAGTAAAAATCAAGTGAAATGACTTACCTATCGGTAACAATTACTTTCTTCTTCATTCTGCTACTTGTTCTGCTGAGCATAAAATCATTGTTGTAAGGAAGAAAAATACGGTGGAATATGGAGCAAATAAAGAGCCTCAAACTAATAAAAAAGAGACCATTAACTTACAGTAATGCATCAAGGTGCAACATGTCACAATGTCTATAGACATATGTCACAGCCTTTGCTTGCTTCTCAGCTAGTCGGATACCATCAATTATTGATGCATGATTAAGAGAGTCTGAGAATATGGCAACCCTATCATCCTGAGCTGGTTTTTCCCCTGCAGCTAAGAGTAGACCAACACTTCCCAATGCTGTCATGAATGTCATGTTGGCTGAAAAGCCTATAGGACAAAGAAGGCAATCCTAATATGTAACAATAGAACAAGAGTTTATCAGTTTCAAATCCAGGCTCATGGTTCCTAGAGTCATCAGCAGTCTGAAGATAAACTAGCATAACCTCTTAATGACAAGAGTACATGTTCCATAAAGCTATATCCCGCTTATGTACTAATGAAGATATTGAACTAACTGTACAAAGTATGATCAAGCTATTACAATACCAATACTTTCCAAAAATCGGATATCATCTCCACTACCATTTCTATACAAATGTATAATCCTACATTTCACTTCCTGCTGAATCCTTCTTACTCTTGTTTCTGTATCCTCATTTCTCATTTGAAATAGCCTTATATTCCTCTCATTCCATGTATGATATATCACAGTATTCAAACAATAAAACAGAACTTGCTTCTTAATAGCCTTGTACTTCCAGATATGCATCAATCTTGCAACAGACAAATTCTTGATTTCTGTTCTGAGTCCAAGCCATTGAGTAATGCCATTCACCAGTTTCTGTGCATAGGAACATTTAAAGAACAAGTGATTACCTGTTTCCTCCTCTTCTTGACACAAGATATTAGTCTGATCAGTGACATTGATCTTCATATGCCGCAATCTGTCTTTAGTTAACAATCTGCTTCTCCAAGCTAACCAAGAGATAAAACTGTGTTTAGGAATAGAGAACTTATTCCAACAGATTGCTGCTGGTTTGAACAGCTCCCTTCTTCCTCTGATCCACATATAACCACTTCTTGTATTATATGGTTTACCAGCATTTCCTATCCAGCTTCCATTTACTACTGCAATTTTCAACTCATCTTTAAGTTTCATCAATTTTCTCCACAGCCAGTTACAATCTTGTGGAGGATCATAATTCCAAATACTTCTGCCTTTTAAATAATAGATGTGCATCCATCTGATCCAGAGACTCTCTTTCTTCAATTCCAAATCCCATAGTTGTTTGCCCAGTAATGCTTTATTCCAAGTAGTTGGTTCTTTGATATTTACTCCCCCCTCTCTCTTTTTACAGCAAATTTTATTCCAAGCTACTAAATGACAACATTTGCCTGATCCTTTTATCCCCCATAAAAACTTCCTGCAGTAAGAAGTTATCTCATCTATCACAGACTTTGGAATTAGAAAAATGCTTGCCTGGTAACTATGAAGAGTTATCAAAACAGCATTGATCAACACAGTTCTTCCTGCATGTGAGAGATGTCTAGATTGCCAGCATTTGATCTTGGCAGTTAATTTATCAACCAAGTATTGACAATCTGATTTATTCCATCAAGTTGGAGCCACTGGAAGTCCTACATACTTCATTGGAAAGGTTCCAATGTCAAAATCCATCAATTGCCTGATCACCATCTGAGTATTCTCTCTGATCCACCAAAGTATAAATTGGACTTTCCTTTATTAATCCTCAATCCTGTGGTGCTAGCAAAATGATCCAAAGTACCTTTGACCATTTTAACTGTATTTAGCTCAGCTCCACAGAATATTAACAAATCATCAGTAAAACTTAATGATGTTATATTCAGCTCCCCACAGTATGGATGTTTCACAAAACTATCCTTGCTTGCCACCTGTTTAAAACTTCTTGTAAGATATTCCATAACCAACACAAAGAGTAATGGAGACATTGGATATCCTTGTCTCAATCCTCTTTGACCTTGAAAATATCCCACACTCTTCCCATTAAGGTTCAGTGAATAACTAGATGATGTAACACATTCCATGATCCCTTGTCTGAACCTAGCAGTAAATTTGTATTCTTCTAACATTTCTTCCAGAAACTCCCAATGAACTGAATCATAAGCCTTCCTTAAATCCACTTTCATAATACAAGATGGTTTTGCTGATTTCCTGTTATAGAGTCTGATCAATTCCTGGGCCAGAAGCACATTATGCAAAATTAATCTTCCCTTCACAAAAGCTCCTTGGTTGCTATCCACTAATTCTGGTAGTACAAGGCTCAATCTTTTGCAAATCATTTTAGAGATGCATTTATATATAGTATTACAGCATGATATTGGCCTGTATTCTGTGGCATTCTTTGAACTTTCATTCTTTGGTATCACAGCTATGATAGTGGCATTGATTTGCTTTAACAGTCTCCTTGTTTTGAGGAACTCAAGTACAGCATCACTGAAATCATCTCCCACAATAGGCCAAGCCTTCTTATAGAATCCACTGATATATCCATCAGGTCCAGAACTTTTGGTTTCATCAATACTAAAGAGAGCTTGCTTTACATCTGCTCTGGTGAAATCTTTAATCAATAAAACCTGCTGATGAATATTCAACTTGTTTCCTTCATCAAAGATTTCACTCTTAGCATTTATTCTAATCACCTTCTTCCCCAGCAACTCTTTATAGTAACTGACAAAATGATCCTCTACTATGCATTGATCCTCCACTAACTGGCCATCTTCTGATAACTGTTCATCTTTTGTCTGACTGCTGCACGAAAATACTGAGTATTCATATCACCATCACAAATCCACTTTTCTTTCATTTTCTGTGCCTAAAAACTCAGAACAGCTTTTGATGCCATTGTATATTCCAAAACTACTTCTTTTTCTGCTACCTGTACTTCTTCATTCAACGGATCAAGCTTTAACCCCTCCTGAAGTCTATCCATCTTTAATTTGCATTCCTGTTCTTTCTCTTCAATGTTGGCAAAATTCCTCTTGTTGAACTTTCTCAGCACTGATTTTAGCATTTTCTGCTTTCTCACTGCCTGAAACTATTTAGTGCTCAATTACTGGAAGGAATTCTGGATCTTGTGCCCACATATTGAAGTATCTAAACGACCTTTTGCACTGTTGTGTTACCTCTCCCACCTTACCAACAGAGCATTGTGATCAGATATTCTAGCAGGCAATGGTACAGTATGCATCAGAATATTTTTGCGACCACTTATCATTCACACACTCTATCCAACTTTGAAAATATTCTCATTCCACCAATTTGCTTATTAGTCCAAGTGAACCTACCACCATAGGTTTGAATTTCCCACCATTCATTATCTTCTACCAGTTTCTTAAACTCTTCAGTATCAGCACTTAACTCATTTACTCCTCCAATCTTGTCTTCTTTATTTAATATACAATTATAGTCTCCCATGATGAGCCATCCACCACCTACATTTGGCTTGAGTTGCTTGAACTCTATCCATATAGTTGCTCTTCTCTGAGCATTATATTCACTGGATACTATTGTCATGTGGAAATCTTTAGTACCACTTACTTCTTTCACATAGCAGTGGAGATATTGCTGAGTTATATGTTCCACCCTTATTCTATACTCATCTCTCCTTCAAATTAATATTCCCTCCGTCCCATAATTATTGTCCACTTTGCCCAAAAAATTTTGTCCCAAAATTATTGTCCAATTTGACTTTTTATGGATCAAGTTACACATTTGTCCTTAATAAAAAACATTATCCATAAAATCTTTATGGTTAAACAATTACTTATGTAGGGGTATATCCGGTTGTTCAAGGTAAAATAAATTTAAGTTTGACTAAAAATAAAATCTTCCATTTTAGTAAAACTGGACAATAATTATGGGACGAATGGAGTAGTATTCTCCCCTTATTTCCTCCTTCACTATTTTTCACATAGTCATATTGTCTCCATTTCCACTTCATCAACTCTTCCACCTTCTCCTTATGCAACTTAGTCTCCAATAAGCCTGCAATTCTCACATTATTAACAGAGAGAAAGTTCCCAATCTCCCTGTGTTTTAGGGGACTATTAAGTCCCCTTACATTCCATGAGGTAATATTATTAATGTTTGCTAGACCCTGGATCAGGGGGACTAGAAACAGAATGATAAATTGTGTTTACTAACCTCATTTTATCATATATCCTTCCTTCATTCATCTTGTATCCTTTCTGATTTAATATTTGAATCCCTTCCTCGTGATTACTTGCATCCTTCCATTGAGTTCTGATTGGACTTTTAATATTGAATTAATTTTGTTAACTTGATCTTTTGTAACATTAACACCAACGGCATATCGAATCAAGGAATATCACCACACTTACATGGTCTGACCATATCTATTCAATGTAGTATCCAAAATTCGACTTGTAAGTTGGCTACTGCCTGAGCGAGGAAACTTCATTTTAAACACAGATGGTTCAGCAATGGGAACCCCGGGCAATGATGTTATGGTTTTGTTATTCGAGGAGATAACGGGCAGTTTATATATGGAGAAAGTTGCTACTTGGGACTTGATTTCAGCCTCTCTGCAGAAGTTAAAGTTGTACTCCATGGTTTACGAAGATGCGACTTGATGGATCTACCGAATGTCTTTATTCAGTGCGACAACAAAATGGTCGTAGACTTGATTCGAAAAAGAGCTGACTACCCTTAGAAGCTTCATGGTGAAATGAAAGAAATTAAGACTCTTTTGCAAAGAAGAAGATACTCCATTAAGCATATTTATAGAGAATCAAACGCGGTGGCAGACAATTTGGCAAAACTAGCCTTGTCAATGCATTCTGCTCAGTTTTTGCTTCTTAGAGATTTACCAGCAACAACAAGAGGTCTGATTAGACTAGACCAACATTCTTTCCCATACATGCGCATAAGTTAAAGGATGTGGAAGAACATTGTGACAGAGAAAACTCCTTTTGGGTGTATCCAGTTCAAACACTGCTGACGGACACCAAAGCCATTGCCAGACTGAAGAAGACATATCATACTACATCCTTAGTGGAAAGTTGATCTTAGTTTCATAATCCCTTATAGGAAAGCTCAAACTACAAAATGTGTACCCATGTCAAAATTGTTCCAAATCATGAAATGAAATGTGCATTTTTGAGTAAAAAAGAGAGAGAGAGGAGAGAGAGCAACCAAACACGAGCAATGGAAGGATCATATGTGAGACGTATGACCATTATTCACCATCATTACCGCTACTTCTAATTCAAAAGAAACAATATGCAAATTCATCTACAGGATCTACTGAAACAATAAGCAAATTCATCTACAGGATCTACTGTACAAAGCGATGAAAAAAAATCGGGATACCTCCTTTTTCTTTAGGTCTACCAAGGAAGCCTCCAGCGATCTGTGGTAATTAGTGTATCCACATATTAAAGCAGAACCCATTGGTCCCATTCTATGCTCCTGAGCTGCCTAAATCTCCAAGCAAATTAATGAGAAACGGAAATCAGATCTGTTAGCAAAAGAACCCTTTGGGTTATAAGGAAGAGATCTTTTAGGTGATAAATTTAGGAAGTGAAAATGGAAGAGAAGAAATTTTGGGAGAAGGGGAGCTTTACTACTTTGTAGTAAAAAGGAAACAAGGTGGAGTGTATTAAGCTTTTAGCTTAAAGTTTCTCACAACTCTCTATACACATTATATTAGGGGGTTAACTCCTATTTATAGTTGTGTATGGAAGGTTCTACATGCATGTTTTAAAGATTTTTCTATAACACCTAAATATCTAGATATTTTATTCTAATATCTAGATATTTCTCTAAGATATTTTCTATAAATTATTATACAACTTCTAGATATTTTCATACACATTTCTACACATTCTAAATATTATTCTAGAATATTCCTATTATTTTCTAATATCTTCTTTTTTCTAGAATTCTCTTTTTTAATGGTCTAAGACTTGTAACTAATCAATATTTATGGTCCAATTTAATAACCATGGGTAGCCCAATATTACTTAGACCAATCAAGTTTATTTACTAACAAGATCAAGTAAAATACCTCAATAACAATTTGTAAAATCGAACAAGAAAATAGACCAATTATAAGACCTTTGCAGCAGCCTTGATAACTGTCGGGTGTGTACTCAAGCCCAAGTAATCACTGCCAGAGAAGATCAACAAAGTCTGGAACTTTGCACAGGAAAGTCCGGTTCCATCATCACCCTCGCCAATGATACTACTCTCCAAATCATCTCCTATCCAATTTCCAACAGCAATGCACATAAACAAACATAACAAATGAAATGGACATATAAAATAGCCGATTAAGCCCTTTTACTCTGATTTCTAAACCTAATTGGTTTTCTTAAACTAGACACGTAAAAAGGGACCTCAATCTTACCAAAATTTTCCGAAAAATTAACACTACATTGTTCAATCAAATCAGTGACTTGGGTAAAGCAAACTAAAGGAAAGGAATGGTACCAGCACAGGGAATGTCTTGAAGCCATTTCTGGAAAGTGGGTTCTGAAATTTGGACTTGGACAGGGGTCCTATCCCAGGAATGCAATCCATCTGAAAAATGGAACTCATCGGACTCAATCTGGTTGGATGAAGCGGATGGTGTAAGATGGACGTTGTGAATAGCTACCTCTCTCAGATGAAACCCACACTACACGTGCCCTTTTTCTTCCACTCTTTATCGTTTGGTTTGGTTTTGCTCCCAGTACGATGAGTTTTAAATTTTAAGCATGCTTTGATGAAAATATTCACCACTATTATGAGATGTTGTTCATGCAATTGCTTCATGTGAGGCCCTTGAGTGAGCCCCTAAGAAGTCTGGGAATAAAAGTCCAAATGCTTCCTTTTTCTTTTTGTCCCTTTCTTTGATTTTATAAGTACAGTTTCATTACAAATTAAAAACGTCAGATTTGCTTCACAAAGTGAGTGGAGCTCTCGGCAAAGTGCCAAATAAATTAATAAAAACACAGAGTATTTTTACTCCAACAATAAACTTGATGATAGTAGTCAATCTCTGTTCACTCAAGAGAATGGAATTGGCTTTTTTGAAAGTAAATTTTTGGGTTCCCATGCTCAAAACTGTGGACAACATCCAGGCAGAAAGAATCACAATAAATTCATATTGACCCCCTTGCATTGTCCAATTGATCCATCATTTTCATCTTCTTTCATTTCTACAATGCCGGTGGTGAATACACATTTTGGTTTATTGACTTCTCTTGGAGAACCAGGTCGTGCTACCAACATGTGAAATGGTAATTACATGTAACAGCTTCTTAAAAGAGTTCTGGTCAAACCTACGGCTTTCTTAATCAGTTCACCCAAAACCACCGAAAAAAAAAGAAGAAAAAACTAAGCACAGGCACAATCTCGCAAAATCTGTTTAAATGCCTCAACTCTACTTGTTGCACCTTACTATCGTACTGAAACACGAAAGTAAAGGCCAAACGGTTACTTTATCGAACAGGGATAAACCTGTTTAGGAGTCGGAAAACAAGTTCCTGAAAGCAAAACAGACTCAGTCGTTCCTGTACATTTTTCAGACATTTCTATAGCTCGGGATAACAAAAGAAATAGAGACGCCGCACCATCGCTTGTTAAGACCATCTCACTCTCATTGGCAATAGACATACTAAATTCAAAAGCACTACCATCTGTCATGGCATTTCACGAGCTACCCATTAGAAAGAAAATACAAAACAATGAAAAAGTAGAAAAACAGTCAATAAAGAAAGTAGACCCAGGGCTCTTTTGAACAAAACTTGAAGAAACTCTCAATCAGGATTTTTTTTTATTATGGATTATCAGTCATCTCTCACATACTCCACTACAGCAAAAATGCATGCCCCGAGGTTCTGCACGAGAGCGAAATGGACTCATAACATGAGGATAGAAAGTAAGCCAACACGACTTTCAAAGGCAAAACCAACGTTGACAAATCTCTAATTGATGCATAGAACAATGCCAAACAATCATTCCTCCTTTAAACACGTAAACCCCCAGAAGCCCCCAAAAAATGACTCGTCAGCCCTAACAATGGAAAACTAAGCATACAAGCCACAAATGTGTAGCTACTGACATGCACATATCATTTCAGTCAAATGCTTAGAATAATTAACACTCTCTTCTTTTCTATGAGGCCACAACTTAAGATAAAAGGTTTTCCAGCTCCTATGACATCCGTTCCAACAAACCCCAGCCCCAAAAACCACAAAAGAAAAGAGAGAAGGAAAAAGAACAGATTCTTATGCGGTAGATACATGCAAATGGAGCTATCAGTATGAACTGGAGTTGAAACACATAATCAACATTGTAACCATAATATGAAACTTCAAATACCCGGCAAGTTCAAAAACGAATACAACACCATCTCCTTTTTTTTTTTTTTTTAAAGAAAGGTTTTCATTAATAAAGAACCATCAGTTACAGCGTACATGCTAATAAGCTTCCCTTAGCTAACCTGTGCACAACATCAACAACAGATCTCCCAACCTTCTGAAATACACATAAGGTAAAACTATGCTTTAAAACACCATCTCCTTGACTATGCTGAGCATATAGCTAGGCTGCTTTCAACAAAGATGAGCTAGATCTTGGATTACCAAAGTAAAAGTTAGGGTACACATTCAACAAGAGACTGTTGGAAACTTCAGGAGAAAAACAAGCCCGATGACACAAATAGAAACATCAGAATGTCAGTAATAATAAGGAGAATAACGACAGTAATTGTAAAATAAAAAAGTTTGAAACGCATATGCCGAAATGGTAGCAATCACCACCCAACGCCAAAGGCTCCTACAGAAAAGGTAATTAGTACATATAACATTTCAATAGAAAATAAAACTTCCAGACGTGATGCGCTGCCATCTTCACTCTCTGCAAATGTCACAAGAGCACTGCAAGGTTAAAGAGGTGAGTCCCAAACTTCCAACAAGTAAGTCATGGCAAGAGGTAAATATCAGGTTCACAACTTCCCCAAGAAATCTGCCTGTAAAAATATTACAACGTAAAGATTGGAGAAGCATTAAGATGGATAAAAACATTGCTATAAGACAGTAATACAAAATAAAGCACATTCAGTCATTCATATCCTGACCACTCATATGCATTAAAATAAAGGTCGAATCCACACATTAAAGGGAGCATGCTCATTATTGCAAGCTTAATTAAGTTTTCAAGAAGCCAAGAGAGAACTGTGTAGAAACATAGTTACAGATTCAATGCTTCTAGGCCAATCTAAATTCCGACCAATGCTCACCATTCAGGAATTCAAAATCGTTTTAAGTGACAGTACAAACACTTAACTAATCCCCCAGTAAAAACAGGAAGTAGATGATTAAAAAAAATTACACAAGCATGCATTTTCCAACAAAGAGCGGAAAATGTAGGCAGGCTGGTAATCACTAATAATTACCCTTCAGAGGATATGCACCTATACATCCTGCCATGACAAACTTGCCCAAGGAATGACATTTCAGGAAGCGCTAAATCTATTTACCCCAAGGTCCCACTATTTTTAACCAAGATTTTCAAATATGCCTCCCATCTGTAAAACATTACTCCAAAATCCGTTAGTAGTTAGTGGAGAAAAACATTTGCCATAAAGAAAGGAAAACGCATAACATAGGATCAGGAAAAAAAATGACGCGCCTGCTGATTCAATGATATTTCAGTGACCAATACAAGATCAATTTTTTTTTTAAAAAAAAAAAAAGAGTTTGAAGATCTTACCTTTTGCCTTAACCAAATTGTAGAGCAAGACATCATTTCATCTCAGCCATGAACTTCTCATACTCAGCGTCACCAGCAGATGGAGCAGGTGGAGGTGGAGGTGGAGGTGGGGCGGGATTGGATGCCCAGGGCACATTGCTCACACTCTGCGACTGGTCCGCACCTTGAGACACAGTAGGAGGCGGAGGGGGTGGTACCATACCATAATAACCTTGATATCCGTAAGAAGTTGAATATTGTGTATTGGGAGGTATAGTGGTTACAGAATTACCATAAGGATAGGTAGGGGCAGACTGGACTCCGGGAGGGAAATTTTGAGTATCTGCAGCGGAAACATAGTTCTGCTCAGCGTCAGCAGAAGACACAACTTGAGATGAGCCATTGGAAGTAGGTGTTGGCACTGGAGGAGCATATTGCATCCCATAAGGGGGAGGATACATGGCTGAGCCCGGAGGAGGAGGGGGGTAAGGTGCAGCATAAGGAGATTGCGCAGGTGGACCCCATGGAGATCCTGGGTAGGAGCCAGGGGGCGCAGTTGCTATTGGACCACCAGTAGCATATTGCTGTGAAGGATATGGTTGAGTAGGCGGAGGAGGGTATGAGGGGACAGATGGAGCAGGAGGACCTGGAGGCACAGTGACTTGGGGAGGTTTACCAGCAACTCTCACAGCAATGGTTCTTCCATCCAAGCGATGACCATTCATGCTAGCAATAGCATTATTAGCCTGTTGAACATCAGCATACTTTACGAAACCATAACCTTTACTCAGGCCGCTTACTCTGTCCTTGATCACCTTAGCCATAACAATTTCACCAAAGGGCGAGAATAGGGCGATTAAACCATCATCCTCCAAGGTAGGGGGCAAGTATCCAATGTATAGGTTGGCCTCATCGAATTCCTTGGGCTTGAGTGGATTTGCCCCTAAGCCAGCTGTGCCACCATTAGCACTGGTGTTGGTTGTGCTAGTCCATGGAGGATTGCTTCCAGAACTACCAGGACCAAGAGCCAGCGTTGGGCCACTTGGTTTAATAGAAGACTCAGGAGCAGTCCCACCCAGCTCAGCTAAGAAGTTTTGATATTCATCATCCATCTTCTTGCCGGTGGTATTCTTAACAGGGCAGTCAATGGTAGGATGTCCACCATCACCACATATCTTACATAGAACGTCACTCTTAAAAGTAGAAGTTTTAGATGGACAAGCATACTGCCTATGTCCAGGCTCACCACATAACCTGCAAAACTCTTCATCCCTAATGGTTCCATTCAAAGCAGCAAGTTCCCTAAGCTGTTGTCTCTTATGCTCATTGAGTACTTCATCAACAGGTAGCAAGAGCTTTTGAACCATTGCAGCAGCAGCCTCGAGGGACTCCTGAGTCTCAGCTTCCACCAAAACATGTAAATCTTCATTCTCAGAGGGATCCGGTTTCAGATCCCTTTTCTGCTGCAATCTGCCTTCTTTCACAGACCCTTTACCCCTAATGACAATCTTGGCACCCGTCTCTTTCTCCATCCTCTTTTGAGTATTTCCTCTCGGCCCAATGATCAAACCAATAAAGTTATACCCAGGGTACTCTTTCATGGGAATGTAAAGCTTCTTCTGCAGTTTAGGAGGCCTATAATCAGATGGGGGCTTGAAGCTAGGGTTTATCTTGAGCATTTGGGCTATTACTTCTTGCCTCTCCCTGTTCAACTTCTCACGGGCACGATATTCCCTAGTGTTAATCCTATGCCCCAAAGTATCATAAATAGGTTCAGGTGAAGGTGATCTAGCGCCTTCAGGTCGATCATCTAGAAGGGAACCAGATGCCAATTTTGCAGTAATATCAGTGAACCTGGTATGAAGAGCGTGAAATTCAGGATCGAGTATAGCTACAGTCAACTGCAACGGAAACGCCGGCTGCGGTTGATCATCAGACCACCTGGACTTCCTCTTCCTTCCGCCAGTTCCATCGCCCCCTCCAGTCCCGGTCCCATCATTGCTGGACTCACTGGGAGGAGGATCCCACCGACTCTTGCGCTTTCTCCTACTGGTGGTCTCCTCTTCCCCACCTGACTGGTCCTTGTCAGTGCCGGTGCCGGTGCCGCTGTGCGTGTTCGTCAAGCCGTTTTCCGATAGCAAGGGCTTCAGAACTGGATTGCTCATCGCTGCTTGCGCATTGTGAACCAGATTCTCGGCCGGCTGGTTGTAGGAGTATTGAGGCTCAGATTGTTCAGAGGGAGGTGCAGGAGATTCAAATTCGGTGTAGGTTTGTAAAGCATCCATTGCGATGTGAGAATTTTTGGAATTCGACCTATATGAATTAGGGATTGAAGAAAAGATGAAAAAGAATGCCCAATTGCAAAGCAACATATACTTACAGAAAGATCTATCAAACATACCACAAATTACAAGAAAAAATACTTTTATTTTTCATTGCAAAGCAGGCTGGATAATACAAACTAAACAATATCATAGAGTCGAAAGACCAGATTATACTATACTGACTCATACTATTACCAGATTAACTTAGCAAACTGTTTAAATTCATAGAATGTTAACATCAAATCTTGAATTCTCGTTATTACTAGCATTATTTAGCAATATGCAATAGTTTAACTTCAACGGCGAGTCAGATCCAAAACGGAAAAATATAATAATAATAAGAAAAAACAGAAGGCATCACGTTTTCAGTCATTTACAGACAAACAGATAGAAAGTCCGAAAAGGTTCAATAGATTTAGCAAAAAGTAAACTGAGCCGACTTGTAAGCGGACAGAGTGTTCTCAGCAGCTTCCTTCCTCTCAGCTCCAGTCTTGAACTCCGCCAAGTACCGATGGTAATCTCCCTTACGGTTTTGTAATTACGATAGCCGATAGGGCAATATGAATTGCTGTTTTATGATCCGGGATGGAATTGGATTAAATAATAAATATTGAATATAATCAAGTCTACAGTTTCTTGAATATAATCGGTCGCAACAAAAGCACACACACTCTGCATTCATATTCACATGCATTTTACGGAAATTAAAAGTAAATATTTACTCATGGTCTGGTGCTTAGCTATTGCTTCACCCATCCGAACCAAAACCAGAATAGCTACATGATTCCTTTTCCCCCTCTTCATTAATTGGTTCAAATAAACACAAACCACACCATCCCTGTAACACGTTTGTCTTATTTAGGTATATACCAACTCCCTAAACAAGTCATTTTCTTACTTTACTTTTCTGATCCAAACCGAACACGACACAACACAACACAAACAGCAACCAGCCCTTACTTTTATTTTGATTCATGTTCCTCAGTTTTAATAGAAAATGAACTAAACTAATTAGAACCGAATCAGCACCCATCATCAGAAATCATCGACCATTACATGCATCATTTTACTAGTTTAATTTCATTTAGTTCTTTGTTGGAGGAACAAATAAAAGAACAAACATTCCCAAGACCCAAATTCATTTAATTCTACGGGGTAACCCACCAACCAAAAAGAATTACTTGAATTGTGTTATCCAAAAAGTCTAAGATTCTCCAGAATTTCTAAACCAACATTACAATATCATGCTATCGCAATCAAGAAATCTATCTAGGCTAAAAGAAAATACAAACGATTAGAATTTACCTTTTCTTTCCTTGTAGTTTCTTTTCCTGATTTTTATACCCTAGCTAATTACTCCTTTCCACCTTTATTTTTCCTATATTAATCTTAGAGATTATGAAGAGCTCATCGAAAAGAACCGAAGGGCTCGGAAGGGCTCATCGATAATTCAGGATGATGAGAAAAAAATAAAAGAACCGAAGTTCGAAGAAGCTAGAAAAAGTTAAAAGAAGAAAAGAAGATAATGATGGAATGATGCTAATGCTAATGGGTGAAGGGGCTGGGAGCATGTCACGACCCGGTGCCCGGAGTTGGCCGGAATTACAGCAAAGGAGAATTAGAGTGAAGATTCGGGCACAACTAGGGTTCTGAATTGGGGATGAACGAAGAAGATGAGAGTCCAATTTTGATACTGAAATATTTTACAGTTCGATTACAACCCCTGGCAGACTATTTATAGTCCCCAAGCTACATAAAATACAAAGAAGTCCCTAAACTTTCTAATCCTTGCAATTCAGTCCAGGGGCGTGACAGAGCATTAAAATCCAGAAATGAGAAATTGAATAAAAATAACGGTTTGGGCTTTATGCTTTGGAGTACTAATTGGGCTGGCCTTTTTGCTTGTTTTGTTTTGGCAAAGGAGATGACATGATCTTGGGCCAAGTCTTGAAGGCATGGTTGTCAGTAAATGAAAGTGAAGTTACAAAAATATCGAGCCCATCATTTAGTGTTTTAATAGTTTTGATGTTTTTCAAATATATTAGTTCTATCTACACACTTACATCTAATTATTTATTTAGGTTCTAAAAATGTCGGGTCTCTTATCCCCTTCCTTATAAAAATTTCGTCCTCGAAATTGCGAAATGCGAACCCATGTTCTGGCAATTTGTATTTGCTTAAAAATCACGTTTCACAATTTATTCCTATTCAATCAAATGTTCCTAGGGATTCCAATCAAATAGTCCTAAAAATTCGCACCCCACCAGTACCTATTTTTTAGGGTTAAAGTGTTTAAACGACGATGCAATCCAAGCTAATATATCTTTTCATCATAAAAATGTGTTAGAGAAGCACAAAGATATCAAAATAAGATGAAAATGAGGTCCCTCCATAAGATAGCAAGGGCCGTCAACGATTTTGAAGTTTGGTATGGCTGTGAGGGAATGTAATGAAAGTGAAGTAAAAGAAAGATATTGGAGTTTAAACTATGCTGGACCAGATTTTATTTCCTCTTTATTTTATTATTTTATTTTTATTTTTTTATGTTTATTAATACTATTATTTGTAAGATCAGCTTGCCATAACAAAAGTAGAACTATTGTGAGGGGTTTAGACAGCTCTGGTTCGGAATTTTGTGCTAAATTTCTAGTTTATCACCCTTTTTCACGGCAGAAGTACCTTAATGTTAATTCCTACTTTGTAGGAAAGGGTAGTGATGAAAATAGTGGCTAATGAGCTAAAGTTTGAGTTAAAAAGAATGTTGGGTGTATGCGCACTGCTGAAGAATTCATAGGAGAAGTATTGTTTCTACAGAGCAGACGAAGAAAACGTTGGAATGGTCTTAAATCTTAGTTGCTTAAGAACACAAACAATGACCGTTTAATTCACGAATCGTTTTGATATTATTAATTTAACGAATTTTAGGTGGCTACTAGGCCGTCTGCAATTCAGGTTAACCTATAAAAGATCAATTCCATGGTTTTTAGTTAGCGACCAAATGACCAATCACAATTATAACTTCTACTCCCTATCCCTGAGTAACTTGTGCTCCTAGGTTCATTTCTGGGTGAATGAGTGTATACATCTCAACGTTTATACCAGTTAGCCAATTCATCTCAACGTTTTAAAATTGATTAATTATGTCCCAACCTTATCAAAATTTGGCAAATTCATCCGTGACCTAAAAAACATATAAAAAAAAATGACCTGATACAACAGGTAAAAATTTATTGGGCATCATATTCATTCTTTTTTTCTTTCATTTTCTATTTTTTTGTTATTTTATGGTTCATTAAAAACAAACAAAATTTTTAGATTAAAAAAACTCGGAAAAACTTAATGAATTAAAAAAAAGTAATTTATTCATCAAAAATGAAATAACTTACAATTTAGAGTAAAATCAAATAATTAATTTTCGAGTACAAAGATATCTATGTGAAATCTTAGTCATTCTATTTTTAACTCAAAATAAAAGAATTTTTTTAAGGAAGTTTCTTAAATTTTATCAAAAAATTAAGATGAATTAGATTAAGAAAAATATGAGATTCATTAATTATTAATTAAATTTTTTAATTTCTCCATTTACTAATGTTATTTGTCTTTCAATAAACTAAAATAAATTTAATTTTTTAAAAAAACAGAAATAAAAATGTTAAATAGGGGATCTAAATGATTTTTACACGTTATAGCAAGTCATTTGTAGTAGTTTGCAGGTCATGGAATGGATCTATTCAATCTTAATAACCTTGGGATGTAATTAACTAATTTTAAAATTTTGGGAAGAATTCACAAGCAAGGTATAAATGTTGAGATGTATACACTAATATTCTAGTTCATTTGTTCAAGTAACACGGAGACTAGCTAATGTTACCCATTGCAAAGTTATTATTATTATTATTATTATTATTATTATTATTATTCATAGCTCAATGCGGGGATTTCAAGCTGGAAGTAAAATACTACTTAAAATTGACCTAATTATCAAGAGATAGAAACTTGTATAGCTCTCGTTAACTATTGTCGATGAAAGAACAGCGAAAACCGGCTTAGGCGACACAAGTTATTTTCTGAAGTCATTCATCAAATGCAAGTGATGTATGTCAATGAACCTTGAAGATTTAGAAAATGTTAAAGGTGTATAATCTGTCCCACATTGCCACCGTGAAGAGAAATGACTCAGCATATAAGTTCTAAAGGCCAACCTATTTATTTTTAATTAGTTTTGAGATGGGCATGTGGTGTGGTTTTGGACCGAAGGTGACCTGTGGTAATTTTATATTAACCCACTCGAACGTTGACTTGTGGGTTTGTTGTGGACTAATCTAGCGATATAACTGATTTTTTCCCACTTGAGCGTTGACTCGTGGGCTTGTTATGAACCGATCCAGCAGTATAACTAATTTTCTTCCACTAGAGAGTTGACCCGCGGACTATTATGTTCTTGTTCTAACCCAAGTTTATTGGGCAAAAAGTTTAAAGACCCATTAGACTTGAGGGAAGGTGTTAAGGTGTATAATCTATTCCACATCGCCACCATGAAGAGAAGTGACTCAGTATATAAGTTCGAAAAATCACCCCACTTATTGCCAATTGATTTTGAGATGGAAGACCAAAGTATTTATATACTTCAACAGAAAAATGAACCACAATCCTCACCTGCTGCATAAAGAATTGAATTAGCATAAGATGAAAGTATTTCATCTGCCCCTTCAAACTTTATCAGAAAGCATGAATGCCACATCAATGAAAATTGAATTTTAGACTTCAAAACTTACCAATACATACAAGAAGTGTATGCACATGCTTTCTGTAAAAAAACTCACAAAATCTTCTCTTGTGTTCTGGCTCGACAGCTTTTGTGAACTCCTCCAACTTCAGTAATCCCTAATTCAGGTCTGTAGCAGTTCCTCCAACGGAAATTATAATAATCACAAAAGTAGAAAGCACTCAGATCAATGATGAAAGGTTGAACAAGAAAAATGTGAAAACACTACCTCAATTACAATGACCAGCACTTTTTCCTTGCAAATGACATGGTGCCGATTCTACTGCTTGTTCCTTCCCAATCTTTTTCACCAAAAGCTTTTCTATTGGTTTAAACATTACTAAGAACATCCGAAGAGAAAAAAAGGACACGCCTATGACATTCAGAAGTATTTCATCTGAATTACAGGATGGTAATTCCTCCAAGCTACTGCAACTAGTCAACACTAATTTCTCGAGACAAGGAAAATTATCATCTGAGTCCATCCATATGGCCAAATCCAGGCCTTGCAATTTTAGAAATCTAAGCTTGGAAAATGTTCCCTCTTCCATGTCCCAATTTTCCCCGATGAATGATACGTACTGCAATTTGAGAACCTCAAGATTTGGTTGTCTGTCAAGTGTTGATGGTTTAGTCCATGGAAGGAAAAGCAACTGCAGGGTTGGCTTCTTTAAGTTCTAGGGAAACTGTAATTGAATTATAGGCAGTTCAAACGAAATCCGACCACAGATGCTGAGTGATTCAAGTTGACACAAGAGATCTAGTTCTATTTTTTTAGAGACTTCCACACATATGAATCTGTGAATATTGGGGAACCTTCAGATGACTTCCTTTCATTGTTTTGCGAATGGACAATGTTACAGTGGAGAAACTCTAAATTCTCTAAAATTGAGAAATCTTGGGAATCATCATTTGCTGGCAATAGCCATTCATGAACCAACAAAATACAGATGCCTTAAAATTTTCCATTTTCCACACAGTATTTGGGGGTTATTTCCCAAAAAAAATTAATTAAAATAAACATGGACAAATTTAAATTTTTCAGAATATGAGTGGATAGAAATATATCCCTCCGATTTCAGAAATCCGTATTCTAATTAAAATTAAGTATCCGGATTTCGGAAATCCGAGCCTATATTTGATAATAAAATAATAATTAAATAAAATTTGTTGAATAATAGTTTTTAAAAATTCTTAAATGAACAGTACCGTTCGGATTTTTGGAATCCAAATTTAATTAAAAAATAATAAATTGAGGCGCGAAATATTTGAACTCAAATAAGGAGTCCAGGACCTGGATTCCTTAAATAAACAGTAGTACTCCGATTTACAAAATCCGAGTGTACAAAAAGAAAAAAGAAAAAAAGAAAATCGAGGCGCGAAATTTTTGAATCTAAAAATCGGAAGTCCGTCCGGTTTTCCGTATTCGGATTTTGGAAATCCGGCTGCCTTTAATTTTGGTTGGTAGAAGTAGGCATGTGCCATAAATTGGAGGACCAAAAAATGAATAAAAAAATCCAGAACTGACCAAACTCGGATTCAGGAAATCCGAGAACACTGTAATTCGGATTTCTAAAATCCGAGTTACTTACGGACTCGGATTTCGTAAATCCCAGTTTAACGTGCTATAAAAGAAAAAAAAAATTCAGACAGTTCTCATTCGAGAACTGAGTTGGATTTTCTATTTTTGCAGCTTAAGCAAGGGCGAATTGGAGCTTTTGATGCATTCTTACCTCTAGATACGTGGGAATCGTTATTTGAAAGAGGTTAGATTGCAAAACCATGTTATTTAGTTTAGTTTTGTGTTATTTTAATTGTTAGAATGATGTATGATAGATTAGGGTTCATGTTGGTTGGTTGTTTGGATGTTTTAGGTGTTGATTTTGAGGTTAGAGATGAGAAATCATAGTTATTCATGATATATGGAAGTTGATTTATAAGTAATTTAGTATTTTATAGGTTTTTTGAATTATGAATGGAGTATGTATGATGTATTTGTTGATTTTGTTATTAAGAAATGATTAGTTATTGATGTTTTTGTAAACAGTTATCAATGGCACGTAATGTATCATACATGCTTAATTTGGATCATACAAGGAAGTATGTGATAGAGAATGGTAGTATCAACACTTTTTTGAATATGCCGGATGATGGTTTGTTTGTTGAGGAAAGGTTGTCATATAAGGGATTGATTAGTAAGATTTGTATGACACTTGGTTGGGATCCAGTACACGTGAAACTCAACCTTTCTTTGATTTTCGATAGTCTTGGTGGTAGGCATGTAGTGAAGATCAAGAATGATTCATATATAAAGTTCATGAACCGTGTAGTGAAGATCAAGAATGATTCGATAATCCCGAATCTACATTCATTCGGATTACTGTGATCCGAGTTTTCCCAAATTTAATTTTTCAACACATATTTTTTTCTATCCCGAAATTAATATTTTATTCGTAAATACGGATTTGGAAAATCCGGATTTAGATTAATTACACTAATTTCTGTCATTAACTTAATATTGGATTTACGTAACACAAAGTCGGATTTCTATAATCCGAGTTTAGAGAGGTTCGGATTTCGGAATTCCGAGTTTTTTCCCCATTCGGATTTTCTAAATCCGAGACATATAAGTTTGTCCACAAAATTTTTGGAAAGTTTATTTTTGTCCAAGTATATATAAAGAAATATATTTAAAGAAAAAATTCCAGTATTTGCCGGAAAAACACTGTTTTCAGTGGTGACCAACTGACCATGTCGTCCGTACAAAGCGTCTTCAAATTTGAGTGACCAATTGCTTTTTCTTTCGAAAGGAATAAAGACCCAAAAAACATTAAAAACAGAACATTAATGTAAAGTGTTTGATGAATATGAATGGAGCAAATAATTGATTTAGGCATTAGGCTAAGTCTTTTTTCTTTTTTTTTTTGCTCCAGTCGCTCCGAAAATAAGAATGTTACTATTTGTTGATGGAGGTGAACACGTACGGAACACATTTCCTTTAACGAAAACTGATGATTATGTCATAATAGAGCTAATGCGCATGACCAGTAACGACTGCATAAGTTCTCCGGGAATCACGAAACAAGAGAAAATTATATTTGCTGGGAAGAAAATCACAGAGAGAAAAAAAAAAAGAAAAGAAAAAAGAAGTGAATAATAGAATCTATTCACGTCTATTTTGTTTCTTTTTTCAATCTCAGTTCTTAGAATTTTGAAAATGATAATTTCAACTCCGTGTAACCTTATTGTAAAGGAGATGATGAATGCTATTGATAATTAAAAAAAAAACCCAAAAAAATAAAAATAAAAAAGATGCATCATCTCAAAAGTCCTTCTAAAAATGAAGCAGAAAAGCCGATCTCGCACAATTAACAAACTTAAAGAGTTAAATCTTCACCCCCTGCTCTGTTCTTGGACGACAACGTACTAGTATAGACTTAAATTGGGTCTCACCTGTGGTCCGTTGTCGAATTGTAAATTATTTGAATAAAACTATGGATGCTTGACTTTCTTCTAACGTTCGACCTTTTGTCTCAGGAACACACTTCACGAAACAATGGAACAACAGCGGCAGACTTGATGGCGAAGAAAACCCCTGCACCCATTACAACTCAGCATCCACAAAGCCAGGTCGGTGTTGGAAATCGACCAAGAAGGTTGTCTGAGAGCCACTGCCTGATGAATTCCATTTGAATAAGAAGTTGAACGTGTAGAACTAAAACAGTTGCCTAAAGTCACAAGCTTCCAGCAGCGTCTTTTATGTTTATAGCGTAGATCTGAGGAAACAATCTTTTTCAGAGGCCTGGCTTTACAAAATAAAGTAGTTCATCGCAACAATATGTGGAATTGTGGAAATGCCCTTGAAAATCTTACCTCTGACATGCCAACCAGGAAGCCAATTTTGAAGCGCATATCTTTTTTTGACAAAAGGAATAGGGGAGCATTAAAATTCTTGGTCAAATCGATCAGCAAAACATCGGTCCTATGCAACAGCAAAGGACTTGATTATGTTTATGGAGAATGGAAATGCCGTGAAAATGATGCAGTGATTCTCTAGATTTGGTTTCACCTTAATGGATGATTGGAGATGCCATTCACTTAAATAGAGCCGCTGATGCTTGAAATTTTTCTGATCTTGATCATTTTGTCTCAAGAGCCGATTTCACAATAACACAACAACTATGGCAGAAGTGATGGGAGAAAGAGTGTTCGTGCTTGAATTAGATCTTGACATAAGAAGGGCGCCATAGAACAACTACATTTGTAGGAGAGAGTCGTATATCAAGCAAGACTACTGATTAGGAGGCATTACCTGATGAATTCCCATCTGTTAAGAGTTAGTGCCCCACATCGCCCACGAGAAGAACCTTCTGTATATAAAAACATTGATCAAATAAAATAATTATGATGCTAAAAGTGTAGAGGAGACTATACAAGGATTAAACAAGTTGCCCAGAATCATGAGGCTTTCCAGCAGTGCCTTACATTTTTGCAGAGAAATGGTGAGGAAGGGAAAGATCATACCAGATGCTAGTGCAATAAGTACTTCATAACAGCATATTATGGACTGACATTAAAAATAGTAAGCCATCATGAAGCAGAGTATATCTACTCATTGATGAACATGAGAAAACGAAAGGGTTTGGGTAAGTTTTTCAGCAAGTATGATCAATGGAAACATAGTCCAAATGATCATTACATGATGAACATTAAGACGACAATTTGACAAGAAAATGATCTTCATTTGATAAAAAAAATAATGAAGTACAAAGATAAAAAGAAATGAAGAAATAGAACAAATGATGATTCTATCAATTATTTGATCTTTTACTCCCTCCATCCCTTACTACTACACTTTCTTCAACTATATCAAGAGTAAAGGTGCTACAGACAAGGGGAACAATGGCCAAATCAAGTTAAAGAGAATTCGATAAAATCAGATTACAGTGATAAGAATAAAGAGTGCCACCGGCAACCATGTCTTTCTTTGGCTGCAATAGCTGTTACTTTTACTCTTTCATATTTCCCAACAAATCATCCAGATGTCTAAGGAACAAATATGGTATTTCTATATTCTTAGAAACATGGTTATTAAAAATAAATAAATAAATAATTTTAAAAAAGGACAAAAAAATAGAGAGGGAGTCTATCAAACTTGATTTGGTTATACGAAATTAAAGTTGGATTAAAAAGGAAAAGAATGAAAGTAAACATAAGAACAAAACAGGATTGCATTTGGTCTTACCTAAGTAACCCTTCTATAACTCCGTTTCCCCAACTGTCTCCTCCTTCGAATCTCCAGATCCACATTTCCATTATCCATCTGCGTATCTCGAATTTGCTTTATTGAATCTACTATGGCTTTCGCGCACCGAGATACCTCAATCATCCGAATAGTTGGAATTTCGGCCAAACACGAAGGTAATTCCTTCAACTTCTGGCAATCTTCCAACACTAATTTCTGGAGGCAAGGAAAATGATCATCTGAGTCTGTCCACCGGGCTAAATCCAAGCCTTTCAATTTCAGAAATCTAAGCTTGGGGAATGTCCCCTCTTCTTTCATGTCCCATATTTCTCCGATGAATGATCCCTGCTCCAATTTGAGAACCTCGAGATTGGGTAGTCTATCAATCATTGAAATTTTACTCCATGGCAGGTGAAGCCCCTGCAGGGTTAGCTTCTTTAAGTTGTGGGGAAACTGATAGTGATCATTATGGATTTCCGACAGAATCCTAACATCGTAAATGCTGAGTGATTCAAGTTGAGTCAAGAAATCTAATGCTATACTCTGCGGAGTGGAGACATTGAATCGGCATTTGAATCTGCGGATGTTGGGAAACCTTCGGACTACTTCTTTCGTCACTTGGTGGCTGGATAATTCTACATTAGAGAAAGTTTGTAGATTCTCTAAAATTGAGATGTGTTCCAGACGATCATCTGCTGGCAATTCCCAGTGTGAATTAATACAATGCAGATGCCTAAAATTTTTCATTTTCCAGAGAGTGTCTGGCAGCAAAACTCTGCTGTAGTAAATACCTCCTCCAATCAAAAAGAGTGTCTCCAAATTTGAGAGACTGGCAATTGACGGTGGGAGGATAAATTTTTCACCTTCAACTGCCAAGGTCAAGTACTTCAGATGACCAAGTAGTTGAATTACACCTGGAAAGAAATGGAATGAACAGAAGCGTCCCAAGTCCAAAACTCTTACAAGTTTTGATCGGGAAAACTTGTACACGATACTATACTGAAGTCGAGAATCACAACTGTACATATCATCGTCAACCATGAACAAAGTGCGTAGGTAAGGAAAATCCAGCATTGGCTCTACGAATTGCTCCCATTTTCTAGAGTGTATATGCAACCGATATAACATATTATGCTCTGTTAAAGTACCAAACTCACTACCACCGAAGCGATAGAGAAAGTGGTCCCCGATGCTTTTAGCCATGCAAAACTCATGTAACAAATCATGAAGGATGCAAAGTTTCACCTTGCCTTCCGACCCTGTCTCAGCAATCATAACTAGATTTCTTTGTATTAACTCTGTCAAGTAACACTCGGCAACATCCTCTACACATTCTCCACCAGTTCTCTCCACAAATCCTTCCGCAATCCATAGCCATAACAATTCCCGAACACGTATCCGTTGGTCCTCTTTATATGCCCCAAAGTAGAGAAAACATGGTTTCAAGTACTCTGGTAAATGACGATAGCTCAACTCTAGAGTCTCTTTACACTGCTCTAAAATAGATGAGCTGCTTTTCATTAGTTTTTCTTCAACTTCATCCCACTTACATGTATCCATATTCGAAAGGAGGCCAGCAACAATTATGATGGTCAACGGCAATCCCTTACAACGCTGCACAATTGCCTCCCCACGTGCAACTAGTTCTGGAGGAGGACAAGCTTCTCCAAAGCGTATCTTCATTTTGAATAATTCCCAACTCTCCTTCTCGGTGAGCAAACGAAGACTAAAGGGTTGACTCTTTGGTCCAATTTGTAAAGCAACATTCTCATTTCGACTGGTTAGAAGAATTCGACTTCCCATTGCATCATCAGGAAATGAAAGTTTTAGACTACCCCACGCTTCAATGTCCCAAATGTCATCCAAAATTACAAGATACCTTTTTCTCTTCAAACGTCTGCGAATTGCATCTGCCAAATCATCTTCACTCATGTATGAATGCTTGTCAGCAAAGTCATTGTCAAGACCCATTAGAACCTCAAGTAACAAACGTTTTTTATCATATACTTGAGAAATGGTACACCACACAAAATCATGAAAGTAATAGACAATGGCGGGATTACGATAAACTTTCTTTGCTAAAGTTGTTTTGCCCAACCCAGCCATACCAACAATGGAAACAACATCCAGTTGCTTCGTCCCTCTTGTGAGCCGATCAATTATCTTTTGCACCTCATCATGTAATTCTACCTTAGGCTCATCAAAACCTGGGATATTAACAGCTTGTGGTATCTTCGTATGACTTTCAGCAATGTTCTGGACTTTAGGGATCTGCCCCACACAGCGAGAAATTTCAAATGCTTCATTCTGAACAAGCTTCATCTGTTCTAGAATGGTATTAAGCATCCCAAGAAAATTTTGAATAGCATCTCCAATCACAAGAGAATCAAGGACATACTCGATTTCATGGACTACTGCAGTAACACGACTCCAGAGAGCTTGAACCTTTTCATTTTGATCAAGTGGCCCCATGAAATCAATAAGAAAAGATCTTACAAACACCATATCCTTTCGGATAGTTAAAAACTTGGTCTTTTCCGTAGTGACGACTGGGTTGCACTCATAAAGATTGAATGAGTCCAATTTTTCCAGGACCGAATCAATGAACCCCAACAAGTTGGTTTGAGGAAAGCAGGATGTCGGCTTGAGTGGATATCTTGGTGCCTCTCCTTGTGTCTCCTTGATCATCTTCATTTTTTCATCAACCTCATAGAATAGATGCTGCAGAGGTTCAACCACGTGGTTGTTGGGCATTTTGACACATAGATAGCAAACTATCATTGCTGCCTCACATATCAAGACTTCTACAAGGTTGACCATTTTCCCATCATATGACTCCTCAAACTTATTTCGGTGCACTGTCAAGGTGTTTCTCAAGAATCTGAGCCCTGCATAGAGTGTATGCATTTGATGGTGAAACATGCCCACGTAAGAGGTACCACTGAAAAATAACTCTAAAAGAAGAAAGATGAGAGATTCGACCATTTCCAGAATCAATGCATGGCTTCCTGCAGGGGCACAATTCGATGACTGTAATTTTGAAGCTTCCTCCAAGACTCTAACATAAATCCGACAACCATGGTATTCAACAGGTTTTATTGTTTCTATTAGTGGGTCAACTTCATCATCTCTAGGCCAAGAACAGGACGTAAAGATTAAGCTCGCAACACCAACAATCAAGCGCTGAACGTGAATGAACAGGTCGCCCATCCGCCTATGCTCAAGTCCTCGAAATTTGGCAAAGAGAGTAATTTTTTTCAAGAATTCGAGACTCTCTCGCAGTTTGTTCAACGATAATGTACCCATATCATATCCTAAAGTCTGAATAAGGGAGTCCAGCATGCCAAGGAGCTCCTCCGTCTCTATTGGAAAATTAGAGCACCTCTGCAATACCGCTCCCTCGTAAAGACTCTGCCGTAATTCCTTTATTCCGCTCCAAATTGACCCCCTCCACATCCCTTTGAAAATTTCATCAAATATCTTGTGGAGCCAATCGCATTCATCATTAGCCTCTATCAATGTGAGAGCAACAAACTGAATCTCCAAAGAATGCTGGTAGACAGTCTCCTCCAGAGTTCGCATTGCAAATTCGCAGCGCGCACCTTCGCCCCACGTCCTTCCAAACGCATAATATGTTCTCGCCATACTCAACTGCCACCCCACATCATTTGAAAAATAATAATGAAGAGGAAGTTTCCTGCGTATTGAATGAAGATCATCTGAGGTAATTTGGATGCAGCTCTCCATGTATGTACAATAATATTGCTCAAGACCTGCCGAAATGATGCAAAGGTAACCTCATAATGATTACAGTTCTGAAGAACAGGGAAATGCATCTTATATAAGTCCTCAATTTTTGACAGTTTTACCCAATACTATTATTTAACTTTTGATCAAACTATATCTATAATTACCCGTTTAGTGTGTGTTTATTATTCCAATGACCAAGTTCTTGTCATCGCCGCTGCTGGTGCAGTGTAATAGCTACTGCACAAATCTTATTTAAAATCTAACTATCAGATGAAAGAAGATTTAATTCGGAGAGAGATTATAGTATTTAGAGACATAAAAAGAAGGCTTAAAAAATATAACGGGGGAGAGAGACGAGAATCTTGATTAAGTATTTATAAACTAAGAGAACATATATGGATCCCAACTTCCTATGACTTCCACTACTTGATAACTTCTTATTACTATTTTAACCACTACTCACATAATTTAAAATTATGTTACCATATCCCTAAAATTTTGCAACAAAAAATAAGGTCAAAAGACTTACTCAAAAACTCAATAAAACAGTAAAAAACAAAACAAATTACTAAGGCAAATTATTACTAACAATTCCTCCTTGCCTTAGTATTTGTAAATATCTAATATTTTTTACGTATAAATCTTTTCTTTCATAAACCCTTCATTTGTCTTTTCTTTCATGAACCTTTCATTTTTCATGAACCCTTCATTTGTCATCCTTCTCAGTGTCACAACAATCTTACTTCTGCAACACATCATCTGCATATGAAAACTCCTCGTTCTTGAGAGAAATCTGAAAATTCCCTTTCAATTGATTTCTTTATCTTCATCTTCTCAAATTCTCGAGTCAAGGATGAGAATTTGCAATCTATTGAATATGTTATTTCTCTGATACTTTGAGATCATCCCAGACAGCCTTGATTGTAAATAATTTCATAACAACAGAGAAAGATAACCTATAATCTTTGATTTTCTTGCCCTTCTCTCCTTGTGTTTTTTTCCTTTATATGTGCCACCGTTGAATTTGAAAGCAACGATGCAAAATATTCTTCTATGGCCTCCCAAAAAAAAACATTTCAGCAACATAGGCTATCATAAAAAATATGCATGATGACTTGTATTATTCTCCTTCCCCAAAGGCCCTTCAAGATTTTGGCTCTGATATCACTTTGTCGTATTTAGAGACATAAAAAGAAGGCTTAAAAAATATAACGGAGGGGAGAGAGAAGAGCATCTTGGATATTTAGAATTTTGGGAGCAAATAAATCCTTGTACATGATTAACTATTTATAGACGAAGAGAATATGTATAGTTCCCAACTTCCTATGACTTCCACTACTTGATAACTTCCTACAATTATTTTAACCACTACTCACATAATTTGAAATTATGTTACCATATCCCTAAAATTTTGCAACCGAAAACAAGGTCAAAAGACTTACTCAAAAAATCAATAAAACAGTAAAAAACAAAACAAATTACTAAGGCAAATTATTACTAACAACTCCTCCTTGCCTTAGTATTTGTAAATATCTAATATTTTTTACATATAAATCTTTTCTTTCATGAATCCTTCATTTGTCATCCTTGTCAGCGTTACAACAATCTTACTTCTGCAACACATCATCTGCATATGAAAACTCCTCTTTGTTCTTGAGAGAATTCTAAAAATCTCTTTTTCTTTATCTTCATCTTCTCAAATTCTTGAGTCAAGGATGAGAATTTGCAAGCTCTTGAATATGTTATTTTCTCTGGTACTTTGAGATCATCTCAGACGGCCTTGATTGTAAACAATTTCATAACGGCAGAGAAAAGACAACCTATAACCTTTGATTTTCTTGCCTTTCTCTCCTTGTGTTTTTTTCCTTTATATGTACCACCGTTGGATTTGAAAGCAATGATGCAAAATATTCTTCTATGGCCTCCTAAAAAAAATAACATAGGCTTTCATAGAAAATATGCATGATGGCTTGTGTTACTCTCCTTCCCCAAAGGCCACTCAAGATTTTGGCTCTGATTCCACTTTGTAGTATTTAGAGACATAAAAATAAGGCTTTAAAAATATAACGGAGGGGAGAGAGAAGAGAATCTTGGATATTTAGAATTTTGGGAGCAAATAATTCCTTGTACACGATTAACTATTTTAGACTAAGAGAACATGTATAGTTCACAACTTTCTATGACTTCCAATAACTTCCTACTACTATTTTAACCACTACTCACAAATCTGAAATTATGTTATCATATCCTAAAATTTTGCAACAAAAAACAACATCAAAAGACTTACTCAAAAACTCAAAAACAGTAAAAAAATAAAACAAATTACTAAGGCAAATTATTACTAACAGAGATCTAAAACCCATCTCCTCTGTCAAAACAAAAATACATTAGCAATCCTCAATCGTAACATTTACGGGCTTTCTCTTAGATGGTTGGTTGCAGTTGAAAAACTTGAGAATATTCTAAGCTTAACAGAAAACTTTATACAGGAACTTCATCATAAAATTTAACAGGAAACAAACCAAAAACAAAGAAAAGAAGAAGACTATATAAGGGAAGAATTAATACCTTGTTGATGAAGTACTTGTGTTTATAGATTTAGTTGAGCAAAACACAAATCATCTAAAGGGAAACTTGTCCAGGAGAGATCTACCAGCCTTATAATTTGCAGAAAGAAATCTTTCTTTCTTTTTTCTTTTTTCTTTTTTCTTAATATGGATACCTATTTTTTGTGGTAGAGAAGAAAATCGACAAATGGGTAGGCTTTTAAGGCCAATTATTTACTTTGACCCAAAAAAAGGACCAAGAATTTTATTTTATTATATTTTGGTTATGTACAGTATCCTCTTGGCAACCATTCCAATAATGCTTAAGTTTAGCTTTTTTTTCATTACTCTCTCCATTTCAATTTAATAGACTTATTACTCTGTTTCAAAATGACTATTCCTTTTCGATACGAAAGATAAAAATCTAAAATTGATAATCATTTTGACACAAGAGTGTTTTTTTAGTCACCTTTGATATTTAAAATGAAAACGAAAAGAAAACCATAGTCATTGTTATATCTAATGAACGTCAATGAGAAAGTGAGCTAAGAGTGGTGAGTTTGGTGGAATGGGAGAGCATAATAACATCTCCTGATCAAACTTTCAAGGGGAACAAAAACACCAAAACAGTTGTGAATTAACTAACCCTCAATGATTCATCAATCATACTGAGTTGTTAACTAATCCTACATTTCTCCATTGTTATCTTGGTTTCTACAATATTGCCGTACCTCTCTATGTTTCAGAGCATTCAATCCAGAAAAGGATGCCGTTCATGAAAATTTTAGGTCCAGGATCGCGAAGATCATTTGCTCCACTCATCACTCCTTTCTGCAAGCTACCCTCCAATAGTCTTCCAAACTGGCTTCTGCTGTGGAATTGTGCATGCCTTAGTTACATGTCCGTAACCTTGACAGTTGTTGCATCTCGCAGGTTTCCACTCGTATGCAATCTTCTGCTCCTGAACCATTCCATTCTCATCCATATAACTCACAGTCTCAGGTGGCTCCTCTTGAATCTCCATATCAATCAACACCCTCGCGTAATTCAGTTTAAGCTTATCCCGAGTAATGTCATCCATCATAATCAGTATACCCACAGCAATCATATGCTCAATGTTTTAGCACCCCAGTATTTCAGTTTTAATCCAGGAAGTCTAACCCAAACTGGTGCCTTAAAGATCTCATCCGGTTGGAATCCATTTTCGGCCTCCCATTCTTTCAGGAAAAATTGGCAGATCTACCAAAACTTTACATGCTTCGTCAATTTTACCCTCTTATTTTTCGGTTAGCCAATATTACCCTAAACTATTCAACCGTTAGCTGATTTAGTCTAATTTGCTATTTTCCGTCTAAATTAACGGAATTCTATTTGTTTTAATTATAAAAACACCCTAATAATTTTAAAAATTTATAAAAATGATCCTAAAAATTTAAAAAATTATAAAATAGTTTATTTTCAGTTTTTATTTAAAATTTTCTATTTTTTATTTCTTTTTACTATTTTTCATAACTATAAAAATAAACTATATGATATTTTTTAAAAAAATTATTTTAAAACTTTAATGTACAAATTTTTAAGTACATATTTGTATGTCATGTTTGATTTACATAAGCATATTAATTTTTTAATAATATGGTTTTATAATAATGATACTATTTTTTAATCCATTTTTTTCAATCTAAAGAATAAGATTATTTAACTAATACTAATTTTTCACAAAAAAATTAAACAATTCGCATAGATTAAAAAAGAATCTATTGGTATACTTTAATGTATTACAATTTAATTCAATCGACTTTAGATTGTATTTTAAAATTTTTTTAAAAAATCAAAACTAAAATATAAATTTTTTTCAAAAGGCCAAGTACAGACAAAAAGTAAAAAAAAAAAAAACAAAAACACCTATTTCGTTTCTACTTGGCCCAACACAAGAATATAGTGTCGTGGCATTTACAAAAATGGTACAAAATATTTTATAAAAAATATATATATTTATTACTTCGAGGGTTTAACATTTTGTGATAATGTTTTGAGAATTAATGTATCGAACTTTAGCAGGAAGTCTTTTTTTAAAAAAAAAAATCATAAAAAAAAATCTACTCCAATACTGGACTCCACCTTTTTTTTACATTAAAAAAAATTAGATTTCTCCAGTGAAAATCGAACCTCGAACACAGTTTTAATCATCTCATATCTTAAATCACCTAACCATCCAATGCAACCCTCTTATCTTTAATGGACCCCACTTAAACGTGGGTAAAATCACTCTCCCGGTTAGAAATACTTTGGTGACAATTAATCTTATATCTACTCTCATGAAACTTAACACCCTAAACACTAGATAGTACCCTATATTTTAATTTAATAATTTTATTAATTGAATAATACAATCTATAGTTTGTTTAGTTAATTTACAATAAATTAAAATGTACTAATATATATTTTTTTAATCTATGCTAAATGTTTTTATTTTTGTAAAAAATTAGTTTTAGTCAAAAAAATCTTATTCTTTAAATTGAAAAAGACGGATTAAAAGAATAATAATTTTTTATGGTTATGAAAAATAGTAAAAATAAATTTTTTTAAAAAAGAAAAATTTAAATAAAAACTGAAAAGAGTTTATTTTGTAAGTTTTGTACATTTTTTGGGTTCTTTTTATAAATTTTTAAAACTATTAGGGTGTTTTTGTAATTAAAACAAATAGAATTCGTTAATTTAGACGGAAAATAGCAAATTGGACAAAATCGGTAACGGTTGGATAGTTTAGGGTAATATTGGCTACCGAAAAAGAATAGGGTAGAATTGACGACGCATATAAAGCTTTGGGTAGATCTGCCAATTTTTCCCATTCTTTCATTATCAATGGTTTGCTTTGATAGTGATACACATTATCAAACAGAGTAGCCTGCTTTGCATTCTCAGATTTGAATTTGACTAAAAAATATCCTTCTTCAGTTTTCGACACCTGTTCTATCCCATCCTTACCACAGCCCTAATGTTTAAAATTTTCGCTAATTTTGTCCAATCGTGTCATTTTCCGCCCAAGTTAACGGATCTCTGTTAATTTATTAATAAAATAATCAATTTAATTACATAAACACCCCAATAATTTTTAAAAAGATATAAAAATAACCCCTAAATTATATAAAAATAACAAAACGGTCTTTTTTAATTTTTCATTTTATTTTTCTCTATTTCATTCCATTTCTCTTTAATACTTTTAATGGCCATAAAATTATATTATTTGATCTTTAAGGAAATATTTATTTATTTTCATATTCTACCGTAAAAATTAATCTTTATATAGTTGTAACACATGATTGTATTTGTATAAACATATTAATTTTTTTAATAATACAATTTAGCAGTAATGATAATATTTTTGTGATTTATTTTTTTCTTTCGAATATAAAGATTAATTTAAATATAACTAATACCACACATAAAAATAAAATATTTAGCTCAGATAATAAAATAATTTATTAGTATATTTTAGTTGGGTCCACTGGGGTATTTTTTTTTGAAAAAAAAAGAAGAAAAATATTATCGTTACTATTAAACTATATTAATTGTTAAAAAGAATTAATATGTTTATATAAATACAAGACTAAAATCCAAAATTGGTATTTTACATAAGGCGATCCGCACAGTTTGGTCCTCTACATCTACATCTATCTGTTTTGGTCTTCTACTTCTATGTTCAATATTTGTTTGGTCCTCTAACACTATTCAAAAATTTTGACCGTTTCGGACGTCTGGTCAACAGGGGTATTTTTTTCTTTTACACTAACATTTATTTTTCAGTAACTAAGAAATGAAATAATAATAAATTAAAATAAAATTATTTTTGTTCTTTTAATTTAAAATTATTTTATTTTAAATTAAAATTAATTTAAAATACTTTTGCTTATTATTTTAAATTAATAATAAAGTATTTTAAAATTCACTAATAATTTTAAAATACTTTATTACAATTATTTTAAATTATTATTATTAATTAACAAAAATAAAATACTTTATTATTATTAATTTTAAAATGAAATACTTTTAATTTTATGGTCATTAAAAGTATGAAAGAGAAATGGAATGAAATAGAGAAAAATAAAATAAAAATTAAAAATAGACTATTTGTTATTTTTATATATTTTAGGGGTTATTTTTATATTTTTTAAAAATTATTGGGATATTTGTGTAATTAAATCGATTATTTTATTAATAAATTAACGGAGATCCGTTAACTTGGACGGAAAATAGCACGATTGGACAAAATTGGCGAAAATTTCAAACATTGGGGTAAATAGGGCTAACTGAAAATTTATTGGGTAAAATTAACGCCGAGGGCAAAGTTTTGGGTAGGAAAGCCATTTTTTCCTACAATTGCATCGCTCCAGTAATAATGCCATTAAATTGTTCACTCAATAGTTTTATAGATGTCAAAAAAAGTCACAATTTAAACCTGCGAATCTTTGGTAGTTCACAATTTACTTGTTCAAACCCATTTCTCCATGCTTCACAAATTAATGCTAGTTTTATAAGAGATTCTGGATTAGTCAGAATAATGATTTCGGACACCAAATGCGTAATATATCAGAAAAGAAAATGGAAGAAATATATTTGTTGGGGCTGCTGAGTAATGGCAGTGGTGAAGAATATGAGAAAAGAAGAATGGAAATGAAATGCAACTTATTTAATGACAACTGAGTGGTGTTAACGTACAAAGAATGGAAATAAAGTATAAGAGGAATCTGATCAAATTTTTTTGTTCTTCCTTTCCTCCACCTCAAATTTTACAAGTAGAAATTTACTGCATATAATTTACAAATCACAATATGGGTTTAACTCCTTGGAACCTTTGTTGTGATTGTGTAAAGGAGATGATGAATGCTGTTGAATAAAAAAGATGATGCACCATCTCACAAGCCATTCTTCAAATGAAAGTTGAGCAGAAAAAGCCGATCTTCTCAACAAACTTCAGATCTTCACCCTCTTGCTACTTTCTTGGCTGGCAATGTACATATGTATATACTTAAATTTGATTTTTCACAGCTGTGGAAATGCAAACTTATTTGAATAGGACCATTGATGCTTGAATCTCTTCTAATGTTCGTCCCTTTGTCTCAGGAACACACTTCATAACGAATGGAACAACCGCGGCTGAAGTGATGGCGAATATAAAAAACACCCCTGCAATCATCAGAGATAGGCCTCAGTATCCGAAAGGCTAAGACAATTTAAGACAGGATTCAAGAAGGTTCATTGAGAGGCGGTACCTGAGGAATTCCATTCAAACAAGAAGTTGAAAGCGTAGGCGACAACCCAAGAACTAAACCAGTTGCCTAGAGTTACTAAGCTTCCAGCAGTGCCTTTAATATTGATAGGGAAGATCTGAGGAGGAAATGATTGTTTTCAGTGGATACTCTCTACAGAAGTAGTTCATTGCAGCGTTATGTGGAAATGGCATAAAAACTCTTACCTCAGACATGATTACCCAAGTTGTACTTCCCATCCCCGAAGCCAATGCTGAAGAGTATATCTGTTCGTTATCAAAAAGAAGAGTACAATTAGTTTCTTGATCGAATTGACCAGTGAAAATATTGCCCTACGCAACGGCAAAAAGACTCGATTTCCATCCACATACGAAATGGATTATGACTGCTTTATTCAGTGAAGCCAAGCAATATTACCATTAATCCAGCCAGCACCAACCAGGGAGATATCTCCATCATGACATTATGAGCCTGACATAAAAGGATTGATACTGTTTATACACTGACCAATAGAGACAAAAGGGGTTTTACAGAAGCAACAATTGAACATAAGTTTCATTACCTTAAACAAGAATCCTACTCCGGACAAAATCATTCCAAAGGATGCTACTGAGGCCGTAACCTATAGGAATTATAATTACAGTATCAGTTAAGATGTATAATCCAAATCTGAAATTAAGCAGCAGAAATATCTGATATATATTCTAACCATTAGAATTGGACGTCGACCAGCTTTGTCCATGAGGAATACACTCAAGGGAGCAAAAGGCACCTGGGAAGATTGCGAAAGATAAGGTTAGAAATGGAAGGATGGCACTTAGATGCTACAATTAGCGAAATCCTGAATTGACTTAGCAAGAGATAGAAACCTGGATAGCTGCCATTATTGTCGATGAAAGAGAAGCAGGGCAACCTGGCGACACAAGTTGCTTTCTCAGGTTATTCATCAAATGCAAGTGATGTATGTTTGAAATAGAAAAAAACAACAATCCTTACCAGCTGCATCAAAAATTGAATTTGCATAAGATGAAACTCCATCCGCCCCTCCAAATTGTACCAGAAGCATCAACCCCACACCAACCTAGTAAAACCAATCATCAGATCTAGACTCCAGGGAAACCCATGAAAATCAAATTTCAGACTTCAAACTTATCCAATACATACAAGAAGTGGATGCGCATATTTTCTGTCGAACAAATCCCAAAATCTTGTCTTGTGTTCAGGCTCGACTGCTTCTGCAAACTCCTGCAGTTTAGCAACCCACAATGCATTGTTAACAGTTCCTCCACCAGATATTTCAAATGATCACAAAACAAAAAGTACTCAAATATATGACGAAAGGTTGGACAAGCAAAATGTGAAAATTTTACCTCAATTTCAGCTGCTTCATAGGAGATGTCAGCACTCTTTCCCCTCAAACGACAAAGAGCTGATTCTACAGCTTGCTCATTCCCAATCTTTGCCTGTAAAAGGTTGTCCGTTAATTTGTATATTATTACTTGAACGCTAAGGGAAGAAAGGGAACAGCAATGACATTCGGAACTTTTTTTTTATCAGTAAATTTCATATTTCGAAGCTTGTATTCAAAGACTTTCTCAGGAGTATTTAGGCTCGGTAAAATCATGCAGTGAGTGTTTTCGCTAATCAAAGTCCACAGTTGGAGGAATGAAATAAGAGCTGGTTTTGTCTTTCATATGTACTGTATCCTTTATTAAGCCACTCACTGCATGATTTCACTGCATACCATTACTCACATTAGACGTTGCACTTTTCAAATAACATTAAAGAAGTGCAAAAATTAATCCAGAAACATTCAAGTTTGTACTAACCAGCCATCTAGGAGACTCTGGAATGAAGAATACTCCAACCACCTGGAGCACACAAGGTAAAACTCCTGAAAGAATTTCAAAATGCACCAGGTTATACTCCTGAAACAGCAAAAATATGATAGAGAACTTTTTACATTTTGGTTAAGAATTCTCACCAACTAGAGCCAATGTGCGCCAAGTCATAAAATTTCCAACAAAGAACATCAATATGAAGCCGCAAGTTTGCATGAACTGTAAGGAAGTTTCCAAGTCAGCAGGCTGACATTGTTAAATCTGCAAACTGAAATAAGCAATAGATTATCCGTACCGTAGCAGTGGCTACAAATCCACCCCGAATGTCCTTGGGAGTAATCTCTGCTATATAGATTGGTGCCTGGTGGTAGAAATGATAAGTCCATTTTTGTTCAATACATCAGAAATAAGTATAATAGAAAATCAAACTACTGTAATATTTACCACATAACAATGGATCCCGCACGCAATTCCCATCAACAACCTTCCAACATCAAGCCACCAAGCAGTCTACAATAAGAAGGCAAAATAAAGTTACTCATCGGAGAATATGGTAGTCTCCAATAGAGTGGAAACCAAATTATTTCACCGAAAAAACAGAAATGAATGATGAAAATCCAGAATGTAAACACCAAAAGAATGATTAAGTCCATCTTTTAGTCAATTTTGGCACATCAAAGTAGTGCCATGCTAGTCTTCTTCATTATTTGTGCAGTTAAAACGACAAGTGATAAAAGGGATTCAAAAGGTTATTACAGAAACGAGACTTCAGAAGTTTAGGGAGGGACTTGAGAATGGAACAGAAAATAGGGATATTTAATCGTCTTTTGAAAAGAGATGCAGCTCTGCTAAAACGACAATTATCTCATTTGCAACAGAGTTTAAAACTGACTAAAACAATAAAAAGAAAATTGAGACCTGCATGACATGAAACCGAAAAGAACTATATATTGTCCACACTGCAATAATGGAGGGTAATACAACCTCCATAGATAGCAGCTGTCTTTTCTTCACAACTACATGGACATGTGATGCAGAAGACATACTGCTAAAGTTAAACTACACTCATGGACCAAGAGAGGCATCATACATGCCAAGATAAAGAATATCATTGCTGAAACCAACATTTACATGCCAAGATATAAGACTGGATAGGCAGAACATGGTCCACATTTAGTGAAACAAATCCATTTTGTAACATTGATCTCACGATCCCTTAAGTTGGCTAAGATCCAACATTACACGATCATCATTGTCCCTTATTAGGACTCTCATTTAATTCACCATGATTACTTAAGCAGCTCTAGTACATATTTAACATAATTTATTCATATTTCTCTCTGAAAATTCTTGTAATCTTAATATATGATAATCCAAGACATTTGAATAGGAAAAATTGAAGCTGCAGAGAATCATGAATAACAAAGGAAATAACATGGAACAGAAGGTATATATTAAAAGAAAGCTTAGTACCTTTCCAAAGATTACCAAAATCCAACCCAAAATGAAAAAAGTTTCCATTATCAACATTGACTGCATCAAAGATATGGAAGTGTAAGTGCTCAAAGAGTTTTACAAGCTTAAAGAAACAAGTTACAATATATAATTGACATCTAAATAAAAAATGAATGAATGAAAAACTTACAACTCTTCGCCCAAAAAAGTCTGCTACTTTCCCGCTGACAAGAGCACCCATCATTCCTCCAAATTTTAATATGGAAGCAAATACCGAGAACTTCAAAATGGACAAAAACAAAATACAATAAGATTAGCTAACCACATAAGAGAATGAACACATTTAATCTTGTAAGATTGCTACCAGTGTGTACTATGTTCAATGGTCCTGAAGCTCCAAGATAGCTTTTAATTTTGTAAGACCAGGATGGTCTGTATTGTTATCATAGAACTTTTAATATTTGGACATTTTGCGGTTTGAATAAATTATGACTTAGAATACTTAGCGTTGTCGAATGTAACTTCAATTAAGTCATTAATGGCCTCTATTGGTGCAGTAAAGATGAAAATTTAGCCATGATAATCATGCTGTCTTAAGAATCAGTAGAACACCTCCACTTAATATGCATTGCTTAACACTACAACCTAATAGTGCTTCTAGTTCATTGGTTCTGTTTCGAATACATTATGCACCAAAATTCTAACTCCTCTCCACACGTGAAGGTGAAAGAGATAGAATGGGAGTTCAACGGACTTATATATCTTTAAACTATAAAACTAATGAAGCATTGCACTAGGAAAAAGGAAACACTAATGAAGCAAGGACAAAGCTAAACTCAAGGGAAGAAAAAAAACACACACACACACACACACACACACACACACAAACTTACTTCTGAAATGGATAATCCAAGGTCACTCATCATTCCTGATTCAGCTGGAGAGGAAAATCCCCCCTGCACGAGCCATTTGTCAAAACCCAAATCAAACATTATGCAAGTAGCCAGAGCAATATGACCCAAGAAAACAATGATTCAACCGCATAAATAGCTGATCAAGTTTTAAATTCAACAAGGCAGAAAGGGGCCAATATGCTCCTTCCTATCTAAGATAGCTATGTGGAAAACTGCAGTAATTGAACATATGATTTGCATGAACTATGTTTCTTAAACAGCCCAAGTACCCACTTGCAAAAGAAACAAAACCCAGAATCTGATACAAACACAAAAAGTCAACTTCAGATTGAAAAGAGTTTCATTTCATCAAGCTAACAACTTTCTCCCAATACCTACCGCCAATCCAAAAGCCAAGGAGCCACAAGCAACAACCGAAGTACTGAAGATGACCATCGGAGTGGCAGAGCTTGCCTTCTTGGCGACATTCTCGCTGCTACTGCCACTGTTTAGCAATCCTTCTTCCATGGCTTTACTTTCTTTTTTTTTGAATCCTTTGGTGTTCTGTTTTCTTTTCGGACTTGTAAAAAATGGAAAAATATCCTCTATTTATAGTATCAGAAAAAGGAATCGCAAGTTGAGACCCTTTGTGTACAATTCTCAAGAAACGGGTCAACTTGGATGTAAAAAAGAGAAAAATAAAAATCAAAACTTGATCAAATCAAATTATTGGTTTTCAAACTTCCAGGAAATTGGTTCAAGAACAAGGGTAATTCCAACTTGGTTTGTTTGGAAAAGTTTTTTTGAATAGAATCAAGTTTAACTGGCAAATTGATTCTCAAAACGTAATCAATAAAATCAACCAACCAATCCTTGTCCACCTCTTAAATAATACTTAAATTTGAAAGCACCAATGAGTACTGTTCATAGATTCGCATAAAGAAATGATCTTTTTTATTTGTCAATCTTGCGGGAATTTTTTTGATTAGTAAATTCGACAACTCTCACATGATACAATGGATTGCATGAATGGACAGGTGAGTTATTTAAGGAAGACAAAATCAAAACAATTTTACTGCCAACCAATCCGCTGAAAGCAGAGCACCAAGTTTATTCTGACCACATGGTATTCCAGTACAGTAGAACCCACCAATTATTACATTAAAAAAAAAAATTGATATAAATTATTGATTTTTTGTTTGGTGGGCTATGAGAAATACAATAAATTATTCATCCGGTTTGGTTGTATTAGCTTGTTCTTAATTCAGCACTTCATGTTGTTCTTTGTTCTTCATTCTGCATCATTTTGGTTGTATTTTCTGTTTAAAAATCCTGCAAATCATGGCATCCCAGATGGGCTAATCATGCAGATGATGCACAATTACAACAGTTTTATCACCATATTTTGCACGTTGGTTTTTTATGTTTTCCATTGCTTTTGTTTTTTTGGATGCATGTGGGCACCAAATTTGTTGAAAAGTGGACAGGGTAGTCCAATTTGCTCACGGAATGTTGTGGTCAATCAAAACATCTTCTTATCCCGTCTTGCAATTAATATTATCAAATACTGTAAGCAGCCTTCAGCTGTAACTTGCTAATGTAGAGTTTGAAAGTTTGAATACCATAACAGTGAAATATGTTGATTATTAAGATTATCAAAATAAAAACTTAAAGATAGTGACGATGATTTGTTATTTGTCTAGATAGTTTGAAGAAACTCTTCTACATTTACCTTTCTGATTTGATTTTTGATAAACTAATGATTTCGACTAATATTGTTCGAGTGAATATTGTTCGAGTGACTAATCTTTACTATTCCGTAATTTTTGATAAACTAATGATTTCGACTAATATTGTTCGAGTGAATATTGTTCGAGTGACTAATTTTTACTATTCCGTTCATCCTGTAAAAATAGTACATTTTGAGAAAATATTTTGCTAGCCAATAGTAACTTATATTGGATCTAATATATCTCATTACTCATTTAACGGACTAATGAGATATTGATATGGAGAGGATTAAATAAAAATTCTGTACAAACTGTAAAAATAAAGTTTCGACGGAAAAGATTTAAGGAAGAGTAACTCAACGATCAAATAAAATATTTTTGTTTGTTGATGCCAGATTTCGACAAGTTTCAGTTAAACACGTTATGGACAAACAGCCCTTACAGTTTCAGGATAACTATATCTACGCCTCACACTTTTCGTCAGATTACAAGATGCTGCGTACATTTTCACCAAATTACAACCAGACCCTTTGTTGATTATAGGTTAAACTTATGAGTTATGACCCTTCAAGAACTGAAAGGCCATCAGTTGGATGTAACAAATCATTGAAATTACATGAACTCAGTCTGATTCACAGTACAAGTTTCTTCTACCATCCTCTTCAACGGTGGGAAAACTATATTCGCTCATAAAAGGGAAAAAGAAAAGGCTTCCTCCTTTTTAAAATTACTGTTCTGTTTACGGTATCAAAGAGTAATTCGTAAACTAGTGATAAATGTATCGATTGGAAATGAGACAAGATTCATAAGAAGAATTATACTATCATCATGAGAATTGAGAGGAGGCTTTCGGTTAAAAAAAAAAGCCACCTATCCTCCTCCCCTAAAGTTACAAAAGCAATACCTCCAAAAAAAACTGTCTATGCATTGGGATGAATGTTTGTTAAATACAGCAGAATGCAATCTGCCTCTAAATAAAAACTAGCAGAAAGCTAACTTGTGCTCCCAACTGGCTTAAATGATCTTGACCTTCGGCTGAACATACATTGAACCTGCTTGTCGAGAAACCTCACTTTCGCGTTCGTTTTGCTAAATGAATTAGTATTGTGATTTAATCTGTTTTGACATTGTGAATAAAGAGAACTACTTAAGTAGAGCCATTGATGCTTGAATTTCTTCTAATGTTCGTCCCTTAGTCTCAGGAACCAATTTGAGAACAAAAAGAATGATGGAGCCACAAAACAAGGAGAACATAAAGAACACTCCTGCAAACAATCAGAAACACCAGTATTGATCATTATCATCATCATGAAATCATTTTCGAAACTAAGCGAGATCATGAAGGTGGAGAAGCATCGTTACCAGATGAACTCCATTCGAACAAAAAGTTGAAAGCGTAGGCCACAATCCACGAACTAAACCAGTTGCCTAGAGTCACAAGGCTTCCAGCAGTGCCTTTAATATTTAGAGGGAAGATCTGAGAAGAAATAATCATTTTTCAGTTTCGAGTCTTTTAGAATGTATGGTTTACTGCAGAAGATATTGAAAATCTTACCTCAGACATGATTACCCAAGTTGTACTGCCCATACCAGCTGCCATTGCTGAAGAGTATATCTGCTCATTAATGAAGTATCAGAACTATATTCTTTGAGAATAGATGCCAGAAGAAAATACCGAACATGGAATGAGTAACATTACCATTACTCCAGCCAGCACCAACGGGGGCGATATGTCAATCCATATGTTATGAGTCTGGAAGTATCGAGCAAGGAAGTTAGAAGCAAAATTTAGCAATGGTACTAAAGATTAAAGTAGTAAAGAGAGAGGATGAAGTAACCTTATGTTTCATTTTACCTTAAAGAGGAATCCTAATCCTGTCAAAAACATTCCGCAGCCTGCTATTGCTGCAGTAACCTAAAATCATTAACATGCTATGTCAGAATTGTTATCCAGAGGTGAAAACTTCACCAAAAGAGTATAGACACTAGCGATTCTAACCATCAGAATTGGACGCCGACCTGCTTTGTCCACTAGTAGAACACTCAAAGGAGCAAAAGGAATCTAGAAAACAAACAAGTTCGAAATGGTTTGAGATGTTTCAATGAAGCAGAAATGTCGTGAAATGACTTCACGAGTAAGAGACAAACCTGGACAGCAGCTATTGCTGTGGATGATATGGCAGCAGGGCAACCTTGTTACAATTGAGTGTTTCCAGGTCAGTATTTTGAAGAAAGGTAGGAAATTTTTAAGTTGCAAATATCAGCTCATTAACCACAGAATTTTACCAGCTGCTTCAAAAATTGAATTGGCGTAAGATGAAACTCCGTCTGCCCCTCCAAATTGCACCAGAAGCATCAAGCCAATACCAACCTAGTGAAACCAAACATCGGTACTTAATATCCCAAACATAGTACCGTGAACATCAACTAGTAGATTACCAAATCAATCGATCACATACAAGAAGTGGTTGAGCATATCTTCTGTCCATCAAGTCTGAATATCTTGATTTTGGTTCTTGCTCGAGTGTTTCAGCATATTCCTGTAGAAAGCAATAATCAGTGCGATTAGCATTTTATCAGCTCGAGAGATTTCGACAAACTCAATGGCAAGAAGCCCCAAAAGAAACAAAAATGAAGGCGGTGAATGTAAGACAGTCACCTCAATTTCAGCTGCTTCAGAGGAGATATCAGCATTTGCCCCCCTCAGATGCCATAGAACCATTTCTGCGCCTTTTTCATCACCCATCATTGCCTGCGTATAATATTTTCATCAGTCTAGCATTTGGTCATGAGAAAAGGCTAGGGGACGAAAAGGAATGTAAACTGAATGTAATCCAAAACTAATATCGTGAACTCACCAGCCATCTGGGAGACTCTGGTGTGAAGAACAATCCCAAAACCTGGGCCAGACACGGTAATACTCCTGAAAGAATTTCATGATGCAACTCATTATGCCTACCACAAAGAATAAATGAAAAAATGATACAAACAGAAGAAGCTCCTTACCAACAACAGCCAATCCGCGCCAGCTCAAGAAATTCCCAACTAAGAACATCAATATGAAGCCCAGAGTTTGTGTGAACTGTAAAAATATATTGCAAGTCATGAAAAGGATATTGTTGAATCTGCAAAGATAAACCAAATAGCAATTTTTCCATACCGTTGTAATGGCAATAAATCCACCTCGAATGTCTTTTGGTGTAATCTCTCCAATATAGATTGGTGCCTGACATTCAACAATGATAAATTGATATTTTGTGATTCATACTGAATAGAGTGGCAGAAAATACAAGGAATTGCTGAAACCGTTACCACATAACAATGAAGTCCACATCCAACTCCCATGAACAATCTTCCGAAGTCAAGCCACCAAGCATTCTTTAAATGGACAAATGTATTAGTACTCAAGACAGAGTATTCACCCATGCCAGGGAAACCAAAATATGCAGCTGACACAGAAATAATCAAATAAAACCAACTTCAACATGATGATGTCCAAAATCAAGAAACACCATTTCATTTTATACGGCAGCAAGTTGGCTTTAGATCTGAATGCAAAATTATGAAAATGAAACTACAGATAGAATCAGAGCTAAGTACCTGCCCAAAAAAGATTAGAATCCAACCCAAAATGAAAAATATCGCCAAAATCCACATGGTCTGCATTAAAGATCAAATGAGATATGAATTCTTGAAGGGTAAGTTTGACAAGTTCCAAAAAAGGAAAATATCAATATCTACTACGTTCGGAAACAGAAAAAACAACTTACAATTCTCCGTCCAAAACAATCTGCGACTCTGCCACTCAGAAGGGCACCCAACATTCCACCAAATTTCAGAATTGAAGAAAACCCCGAGTACTTTAAAACAACAAAAATCAATGGCACCGATCAGTTGACTCCATCAAGGGACAAATTATTAGCAGCAAAAACCAAAGAAACTGATCTGTCTATGCCTCTATGGTGTTTAAAAAAGAAAGAATGATGAGAAAACACAGGCCTGATCGAAATGTATATTTGGATTACAGAAAGAAAGAAAACATACTTACTTCTGCAAATGACAATCCTAGGTCATTCATAATTCCTGATTCAGCAGGAGAGGAGTATCCCACCTACACAAATCATTTTCACCATCAACACGACTAATCAGTTGAGGCTAATACTGTATGTTGATCCAACCCAATTGCACAATAAAGAATGATCAATACTGCTTTTGAGCATATCATCTGTCATAAAAAATGCTTCCAAAGCACAAAAATGGGGACTATAGTCCCCCACCCCTCACTTTCTTTCCATGATTCATGATAACTTGATCAATAGCACGGGCCATTCTAAAACGAAAAAGCACGCCACATTGCTACTTACAGCCAGTCCAAAGGCTAAGGAGCCACAAGCAACCACAGAAGTACTAAAAATAACTGCAGGCGTTGCAGAACAGCTCTTCCTATAGACATCATCACTGCTGCTACTACTGGCTAGCAATCCTTCTTCCATGTTTTTTTCCTTTTTCTTCTTTTGCTGTTAGTCCCTTGAGCGGGAACTGGGAAATTTGCCATATTTATACATTTCTAGGAAGTGAATCAATCAATCAATCAATCAAAGCCCCCCACATTATCCACTTGAGAGTGGCACTTTCTTCAAGAAGTGGCAACTGGGTTTTTCTTCTTTTCAGAAAATTCTTCAGCAAATCTTGCCAGAATCACCGCACAAAATCCACTTGCACTCAAGTTGCAAAATTCTGAATTGGGGAATTTTCTTATTTCAAAAACCACACATGGTATCCCTGTAAACATCTCATATACTATTTTTAACCAGATACCACCGGCCATCATTATTAAAAATATCTTCTGGAGTTTACTGTTTTACTTTAGTTTCATCAAGTTAATTTTTTAAAATTAATTTTTTTAAAGTCCTTTTTAAACTACCAACTAAGAACAAGCAACAATATTGCAAGAGAAATGGGTCTGCAAAATTAATTTTTTAAAAAAGGACTTCTCTTCATTGACGGAGAAACTTTAACCTCCTTTCTTGAAATTATTGTTCGGGTTTGAGATTTCTCTTATATTATAATTTATACTAAAATTGATAATTCAAACTGGACAATAATTTTGGCACAGAGGTACTAAGTTTCCGCAACCATAAATCAATCAATAATGTCAAAATGTGAAGTAAAGTTGAGACATTTAACTAAATTTTGAATAATCTTAAGCTAGGTTCTACAATTAGTTCCAATTTGATCATCTCTAATACCTTAATTTATCCAAACAACATATGCAGAAATGCTAGATGAGAAATAGAAAATCTAAATACAATTCTTAATTAATTCTTCCTGTTGAACAAGACCATGGATGCTTGAATTTCTTCTAGGGTGCGCCCTTTGGTCTCTGGAACAAGCTTTGCCACAAATACCAGAGTTAATCCACTTGCGATCGAGAATATGAGAAATGTACCTGAATTCACAAGAAAAGTGAAAAAGGGTTCCATAAATTCCGGGATGATGATGATGATGATGATGATGAATTGTTTAAGTAGCCATCAATAAATTTAACCTTCAGAAGTGATCCATTCTGTTAGGAAGTTGAAGGAATAGGAAATAACCCAAGAACCAAGCCAGTTCACAACTGTCACCAGGCTTCCAGCTAGACCTTTTACATTTATTGGAAATATCTGAAAACAAAAGACCAGATATCAGGATTTTATTTTTTTTTATTAATCTTGAATATCATAAAGCCTAAATTATTGACAATTAAATGAACCAACTTTCAGGGCAGATCTTTCCATGGTTTCATCAATTGGGCACTTGGGCTGTCACTCTTGAGATCAATAATATACTAGTAGTATAAAATGGCACTTTGCATCCTTCTTGAAAATTGAAGACATGATATAATTATTAAAAAAATAAAAAAAAAAATCCAGCAAGAAAGATCATTACTGAACCATGCAGATCTCAAGGGTATACCTCTGACATTATAACCCAAGGAATTCCTCCCATTCCCAAGGAGAAGGACCCTGTAAACACCTAGTAAGATCATCAAAGAGTATGAAGAAAAAATCAGCAAAACATTCAGAGTGAGATCATGTTTAAAAAGGTAAGAGGAAGTTTCTCAAGTTGGCAAGATTGTATTTACCAGCACTCCAATCAATGCCAAGATTGGACTATACTTCCAAATTTGAAGATCCTGCAAGTCAAAATGGCTTATTTATTTGCTGCAATGATCTGTTTAAACACCAAAAAAAATGTCTAAGAATTTGGAGTTTAGCAGAACCTGTAGTAAGAATGACAACCCTGTCAGGAAACAACCCAAACAGGTTCCAGTAGCTGAAATCTGCAAAATATATTGCATTTCTATTTGAGCTATTCGAGCTGCTAGCGGCAGTTAAAAAATATCACTACCATTTCTTTCATTTCTTACCATGAGGAGTGGTATCCGTCCCGATTTATCCATTAGGAGAGTTCCCAAAAGTGTCATTGGAACCTAATGAGATAGTGGAAAATGGAAATGAAGTAAATGTATTTTCATGGTGAGCACAAAAACAGGAAAAAGGTAGACAAATGGCCGAAAATCCCATGAAGGTCATCTTGATCTTGATGGATTCAAATCAGGTTTGGAAAAGGAAAAGTAAATGTAAGGCTCATATACCACATTTGAGAATACAGGATTCTACAGGAGTTTGGTGGTAACTTGGTGGTGCCAAAGTATTTGGAAAACCAATGTGATATTGTGAATGGGATAGTAATCATTTACTTTGAAGAAGAATTAACCTGAATGACAACCATAGCTAAAGTCCCTGTCCTGCTTGAAAAACCTGTGACATTCAGTTGAGTATAGTCATTCTCCTTTAGTCATTACACAAGTATAGGAGAGGAGAATCACTAATAATGAGAGCATACAAACCAGATGACTCGAAAATTGCACTTGCATAATAGGCTATAGCATTTACGCCTCCAAGTTGTTGCAATACCATTAGTCCTACACCAACCTGAAATGAAATTGAAGTGATGTTCATCTCCAAATGAAAAGTTTTGATTCACACTAGAAAAGAACAGATGCCTTACAAGGAGTGCATGAGCATATTTGACATCAAACAAATCAATCAGACGAGTTTCTGAGAGTTGTCGAAGGCTTTCTGTGTAATCCTGGAATGGAAATGTCCTTGTTTGATGTCAACTTACGATAAAAAAATAAATATGTTGCAAGTTAATTGATCCGCAACTTCTTACCTTGATTTCTGCTGCTTCTTGAGAAATATCGGCGGTATCGCCTCTAAGGCGTTGCAGAGAAGTTTCACACTCTTTCCACCTGTTAAGTTTGGCCTGTTATAATGTCGAAGAGGAACCAATCATACTCAATACTACATGAAGTGATATAATAAGCTAAAGCCACCTAATTAGAAACCTCGTAATCATTCTAAACAGCGTATTGAGCAGATTGAGTAACTAGGCATTGCTTTCAGCAGATTGTCTTTTTAACTTACAAGCCATCTTGGAGACTCTGGAATGAAGAAAAGGCCTAGTAACTGCAGTAGACATGGAATGGTGCCTGAAGTGAAATTGAATGTAACAAAATCCTTTCACCGAAACCATCAAAGTCAGACAATATTAATGCAGACAGAGTTGTTACCAATAAAAGCCAAAAGACGCCAAGACATGAAATTTCCAATCGTATACATCACTGAAACTCCACAGCATATCATCAGCTGACACATTAGAGTATTTTGGATCAGAAGAACTGGTAATGGGAAGCTTATCCTAGAAAGCAGAACCATCATGCCTTGCCTGATTCACTGCTGTAAATGCTCCTCTAAGATTTTTGGGCGTTATTTCTGCTATATATACAGGTACCTGTTGCAGATTGAAAATCTAAATACCTTCTATGATGCTTATTAAAATAGAAACATGAGGCTTGAGCTAATATAAGTTACCACGTATGACAATATTCCAATTCCATATCCGGTTGAGAAACGGCCAACATCAAGCAACCAAGCACTCTGACAACGACGATAAAAAGTAGGATCTCAGTATGTCTAATCCAGAGAACTAAGTATCAGGAGAAAGGGCTAGCTATGTACCTTTGAGGCAGAAACTGCACCCCAGCCCACCAGACAAAACATTTGTGAGAACCCCATCGCCTGCATTTCCAGCCAAATTTAAAATCATTTGACAAAAATGAACTCTTCCATCAAGCAGTAAAGAAGAAGTGAACTAAAAATGAGATAGCTTCAAGATACGCCAAAGTGAAAGCAGAGAAAAAAATGCCTCAGAGTACTAAGAATTTATGTGGTAAACTTAGGCAGAACTCACACGCCTCCTCCCAAAAGAATCTGCTATCTTTCCACTCATTACTGCACCAAGCATTGCTCCAATCGTCAGTATTGAACCGAACAAGGAATACTGCAAAAGTGATTCCATCATTCCAAAACGTGATACCATAGCATCAAGTGATTCCTTACATTCTAGTCAATTTTAAGGTCTGCAAAAACACTCAATACTCTAATTGTATAAAAAAATCTCCTAACCTATGACACGAAATTCTTACACACCATCAAAGTTTGTTGAAGTTTAGCAATTACCTCCGCCAAAGAAAGGCCTAATTCATCTATAATTCCAGATTGAGCAGGAGACGAAAATCCCACCTACGAAATAAAAGAATTCAAGGAAAAAGATGAAAACTTTCAACCAATCAGTAAGAATATCAAAAGCTACCAATCTCAAACTATGCAAATAACTATTGCCAATTGTAGCAAATCTCGACTGTGTAACTAACTGCAAATGCGTTATGTATGTAGGGGTATAAAGTGAATTTGATGATTAAATTTACTTACTGCAGTTCCAAAAACATAGGAGCCTAAAACAGAAATCAAACTGCTGAATATCAACACAACTGTAGCATGATCAGCCGCCGGACCGGAGCTGCTCTCAGCCGTTACATTCCTCATTGGGTCAGCAGGATTTACGTTTCTAAGTAAAGGGGTGGAGTTAGAATCTTCTTCAACATGAACAATAGTTTGTGGTTCCATCTTGTTAGCCAAAACAAAGAGGAAAAATAATCAAATTGTGAACTCAAATCTAGAGGGTTGGAGTAGAGAAGGAATTCATGAGTAATTAGTACTTCCCTTTAGACCCTAAATGGATTATTTTTTCTGTAGTATGGTTTGATTTTAGTTTCTGTTTTCACTGTAAAGGAGACATTTTTGCACATGACAGTTGGCTTTTTTCTTTTGTGTCCATTGGCAAATAAGGACAAATGTTTCTTACGAATCCTAAAAATTGAATGATCAGATTCGGACATAAAAACTTTATTTAAAACAGAGAGGAGAGGATAAAAGGATTTGATTTCATGCATTCATTAGTTACGTATCTCTCTTGCTTGCTGACTACTTGCCATGTTGGATTTGGACTCATGTGAATCTGATCCAGTGTTTCAATAGTCCCCTGAGCTTGGAAGAATTCTTTTAACTTGTGACAATAAGTATAAAGAACTAAAGAAGTATGAGACAAGTATAAAGATCCTCAAAGTTATGTGATCATTCACTGTCCTTAATACCGTTTTCAATGATTTTAGGGTGGAAATTCTCATTTCCGGTTTCCATCACACAAATCCGAAAAGGTCACTTTTGACTAATTAAACAACACAAGATTTACTATTGAAATACTGAGAAATACAACGTGAGTGATGAGTCGGAGTAATATTACAACAAATTGACATGGTCCGTGTACCAGATGAAATGGAGTTTATTTGATTAAATTTTCATTCGTAAAACCAACGTTGACTTCACGAAAAAATCAGTGATTCTTGATGAATTCAGAAATCCCTTTGAAAAGCTTATCAGTTTCAGCACCTGTAGTTGGATCCATATCAACAGCAAGCTTGTTCAGATAAAAGCTATGACCGACTCCAGAGCTGATGAACAGGGTCGCATCCTTGTTTGCTTTCTTCATCACCTCGTAGAACTCCATTTCAGTGTCTTTGATGAGATCAAATTCCGCCACACAGTAAAGAAACGGAGGAAGATTCATGGTTTCAATCTTCGGCGCAGCATCGCCCATAGGACAAGTTATAGGATGATCTTTGTTGCTTCCAATTGGTAACGCTAGACCCAGAAACTTGTCCACCATGTCTAATGTCAGAAAGGGTGATTCTGGTTGCTCCAATTCCGACTTGCTCCTTACAGAACGGACGAATCCAGGATGGACCGGAATAGCTCCGGCGAGCCTGAGAGGACTCAGGTCAACTTCACCGGCTCGTGCAGCGACTTGGTAAACTATGTTTCCACCGGAGCTGTCACCAATTAGAAACACGCGCTTGAAATCTGCATCCGAAAACAGGGCTTCCCCTGCCTCTCCAGCTGCTAAATCTCTTAACCACATCAATGCCGAGTACCCGTCATCGCACGCCGCGGGGAGGCGATGCTCCGGCGCGAGCCGGAGAAAAACCGACACGACGATCGCCCTCGCGAGTCGGGCCAGCCGGGTATACACCGAATAGTACATGAACCAATCCGCTTGGCTAATGCAAAAACCACCACCAGGGAAATGGAGTATGATTGGCAGCTTTCCTTCATCGTTTTCAGGTTCCGGAACATAGATTCGTACCCGGAGGCCGAATTTCGCATCGATCACGACATCTTTTACGGCAACCCCGTCAACGAATTCTTCGTGGGCTGGCACTGGATCGGACATGAACTTTACCTCCGGTGGTCCAGTCCATGTCCTGTCAACACTTCCATCATCGTACACTCTTAGCCATCCCGACACTTCTTCGACAATCTTTTTCTCAGTGGTGGCCATTAAACTGTTCAAACAGTCTATTTAAGCAAGAAAGTATACAGATTGTGGAATTCTTGATGAGATTCCAAATCTAATTCAGATTGGTTGGTTTTTTTTTTTTTTTTTTCCCTACATTCCTCACCCCAAATGCACCTTCTTTTTATAGTTGGAATTCTGAGGCTTTTAACTAATGGAGTTTTGGCTTGTTTCTCCAGTGGGTGGACCCGATGGCTATTTTTTAATCTCATGATGAAAGGTTTAAGCCAATTGCCTGGTTGTTTCAATTGGTGTTATTTTAGTGGGGGCAAGAATTCTTCTTTTGCTTTAGGTTTGGTATATAACTATTGTTTTTTTGATTTGATGTTTAAATTGAGGACAAATTGTTGTTGTTTAATTATTAAGCGTTAATTGCTACACTAATAACTACTAAAAGATAGTAATGTTAAACAAATATAACTCGGAAGCAGCGTGGAAATTAATTGAGATTAAAAGTTATCTCAATGTCATACTCGAAGTTGACAAAATCTTTTTAAGGATCATGAGTTCAGACTAAGTATGATATATTTTTAATTAGCTCATACGATAGAATGCATTTCCTTAAAAATTAAAAAATTCAACGTAACGCTGATAGCCCAATACCCTTACAACTCATATAAACGATTACTATTATTATTTTTTATGGTTTTATCACAGTTTACAGGAGTGTTCATCTTTTTTCTCGTTCATCTCTTATAAAGATGGCTGTTGGAATATTGTACTGTATTTTCAATCTTTTAGCCTATAATATATGCTTGACCAGAAAAAAGGAGAGTCAACGCTGTTGAAATTTCGTTTAAATTACTTGGAAACGAGTATATTCCAATTTTGGGTGGTAAGCAACTAACTAATTAGGGATACTTGACAAGTTTCAAAATTGTTCTTTTCTTGGTCATCACTATATGTGTTACTTCGTAGTATTTGTAACGTAATTGCTGTAACGTTTGAGCTTAGAGCGGAAGACTTTCACAATCACAAAGTTCGTTAGTCAACGTACTATGCATGTCAACTGTGGAAATTCACGGATACTGTTGTTTCGGGCAACCACCACGTTTCGCTTTTGGATTAGAAGGCTTTTCATTCTCTTGTTTCCGTTACTAGATAAAAAAATATAATGTATGGTTCTTTCTTTGCATTTACTATAATTTTTTTTTCATGAATATTCTTGATTCACTCATAAGAGAGAATATTTATTACTTTATTCATTTTAAGATAACAGTCTAGTGTGTTGTACTTGTTTTAATATGAGGGAAGTATGGCCTCAACCTAGGGGTGACCACGGTCTGTCGATTTACGAACTGGACCGAAACCATAAAAGACAGTTTATAAAATCGTCCGTCTAGTCAAGGGCCGGTTACGGTTCTAGTATTTGAATATCGTAAACCGACACTTCACATCGGAGGTTTTTGAATTAGGTTACCCTTAGTTCTTGTTGTGCCACTCAAAATAGATTTATAGTTTTTTCTTAAAAAAAGACAATACTTATTTTTAATTATTAAAATCATGGGAAACGCGAATATGGCATTCTATATTTAATCATTAAAATTTGGTTACCCATGCTACTAAAAGTATTTCTAATTTTATTTTTCTTATGCACTTGTTTTTTTCATTAAAATCAATTTCTTTAGTTTTGTTTTAACATAAAAATTAAATAGTATTAAATTGAATTACAATTGTACAAAAATTTAATTAAACCTGTAAAATATCGGATTGAAATTGTTAACAACACGAAGTAAAACCGTCAATAAATCGAAACCGAAACCGTCCGAAATCGGACTGGAACCGAAAGTTTATAAATCGAAACCGTAATCGTAACCGTAGACTTAGGGGCTGGTTAAGATTCATATATTTCTTGAACCGTGAATCGGTGATTCTGAACCGTGCTCATGCCTACCTTAACCATCTTAAAAAAGAAATCGATAGGGGTACAACTAAAATGAAAAAAGATAACCACATTAAAAATAATATATTTTGATGAGAATAATATATTATATTATCCTCTATAGCTTTTCAAGCCAGGAAAATAATTTGTTAATGTACTTCTTTCTATTAAGATACAATAGGATAATAATTAATTTGTTACATAACTTTACATAGTAAAAAATGAGCAAGCAAGATCTACTTGGACATAAATTATCTTTCGGCTTTGAGGTTTCTTCGGTGTCCAAGCAATCAAAGACCTCACTTCTCGACAACATGTGGTTTACTACTTTTCTTCGTAAGTTTGGATCTTCACAACAATCATTCATAGAATAAATAGAGGCAAGAAATCAATTTACAAAAAGAGAAGAAAAAATAATCATCAAATAGGTACGGTCTCAATTATTCAGAAGGAAATTAACATGCGAACCATTACTTTTGTTTCAATCAGAAGTTAAAATTGAGGGAGGCTCATACCAAAAGGGAAAAAAGGGACTACATACCTTAATCTGTTGCCATCGAGAAGATTAAGCCATGGATACTATAATTGAAGGGGGAAAAATAGTTTACTAGGTAAACTTATGAGAAACAATCAAAATCAACCTTTTCATGGAGATTCAAATGGAAGAGAAGCCTATTGACTAACCACCATCATAGTGTTCACACGAGAAACCTACCCAAAACCATTAGAAGACATGAAAAAGAAGTTCTTAAGGAAAACAACATTGGCGGCCACTAATAAAATTCATATACAAGTAAAGTAGTAAGAAAAGAATAATAATAGAGATTAAACCATCGTGGATACCTTCCTTCTATTCTTCTCCAAGAGCATTTGCATAGACTTTTAATACTAATTTAGAAGCCAGATGGGAATCATGGTTAGGGTGGATGATTTGGGGGTGAGATTTGACTATATACAAATTCTTAAATAAGATCGTATCTTTTGAAAATAATCCACCACAATTGACCTAATTCTTAAAAACTACTATGGTTAAATTAAAAATTTCAGCAGATTTTTGTATATATGGATTTGATTAGCTTAGATTTGGTTTATTTTGGTAGATAAGATTTAATTTGTTAAAGTAACCAAAAGACAGAACAAATTTGATTGGAATTTGAAGATTTTATGGTTTGAAATTGAAAAATCTTCCAACAAAATTAGAAGATTAAGATCATGATAAGATTTTGAGTGGTTGTTTTGAGTTTCGATTGAGGAAATCTGGAATACAGGATTGTTCATTTAGATGAGTTTCGATTTAACTAAAAGACAGAACAAATATCAACTGAGTTTTTTTTTAACTGAAGATATAATTTTTTCCATTTTAATAAATAAAAAAAATGGAGAAAATTTCCAGTCCTACGTGGCAAGTGGAAAACTATCTCTGTTTCCTCTCTCTGGGTTTTCTATTATTAAGTTATATAGATAGATTATATTGATGGTAATTATTGATCCCTTGTTCTAAAAATATAGTGATAGTCTAGTTTAGATTTTTATTTTTTGGTCAATTTATATTAAATTAAAAATATAAATTTAAATTAAATAATAATTTTAAGACAGAACGAGAAGTTTAGAAATCTCTTTTAGTTTGCAAGATTAATCTATTTAGTTCGGCAGTTTATAAGTAGAGTCATATCTGCGGTGTGTTGATGAATACAATTAAGATTCAAGAGTTGGCTGGTGCAATTGCAAACATTTTGTTATACTCTCTCCCTCCTAACAAAATAAGCTATCTTGAGTTTTAAAATTTATACTACCTAAGTCCCACAAAAATAGTCCACATTGAGATTTCAAATTTATATTAAAAATAGTACAAAACTCAAAACTTAATATGGACTATTTTTTTGGGCCGGGGGGAGTAATAATTGTGTGGATGATTTTTTTTTGGCTAGAAATAGTAATAAACAAACATAGTTAAATATCTAACGAGTGTAAATATGGAAGCTCTCGTTGGGCTGCTCCTCTCTCCCTCTCCAATCCTAAAACCCTAAAACAAAAAAAACTCCATCTTTTCCCCCATCTTTCCTCCATAGAAGGATGGGGGAGATAATTCTGTCCTGATTCTTACACTTTTTATTGTTGTTTAATTTATTTTTGATAAGTGAGATTATAATCTCCTTTACTAGTTAGGTATGGCGACGACTTCCTTATGGATGTTCGCTGGTATGGCGGCGACGTCTCTGGTGATGTTCGTTGGTATGACGACATTTTTGTCGGTGATGTTTGCAGGTATGGCGACAGATTCGTTGGAGTTCGCTCGTATGGCTTTAAAAGATTCAGTCATCATAGATTTAGTTGTTAGATCTATGATTTGAGAGCAACTGATTTTTAGTGTTATATCTTTGTTTCGGCACGTCATACAACCACTGCTTGATAGGGTAGATCTATATAGGTTTATCTATATGAAACACAACAAAGGCACTATGATTATGACCAATTGTAAGTTATGATTTTCTAGCTGTATCTTTTCTTATCAATCGCTGCTGGACAGTTTCCAGTAAATTAATAAATTTTATTTCTCAAAAAAAAAAACAAAACAAGTGTAAATATGTATGTCCTCTTTAGTCTGAAAATTTTTTTTCAATTAGATTTTCACTTTTAACACATATTGTACTTGAAATAAAAAATCTAAATCAAATAATAATCTTTAGAACGGGTACATAGAGTCTGTTTTTTTTGCAAATACTGATATAAAACAATGATAATGTAAGTGTCACCTGATACGCCATTTGCGATACAGCGGCACTTTTGCCCATAAATTTTTTATTTTTATTTTTAACTGAATATCCTTGGCACCCTTTTTTCCTTCTCACAGGCACAAGACATACATTCATGATTCATGTGATTCACCCTTATATACTACTGTCTCATAATAACAATGCTCTTTCAAAACTAAAATAGTTTTACAAATGGGACTACATATCTATAGAACTGAGACCGTAAATATTTACTTGAATAGTGTCATTGATGCTTGAATTTCTTCTAACGTGCGTCCCTTAGTCTCCGGAAGCAATTTTGCGACAAACAGAATAATCGAGGCACAAATGATTGAGAATATAAAGAATACTCCTGCAAGCAGATAACTGAATCATCAGGAGAAACCCATAAAGAAAAAGGGATCAGTACATGTTGAATGAACTGAACTGAGTGATGGATTACCTGATGAACTCCATTCAAACAAGAAGTTGAAAGCATAGGTGACAATCCAAGAACCAAACCAGTTGCCTAATGTCACAAGGCTTCCACCCGTGCCTTTTATGTTTATAGGGAAGATCTGTTTTAACAAAGGAAACAATGCCTTTTAAACAACAATATAACAAAGTATACTGTTAAATACAGTTTCCAGGCAGCATTTGAAGAAAATTTTCGAAAATCTTACCTCCGACATGATTACCCAAGGCGCGCCACCCAATCCGGCTCCGAATGAGGAAGAGTTTATCTGGTCATTGAGGAGCAAAACACAGTATCAACAAATGTGCTCCTTCAGTCTGGTTCAGTAAGTGGTCAAGATTCGATTATAAAGGAAATAAAGGGTTTTTTTTGTTAGCCAAATGAAAGGGTGTCGGCTCAATGAAAGGGAAAAAAACAAAGACAAGTATAGGAAGATTTCAGAAAGAATAACTAACCAGTATTCCGATCAATGCCAACAGGGGAGAGATCTCCTTCAATACATTATGGGCCTGGTAGCAGGAAATGGCTACGTTTATACCCTAATTACAAGAAGATGAGCTAATTCAAAGACGGGAACACATAAACATTGGATCACCTGAAAAAGGAAACTGAGTCCAGCCAAAAAGCATCCGAAGCATGAAAATGCGGCAGTAGCCTACAAAGAGAATCTAGCGTTAACGTAAGCTTGATCTACATGCCCGAAAGCAAATGTCACAGATATTTGGGACTCTACCATCAAAAGTGGACGTCGACCAGCTTTGTCCATGAGTAGGACACTTAGAGATGAAAAAGGAAGCTGAAAAAGATCAATACAGTATGAGAAAGATAATCAGGGTTTTTATAACTATCTTCACTTGGATGAGAGGAACCTGTATAACAGCCAGTATTGTAGATCCCACAGCAGCAGAGCAACCTTGTCACAAGTTGTATATCAGACAGTAAGATATCCACATGTACGATTAGATTTACAAGTTTCAGCAGCCGAAGGGTGGAATGTAAGAAGTTGGGAAGAGGAAGGGAAGACGAAAATAAGAATTGAACCCAACTTTAAAGAAGAGGTGCATGACACCCTGAATAAGTATATTTAATTTGTGTGATAATTCGATAAGAGTAGTTAAAAGTTAGCTGATTCACCATATTACTTACCAGCAGCTTCAAATATTGAACTAGCATAAGATGAAATTCCATCTGATCCTCCTAGTTGTACCAGAAGCATCAAGCCCACACCAACCTAGTAAAACAAAAATCCATCAGTTAGAAAATCTCAGAAGAAGTCTGGATGCATCAAATTCTAAGAATTCAAAATATATCCACTACGTACAAGAAGTGGATGAGCATATCTTCGGTCAAATAAGTCCCAAAGGCTTGATTTTGGTTCTAGTTGCAACGCTTCTGCAAATTCCTGCAGACAAAAAAAGGTTTCATTAGGAATTCCTCTGCCAGAGATCACAACTGATCAACAATGCAGAGAGCTTGCAAGGAAGTAAAGAATGGGCAGGTTGCGCAAAATTAAGAACCTTACTATAATTTCAGCCGCTTCTGATGAGATATCAGCGTCCCTTCCCCTCAATTGCTGTAGAGCTGTTTCTATACCTTTCGTGTTACCAATTTTTGCCTGCAGATGATTTATGTCTTAGACTAGCATATCTTTCAGACAGAAATGGACACACCACGCATGTTCTGCGGACAAAGATGAACTATAACTCACCAACCATCTAGGAGACTCTGGTATGAAGAAAAGTCCTACGACCTGGATAAGACTGGGTAATAGTCCTGAAATATCACGATGAAATCCATGATGTCTACATGATTGCAATGATAATAAACTTTCTGCAATTTAGCCACTTTTCTTACCAAATAGAGCCAATGAGCGCCAGTTCATGAAGTTGCCAACAAAAAACATCAATGAGAAGCCCAAAGTTACTGAAAACTGTAAACAAATGATGCACATCAGTAAATTAACATTGTCCACGATCATAGTCAACAAATTATCTCCTATATGTAGCAATGGTGTTACCGTAACAGCGGCTACAAAAGCACCGCGGATGTCTTTGGGAGTAATCTCTCCAATATATATAGGTGCCTGATTGTCAAGAATAATATATTGATAAGTTTCCCTAGACAAAGAAGAGAACTATTAGAAAGGGCATGCACTGAATGTAACATTTACCACATAACAATGCATCCCAGATCCAATTCCCATTAATAATCTTCCAGTGTCCAGCCACCAACCATTCTATTATATTAAGGAAAATGAAGCTAGTTAGAACTTAGAATAATAGTCAATAGGAATTCATCCAACAAAGTAAACCATGCTACCCATAACCAACAAAAAAAATCAACATAAAGACACCATGAAATCCTAAGAACCTAAACTAGCTAGCATCAAGAAATGGAGATCTTCTACACTAGCTCATTTACCACTTACCTTTTCTACAGGTGCTAAATAAAGAAAAGAGTTGCAAATTATAGACACGTGAACATAGATAGTGTGAATCTTTAAAAATCCATATTGCACTGCATATTGCACAGGACCAGAAATTCTTGGGTTATGCATATTGAAAATGACATATTCGTCCTTTCTCTTGGGTTATGCATGATTTATACTGCCACAAGGACCAGATATTCTATCTTCTAACAAGAAACTTCCAACAATAATGGAAACAAAGTTACTGGTAGGAAACTTTACTAATATACAGGTACCTTTTCAAAAAAAAAAAAAAAAAAAGAAAAGAAAATTCCAACTGGAATGGAAACAAAGTTACTGGTGGGAAACTTTACTTCGAGTGACAGAGGCGTGGTACCTCGTTACCTGAACCTAAGATACTCTAGTGTACTGTTCTGATCGTAATCAATGTTGTCAAAAATCCATACTGCACAGGGAAAATGCACTAACACAAAATAAAACGCAAACAATATCAGATAAGCACATACATTATTGTTGTTGAGCCTTCTGCAATCAAGTTCTAGACTTCTGCCACACACAATGAAGTTACAGGCATATCATATAAATTTACATGCGAATAAGCAGCTTCGCAACATTTAAAACATTACTAATATCGATGTGTCTCTTTTCAAGTGTTCAGATACAACCCATAGTATTAAGCACATCGAGCTATAAGAAGGCAGATTCAACTCCAATAGTAAAGGATAGGATAATTGAAAAATATCTCCAAGTACCTTCCCAAAAATGACTAGAATCCAACCCAAAATGAAAAATATCTCCAAAATCCACATGGTCTGCATTTAAGATGAAGAATGTAAATGACCAAAGAGCATTGGTAGGGTTTTGAGAGAGAAATGATAATAAATAAGCCTGAGCTAGTAACAAACAAGAAACTTACAGCTCTTCGTCCAACAAGATCTGATACTCTGCCGCTGATTAAAGCACCCACCATTCCACCAAATTTCAATATTGAAGAAAAAACTGAATACTTCAGAACCATCAAAAAGAACAAGTAATAGGATCAGCTGTCTGTACCTGACAAAGGACGAATTTATCTTGCAAACTACAATGGTACACTAAGTACATTGACAACAAGATCTTTACATAATCTGATAACAACAATATGCAGTCCTGAAAAAGTTAGCACTCTAAAAACAATATGGTTCTAAAAGAGAACGCTAAAACAAAGGACAAATCGTTGCATCCTAAGCCATTTCGGTTGTTCAACTCCAGAAAAGCAGGACTGGACTCAATCACAAAGATCAATTTACATTCTTGCAACTATAATCCCAAATTGAAAACAGTTTGAATCAAAACAGAAGTTACTTTTCAGATGCTTAAATTATAAATGAAATTTCAATCATTAGGTCATACATTAATCTCTACATCACATTAAATTTATCTACATCACATTAAATTTAAATCACTCAGTCTCTACAAACATACACATGCAAAAGGCGTTTACATCTTTCACCACCTAAAGTTTGCGCTGCTCTAGAAATCACAGAAGATCAATCACAAGTTCTCCATGGCATGCTCAGACACTCTGCCTTAATTCACTAGAAAGATGTATTTTTTTTTAGCTCCTCTGTTGCTCAATTAGGGACAGACATTCTAATTCATCCGATAGTGGGAAGTGGGAACTGTGAAGTGTTCGACTTCAAAGAGAAACAGTAGCAAGAATAAGTAAATAAGGCAGGGCTTACTTCTGCAATTGTCAATCCGAGATCAGCCATCATCCCTGCCTCAGCTGGTGAAGTATAACCCACCTAAAAAAAAAAAGTTGATAATCACTGGAACTTTAAGAACATACACTAATTTCACTGGCAGAATTTCACTGGAACCATCTTTAAGCAGAGGCTAGTAAGATATTGTATCAATTTACAAAGATTAAAAGCCAAGATAAGCCCTTTTCAATTTGGTCTCATTTCTTCAACCCACAAAAACAAAAACAAAAAAGAAAAAATTGAACCAAAGCATATTATGAAAATTTAGTACTACTCACTGAGAACCCATATGCTAAAGAGCCACAAGAAACAATAGAAGTAGTGAAAATGAGCATGGGTGTTGAAGAGAATCTTGGCCTTGAAACAACAACACCATCTTCAGTGTTTCTGCTTGGTAACAACAGAGCTTCCTCCATTGAATGAATTCTTTACTTCTTTTTTTGGTTCCCCTGCTATTTATTTCCTCTCTGAAGTTTTTGCCAAGTCCGAATGAATGTTGGTTGGTTTTTGATTATAAAAGAAAGAACGTTTATTTAATGTAATGCCCGTACAGCATTCATTTCTGTGGTTTTGGAGTCCTCCGATGCTAACTGCTGCTTTGTGTTGGGTCCTCCGATGTTAACTGCTACTTCTTGAAGAGCTGACACTATTTTATTCTTCGGACCAAAGCCTTTTCCTTAATCCTCCCTCCATGTATATCATGTTTCATTAAAACCACATTCTTTTTTGGTCAACCCAATTTGAGGTAGTACAATTTACAACAGTTCTCTGAAGAAATTAATGAGTCTTGTTAACACTATGGTGGATGGCCTAACACTATCAAATATTTGTTCTCCTTTTTTTTTTTTTTTGGGCAATATAACTATGAAGAAGTACAATTGCAATTTTATCAGAAATTCAGAGTAACCGAGTTCCATTACTTTCGACAATTTTTCCAAGGGTCCAGACAGAGAGGATCGAAAATGAAATGATTAATAATGTTAATAAATCAATACATGAGGGGTCACTCAAATAATAATGAGACCGGACTCATTCAAAGGATTCCTGAAATGATTGGTTAGGAGGGGTTGGATCGAGACATGGCTGATACGTGAATTTTAACGTCAAATTATATAAGTTTTTTAGTGACTACTGTTTCTTTCGGGACCCTCAGGTAATATTCATTCCATTTCAGTTTGTAGGTCGTATGGTTTTATAAATTCTTGACAAATTAATGATTATTTTTCTAATTTTATCCTTAATAAATGATGTCGATATATATTCATTCAATTTTGTTTATGGTTTCAATGTAATTAATGAAGAATAAAACAAGTATTTAACACATAAATTAATTGTTAGATGATTGTCTCCTTAGTTTATATGCAAAGTCTAAAATGACTTATATTTTGAAATGGAAGAGGTAAGAGGTTGATGAATCCAGTCTGAATATTTCCGTGTTAATTGTTATGTATATACTAAAATAAATATTTTGTCTTATATACGAATTCGCTATGTTCTTACTCATTTTTGCTTTTTTTTTTTTTCGTAATAATAATCCAATCGATATTTTCGTTTTGTCCTTTATTATTCAACCTACATATCTAATTCTGTACACGTGTGAAATATATATTTACACATTATTGCGGTTGATGTGTTAGTGTCGTGAATCCTGTCAATGGGACCTATGAGATTAGTTGTGAATTAATTAATCATTATTAAAAATCTCCAAAGTCTTGAATTGAAAGAGACATCCTTTGATTTACTTCATAACTTATATGATCTTATGATGACAAATGTCACAAATCATCAGCGCAGTCAAAAAGATTATCACAAGATATTCACGTAATTTTTCGTAAATGCTGCCCTTCTGATATTTTGGATAAATCGAAATTAAAGAGTATATACTCCTTCGGTCTCTAAAGTAATCTAGATTCGTGTTTGTTCTGAAACTTAAGAATTTTAATATTACTAATTTCAAAGACATGAAACATTACGCTTGACGAAGTGGATTAGTGGACAGTAAATTAGGTGCAATGGTTCATGAATAATTGCGCATTAGTTGGGTTATAAGGGCCATAATCATATATATACAGGCTGAAGAATAAGTTATTAAACTATTGTATCCAAAAAAAATTTTGGTCATTGAAATTAGGTGTAACAACCAAGTCACAAGATTCATAACATGCGTAAGAATTCTCGAAATGGCAATAATATACTTGATGAGCTCCATTCAAACGAAGAAGTTGAAAATATAGCCAGTGAAGAAGAAGAAGTTTGGATTGCTTGTTTCAATGTATCAGAGTTAAAAGTTGAGATGAAGAACCAAGACTTGAGGATTTAGATCCAGGTTGATGTGAACATTAGCAATTGATTATGTGTAAATAGTTCTTAATTGTGATCAGGGACCGTTTTATAATTAATTGTAAATATAGAGGCTGTAGTATAATTTGTACAGACACAGTTAATCATTAGCTGTAAATACGTGTTAGTTAGTCAGTTATAGTAGGTAGTATCTTGTATAAATATAGAACATACGGTTGACTTGTATACTGACTAATATAGATTTACAATATACATTTTTTCCCAATTCTTGAAGTTGAAATCTCTCTCTGGTTCTTGACTCTAATGGCGGAAACCCTATGAACCTTTTGATGGTATCAGAGCCATAGGCTCGATATCTTTCAAATTCCTTCCGCTAATCTGTGTTTCTTGAAGTCCGAAGCAATCCTATCGGTTTAATTTTTATGTTCGAAGTCGAAAATGGGAGATCACAGAGCTGAAGAACGACGTGATAATGCAGAGCAACGCCGGTACGAAGCTGCTATGAACCTGAGTGGATCAGAGAGCTCCGCGATTCTACATATTCCGGCGAAGTTAACCGATCATAATTACCTGGCATGGAGCAGGTCCATACTTACTTTCTTGGAGTCCAAGATGAAGAAAGGCTTTATCACCGAAGCTTTTCCATGTCCACCGCCTGAATCACCGGAGTTTGATCACTGGAAACAGGTATAAGTGAAATCCTGGATTATTTCAGGTATAAGTGAAGAGTTAGCTGATAGCTACATGTTTACCCTTAGTTCACAAGAACTTTGGGAGGATTTGGCTGAGAAGTATGGGACTTCAAACAGCAAATGTTGTATCGTATGAGGCAAGAAAGGAATGTTGTCCAACAAGGAGATTCAACTCTGGTGAAGTACTACAGTTCTTTGAAGAAAATTTGGGACGAGTATACACATTACAGACCAAGGCCAGCATGTTCACCGGAAGTTGCTCGAATTCTTGCTGCTCGTGAAGAAGAAGATAAGTTGATTGATTTCTTAATGGGGGATTGAATAGATCATATGAAGCTATTAAGGATCAAATTCTTTTGATGGAGCCACCTCCGACCTTTAACAAGGCGTTCAATCTGGTTCTCAAGGCTGAGAAGAAAACTCCAGGAAGAAAGGCTGCTTCTAATACAGAGTTGATTGCCTTTAATGTCAACGAAGGTGTTACTAAAGGATCTGGCACTGCTTTGATTGTAAAGAGTATACCAAGTTATGTCAAAAAGGATGGTGGTGGAGCTCCTCAAAACAGAAACACAGGGACAAATAATAGTTTTGTTTGGAAGAATAAATCAGAGACGTTCTGCACTTTCTGTAACAGGCCTGGACATGAAAAGGAAAGTTGTTTCAAGATCATTGGAGTACCTGAATGGTGGAAGGAGTTGAAGGCCAAAGGGTTTCCAAACAAGAAGACAAAAGGACAACACTATGCACATGTAGCAGAGTTGGAAATACCATTGCATTTGGATTCACATTCCGAAAAACATTCTAATCAGAATCAGCTAGAACTACTTGCCAAACAGATGAGCATACTACAACAAGAGTTTAGCAGGCTCAACAAAGGAAAAGGAGTTGCTGGAACTGAGACTTCACTCTTGGTCAGCATGGCTCATATCAACGACTTTGCAGGTAGCACTACCTATCATAAGTTTAATGATAAGCCTGTTATAGAATGCGATATCTGGTTATTTGATACAGGAGCTACGGGTAGCATGAGTCCTAACCTGTCTTTGTTTTCAAAACCGAAACCTGTTGATTCATTGACACCAATACATTTACCTGATAATAGTGTTCAGTATGTGTCACAAATTAGTGATGTACACATTAATTCTAGAATAACCCTCATAGATGTGTTGTATGTGCCTACTTTTAAGTACAACCTTATCTCTGTTAGGCAAATGGCCAAATATTCTAATTTGTACTTCAATTTCTTGGCTGAACTTTGCATATTACAGGACCTCATGACTGATGAGATCCTTGGTATTGGCAAACTGATGCAAGGGTTGTATGTGCTCGCCAATGACTCTTTTGATCCAGCTGAAATACAAAGACTGATACACATTCATCTTCCAAGATTGTTACTTCATTCTACCATCAAACCTCCTGAAGATTCTTTTTCTTCTTACCATTTTGGTTTTTCAGCAGCCAGTGGTAAAAAGGTCAGTACTAGTGCGTGGCATCTAAGGTTAGGCCACCCATCAACAACAGTGTTACAACATCTTAGCATCACATTTAGAATAAATCTAGATCCTAGTTTTTGTTGTGAAGTTTGTCCATTAGCTAAGCAACATAGACTAGCTTTTCCTGTAAGTACTTCCGTTACTTCTGAAATATTTGAAATAATACATGTTGACTTGTGGGAACCGTATTCTATTCCTAATCTCTCTTGAACCTCCTACTTTGTTACAATTGTTGATGACTTCAGTAGGTGCACCTAGACTTTCCTGATTAGACATAAAACTTCTACTTTTCAGATTTTGTCAGATTTTTTTGCTACGGTTAACACTCAGTTTCAAACCAAAATCAGAACCATCAGAACTGACAATGGTACTGAGTTTGTGAATCATGAATGCAATTCCTTATTTTCCAGCTTAGGTATTTTACACCAAAAGAGTTGTGCTTACACTCCACAACAAAATGGTGTTGTGGAGAGGAAGCATAAACATTTGCTTCAAGTGGCAAGATCTCTACTTTTCCATGCATCACTTCCCAAGAAATTCTGGGGAAATGCCATTCTTGCTGCCACATATATCATAAATCATCTTCCATCAGTTGTTTTAGGCTGGAAATCACCTTTTGAAATTCTTAATCATAAACCACCCGACCTCAGTTATTTTAGGACTTTTGGCTGTCTTTGCTTTATTTCCAATCAGAATCCTCAGAAAGACAAGTTTGATGCTAGAGCACTAAAGTGCATTTTCCTTGGATATCCAACAGGACGAGAGGCTTACAAAGTCTATTGTCTTTCTGATCATAAGGTATATATATCTAGAGATATTGTCTTCCATGAACATATTTTCCCTTCTGCTGATACAGTTTGTGATCCATACAATAACTCTCCAATAGTTATCTCAAATCCTGACATTACCTATAGTGCAGGGTGTATCTCTGAACATTCCAGTTCTTCTGACCATTTACAAACAGAAAGCTCACCTAATCATGATTCTTCTCATCACAATCAATCCGATCATGTCATCCCTACTGTCACAGTACCCCCTAGGAAGTCTTCTAGGACATGTGTTCCACCTTCTTGGCATAATGATTATGTGACTCATTGTGCCACCACTGTCAAAACTAAATTCAATCCTCCTTCCACCTATCCCTATACAGTAAACACCTCCATAAATCCCTCTTATCTCAGCTTCCTAGCTAATGTATCAAAAGTATCAAAACCACATTCTTATTTCCAGGCTAAAGGGAAACTAGAATGGATTGATGCAATGAAGAAGGAGCTTCAGGCTTTGGAAGACAATCAAACCTGGGAGATTACTACTCTACCACCTGGGAAGAAGCTCATTGGCTGCAAATGGGTGTACAAGGTCAAATATAATCCTGATGGCTCAGTGGAGAAATACAAAGCGAAGTTGGTTGCAAAAGAATACACACAAGTAGAAGGGGAAGACTACTTTGAATCTTTCTCACCTGTTGCAAAGCCAGTCACTGTGAGGATTCTGTTTGCTATTGCTGCTGCAAAAGCCTGGCCTCTTCATCAGGTTGACATAAATAATGCAATCCTCCACGGTTCTTTGACAGAAGATGTGTACATGGAAGCTCCACCAGGTTCATCTTTACAGCCTCATCAGGTTTGCAAGCTTAAAAAATCCTTATATGGTCTGAAACAGGCTTCAAGGCAATGGAATTATGAATCTAACAATCATCTTGCAGCTCATGGTTTCTCTCAGTCACCACATGACCATTGTTTGTTCATGAAGTTTGGTCCTGATTTCTGTCTCTTCTTAGTGGTCTATGTGGATGATGTATTGATCACAGGAAGTTCAGAAAACCTTATCCTACAAACCAAGCAAGCTTTGCATGCTGTATTTACTATCAAAGACCTGGGTCCTACAAAATACTTCCTTGGAGTGGAAGTGGCTAGATCATCTGAGGGCATAGTTCTTAACCAAAGAAAATATATCTTAGACATCTTGGAGTCCACTGGAATGCTTGGTTGCAAGGCTGTTTCTACTCCCTTACCTAAAGAATTAAATCTCCAAGATGAGTCCAGTCCTTTATACTCAGATTCTAGTCAGTACAGGAGATTGATTGGCAGACTATTATATTTAGGGATTACTAGACCAGACTTAGCTCATTCTACTCAGCAGCTAAGTCAATATCTTCAACAACCCAGAGAAGTCCATTGGATAGCTGCTACTCATGTTCTGAGATACCTTAAAGGGATTCCTTCCCTTGGATTGTTCTACTCTAGTAAGAATGATTTGACTCTTACTTCATTCTGTGATGTAGACTGGGGAAAGTGCATTGTTAGCAGATTTTCTTTATCCAGATATTGTATTTTCCTTGGTGATTCTCTGATTTCCTGGAAGACCAAGAAGCAAACCACTGTTTCTAGGTCCTCCTGTGAAGCTGAATACCGGAGCATGGCAAGTACAACATGTGAGTTACAGTGGATCCATTACATTCTTTTTGATCTCAGGTTGATTGTTCCTTTACCAATACCATTTGTGTGTGATAATAAATCTGCTTTGCATATCACCATGAATCCAGTGTTTCATGAGAGAACGAAACACTTGGACATTGACTGTCATATCGTCCGGAACTTGTACAAGGATGGTTTTCTGCTTCCTCTTCACATATCTTCTTGCTTACAACCCGCAGATCTTTTTACTAAAGTGTTACATTCCCCTCAGTTTCTTTTCTTGTTATCCAAGCTCAGTTTGGCAGATTTGCATCATCCCAATTCTGAGCTTGAGGGGAGGATATCAGAGTTAAAAGTTAAGATGAAGGAACCAAGACTTGAGGATTTAGATCCAAGTTGATGTGAACATTAGCAATTGATTATGTGTAAATAGTTCTTAGTTGTGAGGGACCGTTTTATAATTAATTGTAAATATAGAGGCTGTAGTGTAATTTGTACAGACACAGTTAATCATTAGCTGTAAATACGTGTTAGTTAGTCAGTTATAGTAGGTGGTATCTTGTATAAATATAGAACATACGGCTGTCTTGTATACTGACTAATACAGATTTACAATACACATTTTTCCCCAATTCTTGAAGTTGAAATCTCTCTCTCATTCTTGACTCTAATGGCGGAAACCCTAAGAACCTTTTGACGATGTGTGCATATTTTTTGTTTTTGTTTTCGGTTTTTTTATTTTTACTTATTTATTTATTTTTAAACGTGAACGGTTATATCAAAAGGCAAAAAGTTATAAACGGGATACAAAATATTGTTTTGTTGTGGCGATTGCATTATAGAATAAGATTCATGAGTAATGGTTTGTTACCAAAAGAGGTCGTTTTTTCTTTTTACTATCATCGATTCTCAAATTACCAAAGAGCCAAAGACTTCCACACCATTAAGATATGTATTTCGGGCAAAAGTCGGCCTTGTTTGGATATCAATTCATTTTACATTTATTTTACCTCTTAAACACAAAACCCAATGGAAAAGAAATCATCATCCAAACAACTTTCTGATTTACATTTTAAATTCTAACTTGAAACACATGACCATTTTAGAACTACAAATAATTCAGTGAAAAATTTGATAGGATTCCGTTGTTGAGTGATTGTTTTTAGAAAAGTTCTTTTATGCAGTGACAATAATTGACAGTATTTAATTGTTTAGTGATGACTTGTACTTGATATTTCAAAATGTAGTTCAAAATACTTTTTTTTTTTCCAAAATCAACATCCAAACAACATTTTTATTTTCCATTTAATTTTTAATTTGAAACACTTTCCACTTTTAAGTGGCAAAATGAAATGTAAGTTGACGTCCAAACAAGCACTAAGCGTTTAATACCCCACTTTCAACACCTGAATCGTAACACAAGAAAATGGCTTCGGTTTTGGTTGGATTAGAGAAAAGTATAGTACTCACTCCGTCCCAAAATTATTATCCAATTTGAGTTTTCATTTTTAGTTCAAATTATATTAAAAGTGAAATTCAAACTGAATAATAATTTTGCAATAAAGAGAGACAGAGAGTACTATGAAAAGGAAAGAAAAGACTTGGAAGGAAATGTTTACATACATTGCCAAGGGATTAATTGCACCCATTCAAAGAGTGGTTTTAGAAAAACACCTGGGCAATCAAAGATCATGTCCCTAAAGAGACGGAAGCAACATCAAAACGATGACTCTTGGGCACGAACGAAAAACAAGCCAGAAGGACCATCATCAGGCACCAAAGCAAGCCTCACAATACTTTGAGCACCTTCTTCTACAGATAGTTTGCCAGTGTGGAAGTTTATATCGGTTTTTACAAAACCAGGACAGACGCTATTGACCTTCATGTTCGGGTGTTTCTTCGCCACAATCCTTGTGTATGCATTCAGGGCTGCTTTTGCGATTATGTAACCATCAATGACTACAGGCCATCCTTTTGACTCTAGGGATCCTACTTTAAAATCCTGTAGGTATTCGTTCAGCACCCCTCATCCACTCTTTCTTCCGTAAGAAGCTCATCAGCGCCTAAGTATTCCTTTCGCCCATTCGTTTGGTGTATTCTGAGATTATGTCAAGACTTAGTTTAGACGCTCTTCTTTCCACTAGTCAAAACTCAAAAGATGCAACAAATTTGAAACCTCTAGTTTCTGAGTTAGTATTTCAGGTGTTGAAAGTAGTTTCACATGTAAGCTATATCTGAGTCCACATGTTTGCCAGATTAACTTGCTCTGAAGTGATCATGAAATAAGTGTACTAAGTTGGACTTCCTATCACAAAATGAAAATCCAACTCAACTGAGAAGAAGGTTTGAAAAATCATACTATCACCTTTAGTTTTCCCATTTCTGCCGAAACATTGACAATTCTTGGTGACTGAGATAGTTGCAGAAGTGGCAGAAAGGATTCGATCATTCTTTTCGCCCCATAGTAGTTTGTTTGCAAGCAGTTCACTGCCAATTCATATGTGTGAGTCACTAGCTCAGTCCAATTGATTTTCACCCCTTCTGTCTGCAACCACCAAGAGTTTAAGGATCAAATAATGCTTAAAATCCACTTTTCCCTTCCCCAGCTAGGATAAATTCCAATGACATCCAACCATGTCTTTTGTACTCCAACACCCAACAGTTCCTAAAAGATATAGGAAGGAAATGCCAAAAGATTAAAATACAGTTCAAGGTGAACAATTATCTTACCTCGGCTTTAGCACAAGCAGCTCTAAAAGTGTCACCATCTACAAGGCATGCTCTTATTCCTAAATTGTTCACCTAAACCGAAAAACAAACCTTTAGCTGCAAGAAAATGAACATGGAATGCAAAAACTGATCATAAAGTTAGCTCATTTCAACCAAGTTGTTCATTTATCAGCAACAAGGAGTTAACGAGTGTACAACTCATATGCGTTAAGATACGACATAGCATCATCCATTAACCGACAGAATCTGAGCACGTTACTGGACACTAAAAGTTCAAAAAGTCTTGTAGGAGTCCAATCCAGAAACTCTGTTGGTCTTCTTTGACATACAGTACAATATAAATGTTTGTGGCTGTTTTTTATCCGTACTTCTAGAGGAATACCATATGGACAAATCTGCTATAATTCTTCCTAAAAGATCGAAACAACTTAAAGCAAGCAAACTAAACTCAGATGAACTAATTTACATGATCTGCAGTAAAATAAATAAATAAATATTTACTTCCATTCAACAGGCTCTTACTTTTAAAGTTTCATCATTTGTTCTTTTCCACCCCATTTTGGTACCAGGTAGCAAATTACTAAACTATAAAGAAAGTACATAGTGTTAAGGCATAAAAGATAGACATGTAAGTATGTATACTCAACTGGATTGCAGAAAAGCAAAAAAATTATGATGCAGTTGATTTGTAAATCGTGGCACTCTGTTGCGATTGATCAAATTCCAAATCGAATTGCTTTTGGATTCGATCTCCCACAGCTTCGGCTACATAAAACTATGATCACATTTATCTTTGTTCCTCGTATGGCTGGTCGATTATATCTGTCCCACACACTAATTACTTCGATCTTTACAACCCGTTTACTAAAACCACCATTAAAATACCTTGTGAATCTTGGGCGTTGGTTTCGTAAAGTTTTTCTGTCCTGTAATAATCCTACAACTTGTCCTGTAATACTTTGCTTAAATTCTCGGGCTTCGTTTATCATACAACTGAAGATATCATTTTCCAGAAGTTGTTGTACGTTTTGGGGGGGGGGGGTGTGGGTGGAAACGTAGTCCCATGTTGGCTGCTATGGAATTAGAGATGAGAAATCCAGGGATATCAGGATAGAGTTTGCTCCACTGGTTTGGATAACTCCAATTTTATGTTCTTTTGAGTTAAAATGTGACAAAGCCTGGAATTGTATCGCGAGTTTAACAGTGGAACGCCGGCTAGGGTTTCTAGCAAAATAGATCCTCGAGAGTCTTCCGAGGGTAGACACTCCGATACAAGTCAGAAATAGAGTTATGAGTAAACGTGTGTATGAGAATTGGTGCTAGAGATAGCGTATCTCAATTGTGGTATGATCAACTCTATTTATAGGCATGAAGTTACCTGGGAGATAACCGAGTCCTATTAGGTTTCGCGTTGCTCAAACCGCCCTAGCAGAGTCGGTTGGACTCTTTACTCGGTTGATGGGCAGGTCCAATATTGGTGATGGATACGGATTCATTAAGTGCCCCTGTCAAATGTTAGTTATATGAAATAAACAATACTTGACACAAAATAAATCTAACCTGGACTCGGCCCAAGAGATATGGACAAGTCTCGGCCCATGCTCCATCGAGCAGGCCTGATGGAATAGCTCGCGGGTCAAGATCCGCTCCAAGAAGGCGACCCGTTTCAGAATCCTGCCCAAACTATAAAATTGCACGCTGTTAGTGGGCACGTTCCCCAAACGGCAGCCAACAGCATCATTACTGCTCCGATTTTCATTGCAACGACAGAGACGTGGGGGAACAAAACCACCTTATATACCCTTAGAGAGGAATTTCATATTTGACATTCCCTTTACTTCCAAACTTCAAAACACTCAGAAAGAAGGAACCATCTTGCTGTTATTGTGCCTCTGCTTGAGTTTTAGTCGGATTTGCTTACAACGACTATCACCGGAGCACACTGAAACATACCACCGTCGAGTGGGCATCAACATCCCGGGGGGATATAACTCAAAAGGAGAGTGGAAACCTTGTCGAACAGTAAGTCTTCAAATCCAAATATCTCAGTTTCATTTTCAGCTTTTTTCTTTTGAATTTAAGTGTAGACCAGAGTAGATCTAGATTTATTGCTGCAAGTAGGGAATTATGGCTAGAAACCCAAATCTGAAAGAAGGTAAAAGGTGTAAAAACGAGATATGATTTGCCCCTAGATCTAGAAGCTAGAGCCCCACTAAGAACCGAGAGAGCCAATTCTCCTCTTGAGGGAAGAATCACCATATATGACCGCTTTATACATTTAGGACTAAGATTCCCCCTCTTCCCTCTGTTCGAGGAGATTGTCCAACACTACCAAACCCCTCTTGGTCGTTTTACACAAAACTTGATAAACTTTGTTCTCGGGTTCACAAAAATATGCCAACGAGTAAAGGTGAAGTCCCAACTAATTTTGTGGAGGTAGTTTTTCCAAGTCATTGTTCCATCGACATCGTTTCAAGATTGGTATATTGTCAAAAGGCGCCTCAGGTCTGGTGTCAAGAAGATGGTCGAGGTGTACAGTGGTTCACCAGAATGGAAGCCTGAATACTTATTTGTGAAGGCTTCTGAGAAGTATTGTGTTGCATGGGACCATTGAGAAGTAGAAGGTCTCGTGACGATAAAGGATGATTGGACCAAGGAAGATGACGAGAGTGTTGAGAAGTTTGACGACGATCTGAAAAAAATCATGGCGTACCCAAAACTCATTAAATGGAGTAACATGCAGTACTATATTCCCCCTATTCTTGTCGAGGAGGAAAAAGGTACTAATCTCTGTGTATTGCTTTTGCTGTTTTTAAGTCATATCGTCGAGCAATGCTAGTTCTCAACTGTATGGTGACGAAGACCCCTTTCCTATTGTGAATTCAGATGAAGAAGAGTCAACCACTGTAGTTGCTGGAGCCAAGAAAAAAGGAAGAGACTCGTGAAGGTCTCTGAGAAGGAGAAGAAGGCGGATGTCGTCGCCTCAAAGTCAACAACTCAAGGAAAGAAGATCGTGCCTCCTGCAATGGAGAAGATCAGTGCTCCCCTTGCAACCGAGAAAGCCACCACTCCCCAAGTGGAGGTAGACCCAAGCAACAAAGCACCTGCCATGGACAAAGGTAAGGGTCCCCTCGAGGGGGAAGCAATCATTTTTCCCTCCCATATCTTCGAGGGTGAACCAACTGTGGCAATCCACACATTTAGCGGTCCTCTGGCCATCGAATGCCCCTTACTGGAAAAGTTCACCGCACAGCTAACAGAAACTGACAGCGTGAGACTGGTGAGTTCTTTATATTATATGCAGAATGTTATTGTGAATCTCTCGTAGATAAGTTTTGTGTCATTCAACGGTTTTGGCAGATGAAAGGGACCATGCGCTTATCGAGAAGGTCGTTCTCGAGGAGAGGAATCAACAGATACAAGCCAAAGAGCAGGAGTTAGCCTCTGTGCAGGCTAAATATAATGAGTTGGACGAGAATCTGAGGGCCTTTACAGATATGCATATCTCGAGGGAGGACCTTCATAAATGGTGCGCTGCTTTCTGGTTCAGGATGCTATCTTCAGGTGGCATGGTAGCAGCTATCGAGGAGGTTAATTTGGCGGCCACAGAGTATGGAGCTCACAAAGTAGCTGTTGCAGGCCTCAAGAGGCTTAACGGAGACAGACTCATCAAGGCCAAGTGGTTCAAACAGTTCTTGAAAGAGAGCCCGAAGAAAACCATGCATGAAGCATGGGTAAAGGTTCTCACAAAGCTCAGTAGCAAGCAGCTGCCTTTATGGGAGGCTTTATGCGAAGCCTTCATCAAGATGGGTACTCCTGAAGATATGGCCATGTTTCATGGTGATCCCGTCACAGTCTTGTCCAAGGGCCCAAGCGAGGAAGAGCCAATCCCCGAGGTGCCGGATGAGTCTTTGGCATCGAGCTCGAGGAAGAGGATGATGAGGCCTCAATGGAGGATGTGGTTGATACTGGCAATTCGGGGGCGCAGAAGAACGCTAGAGAGACATCTCAGAGTCCTCCCAAGGATGGCTCTACCAGCCAAGATGCTGTATGAATCCTGCTCCTTTGTTATAGTTGCTAGGAATTTGAATAATTGCTTTTGTATTCGACTTTCGTTTTTATCCGGTGCTTATTTGGACGCCACCCTATTTTGCTTCTCAAGCCTGATATTTGTCTTTATATTTTCCCTGAAAACAAGATAGTTGGTCTGTCCATCAAATCCACCTTATGATTCTATCAGAGGAACAATCGAAGGAGTATCCTTTATACTCAATGATTAGCAATATTATGAGAAGCCGTGAAGATGTCCATAGTATCGAGACAGTAATGAACCTAGAAGTAGACCTCCTCGATGCTATGCGAGTGCACAACGTGAAAGTCAACCAGCATGTGATCAAGGAAATAAAAGAACTTCACGTGAAGACACAACGGTGAGATTACCAGAAAGATAAAGACTTCAGCGATTCTCTGACTTTTAAGGCAGAAATCCATGATGAACTGGTTGCCTTGGAGAAAGAAAACTCTCGGCTAAAATAGGGCCAGCAGATTGCTGTGTCACCGTGGTTTCTCGAGAAGCATCAGGTTCTTGCTCGAGTACAGCACATGACCTCGATAAGAACACGTCGGTTTATTTCGGTGATGGACATGCTGAAGGAAAGAACCCGCGAATCGAGCTCCTGATGGAATACATAGGCAAGCTCCAGAACTTGCTGCTGGATCACAACATCAGCTTCTCATCTTTTGAGAAGCCCGAAGAGGTAGTAGATCCCAGAACCAAGTCCTCTCTAGAGGAATTCCTTTTAAGGGTTCATGCTCAAGATAAAGAGATTATAGACCTCAAGGATAAGCTCAACCAGTGCGTAAACCTTCTCCGCCTGCATGGGTTTAAGGGCATTATCCACCCGTCTCCTGACAATCATAGCATGGAAATCCTTGTAACATCTTAGAAAAACATGTATGTTTTCTTAACTTCACACAGTATGTGAAGGTAGCAAATGTATTATTGCTTTATAAAACTCGAGTTTGATTATTTATATAGCGCTTTTCAGCAGGATGTTAAGTACACGTCTTTCTCGAGGGAACTGGGTACGAGTTCCTCAATTTGTTACTGCGATCTGTGGTGGGTACAAGGGGAATTCCTCGGTTTTTGTCTGGATGTTGAATACACAGCTCTGAATGAGGATGACCCTAAAGAAGGAGTCCATCTCGAGGACTAGTCTCAATATAATGTCGATGTAAGAAAATATGCAATGACTTTTATTGAATAATTACCGAGGACCCGGGTTAGCATTACATATGAGGAAGTAAAAGCAGTAAAGCAAATAAAGCAAACAGGGCAAATAAGGCAAATAACCCTAACTAGCGTGCAGCAAGTAAAAGCTTAAACATAGAACCTGCGGAGGTTCTGAATGTTCCACCATCGAGGGAGAATGGTTCCACTATCGTATGTGGTTTGTAGGCGGTAGCTACCTGATGGAGAGGCTTGGATGACTTGTACAGTCTTTCCTATATTGCAGTAAGTTTCCCATGAGTCTTGGCTCGACTGGCCTCATTTTTCC